CCTAGGACGTTCTTATTCTTTCCCCAGTTTATTTAGTTTCGATATTTTTGGTGCTTACGACTGGAGTAGTTTCTGCTACAGGCTTAACAGCCCTGCAATTATTATTGGTGATATAGTTAAACTTTCTGATTTGCGTGCTTGTTTTCGTTAACTTTCTTTTTCTGTCTTCTTTTTTTATTCTTCCCCTTGTTTGAACGGGCTGACGCGATTGTGCTTGGCTTTTCCCTTTTACTGGGACCTTGCTTCATCGTTCGCAGCAAATCAGAGACGGCGCTGGCAACTTCATCTCGCAAAATAATAATTTACGGAGCTCTCCCTTATTTCGTGATGGGTGAGCTGGTACGATGGTGGCGGCGGGAAGATGCTATCTGAAGATACTATTAATTATTCCATTATTCACCTGCAACAGATAAGGTAACTACTTTAGCCTCCAGGACGAAACCCCCTACCCTTTTTTTTTTTCTTTTCTTTTCCTTGCTCAGTGATTATCGCTTTTGTTTTTACTCTGTTTCTTTCCGTGCACTCTCTGGCCCCCAATGAAGGAACGCCTTTATTTAATTTGATATTGCAGGATCGTTAACTGCCAAGGAGTTTTAAAGGAGAAAAGAAACGCTCAAGCGGAAAAAAGAGATTCTATTCTAAGCCCGACAATAACGAGAGAGGGAAGAGGAGCGAAAAAGGCTCATTCCCATCAGCAGAGCTCCGCTAAATCGAGAGCTGCAGGAGGAGGCTGCCGCTGGCTTATATAGATTACCACTACGCCAATATATTTGCATAGTTTTCTGGCTCTGATCCATCAAACTCACTACCCCCCCCCCCCCCAACCTTACCTCGCCCAAAACCTTTTATTTTTAAGGAAAATACGCTATTTATTCTCCTTGATTTTAACTTGCTGGCCCCCGCATGAGCCTGCGAAAAGTGTCACCACGACAGTCTAAATTGAACCTAAACGGCCATACAACAAGTAGGACGGGCGAAATCTGGTGCTTGAACGCTGCCTCCATCGCCACCTTTTCAATCTATCGTCCCATTTATACTCCTCAGTTCTTCCTTCGCCCAGTGGAAATATTTATTCGTTCCTGAGGTTCCCTCCTTAAGCAGTACGACAGGACACTTTATTCCTCACTGTCCGACCATCTGATTTTTCGGCATCGTTATTCACGGTGTTGGCAGGTCGAAATATCCAACTTGATCGGCCTTGCCCCCACGTGGAATTCGTGTTTTCCTTGCTTGCTTGATAATAGAAGAAGGCCCAATCTCAAGCAAAAGCGTCGGCCCATCCCAGATCTTCGGAGCTAACCTTGTTTTTTGCCAGTCTCCAACGGGCATTGTTGATTGTTGACAACGAGGGTTAACTTTTTTTTTTTTGACGCTGCAATCTCAAAAAAGTTTTTCCCCCGCCAGGCCCTTTCCACCTACATAACATAACAAGCGTGAACCGACTCGAACTAACTATCACGTCTTCGAAAACTTTCATATTTGCCGATCGACCCTGCGCTATTAAAGTGCAACGCTTTATGATTTGAGAGTTTCTTGAAGATATTATTCTATTTCATCCCCGACGCCCTACTACTATCATCTTGCTAAGGAGGATCCACCGGTGATTTTTATCTTTTTAGCTTGTTGTCTAAGGAAGTAGTACGCCGCGTAAGTTGTGTCCCCACTTCTCCGTTTCTTGAAGAGTTTCGTGCCCTTGCATCGCTTTTGATACTTGTTACCATGATGTCGGATCCGAGTGTCAATTTATTTATTTTCTTTTTTTGTTTTTACCCCTTCATGGTTTTACTTTTCGAGCCCTGTCATTCTGTTACACGAACCCCGTTCCTGCGTTACATACTTTCTTGACCCTGCCCAAGAAAAAGCCAAAAAAAAAAAAAAAAAAAAAATTAAAAAAAATAAAAGGACGGTTCCAGAGAGAATAAGAAAAAGAAAGGAAAAAAAAAAGGGAAAAAAAAGCCCTCAGCCCAACCACGCTTATATTCTTACTGCCTTTTTGACACATGGGATTTTCCCTGCTGGAAGGAAATGTCTCTCCAACATGTGTCAACCGGGGGGGTGCGTGGAAGAAGGGAGTAGAGTAGGGTAGAGGGGGGCCGCGAATTTGAATGTTTTACGCACGGACAACATGCCATACAGCCTATGATTCGCGTGTTTCACCTGCACAGCCCTTTCCCAGAACCGACGCTCTTTTTATCTCCCTGACGCACCCGAAATCCGACCATGATGAACATCTGGATTGATCTGATGGGATTGGGTGGGGTACGACTTCTGGGGTGGGTCGCTGAGGCGTCTTTTTGGCCTCTTCTTTAGGCTTTATTTACTCTTCTGCAGCCAACGACCACCCATGCGCCTATCAGGCCATCACTTGCCCCCGCCCGGGAAGACATATTGCATGCCCCATACATAGGGAATAACAACAAACTGTGATTTTTATTTTCCACCGCCCGGAATTCCGGCCTGGAATTCCTTCCTCTTTCCGCCATCCTCCGGGTTCCTGTTCATCAGGCAAGCTGCGCTGTGGCTATCTCTTGTTTTGTCGTCGTTCTCTGTCTCTCTGGCTGGATTCTGTTTTGGTCGAATCCCCCGGTCGGAATTGCCAAGCCCTAACCCTAAGCCTGGAGCCCTCTATTTCCCGATTGGGCAAAGCGTGCTCCCTGCTCCTCCCGAAAAGCGTATCCCCACTTCTTCCGATACTGGGTTTGCGCCTGCCCGGACTTGCCCCTCCTGCTGGCGGCATGTGCACACGCACTACCTCCTTTACGACCACGTCCCGCCGAAACCCCACTATTTCCCCAGTGTGTGTTTTTCCACCGGGGGTTAGTTAGCCTCCAGATAGATAGATACCCACTGCACCGCACCGACGATTCTGCAAGCAAGAAGCAGAAGCTCTAAAACACACGCACGGTATGCCCGCAATATCCACGCACCAGCCTCTGTTCTCGCTGCTGCGAGCTGCGGCCGGGTTTTCTAGAGAATCAAAGCGCCAAAAATAAGCAAAATCCTCTTGCTTTTTCCCGCCATCCAGTAATCAATGTCGTCAGCCCAATGTTAGTCCTCCCGGCTGCATCATATCACTGCATCAGACTTGGGACTGCTGCGACTCGACTGCTTCTACGACTGCTTAGCTCCAGCGCTGATGGTCTGAAATCTCAACTTGCAATTGCTTGGTGAAATGTTGAGCTTGCAGCTAGCTAGCAGCTTGGCCCTTGTATTATTTTCGACTAGTGCTGGTCGTTCGTCCTCGCCCCTACTACTACTACTAGTAGACTGATCCTTACCTGGCTTCCCTTGTCTCTTCCGTCTCCACACAGCGTGCCGTGCTTTCCCGCCACTGCACTGGGTCCAGGAAGTCCGAGGTCAAAACAAAAGAACAAAAATAAGAAATAAAAATATCGAGAACGAAGACAAAAAGCAACAAAATAACAAACCAAAGGAAAGAAGGAAAGCAAAGGACTCCTTGCACCACCGTCATTACCATGCAGCAGGAGGTACTGTGGGAGGAAGGAAGACAACAATCATAGCAAAAGAAAAAGAAAAAAATAACCCCACAGGAAGCCAGTATAACGGACGGTGTCTGCCAATTATTATTGGGATGAGAAGCAGGAAAAAGCAAAGATCAATATTTTGTTCCTTTTTGATATTTTTATTATTATTTCCCTTGGGGAGTCTGGGACGAGGTTTTTGTCCTTGAACCCTGTTCGTTTTTTTTTTTTTTTTTTTTTTTTTTTTCCCTTGATTTCGCTGCCACCCTTGTTTCTTCTTCTTGTACTTTTTTTTAATTTTTTTTAACCCTTCCTTTTTTGATCCCCCTAAAACCTTGGAGCACGATTATTCATTACGTTTTTGTTTGACAGACATCCCGTAGTTTCCTGCTTTCTCTAACAAACCTCTGGTGCTGTTTAGTTACAGTTCCCGCCTTTGCTTTTGACATTTCTGTGGAGGGAAACGGAAGAAGAAGCCATAGTTTTTTTACCTTCCTGCCATTAACCAGACTTCAACACACCCACCACCACCACAAGCTTCCCTTCCCTTCCAAGCAATTAGAGGGGGCGCGCGTGGCGTGGCGAGAAACCAAAATCAAGCTTGGGCATTGGGCTAGACCCAAACCCTTCCGAGCCATTCCCATCCTCGCTCCAATTCCCACCATTCCGTCACTTGCGTCTGCGTTCTTGGGTCCGTCCCAACTACATAGAGTTTCGCCCGCCGAATTGGCCCGCCCTTGACTGACGACGTTCCTGATCGCGCGCTATCTGCTGCTTTAAGCCCTGGCAACTTACTATCTATCCTCACAACTCCTCCCCTGCACTGGGGTTGTGGAAGTAAACTCTGTTACTCACGATCGAGCCCCTCCATTCCGAAAAGTGAAAAAGGTCAAAAAAAAGTTTTGGACCCGCGTTGTGTCTGTCGATCCATAGAACCTTCAAAACTCTCTTTGCAAGCTCCTTTGCGCGGGGAGGGGGGTTCTCTTGCTGCTCTTCAAAGAAGCCATCATCATCACTTCTTTTCCATTCGAAACCGGGAGAGCTCACAAACAACCACGTTGCTAATCTTGTTCTACATAAGCCTTTTTGACCCGTCTGACAGGTTGTCCGCACATACCCCCGATTTTCTTTTCTTTTTCTCCCTCATATCTTTCTTTCTTTTTCTTTTTTTTCTTTTTTTTTTCTTTTTTTTTCTTTTTTCTTTTTTTTTACTCCCCTCAAATTATCATTCCTATTATTTCATATTCCCTCTCTCCTTCGATTTGCGTTTCGATAACACCAACTCTGTCGCATTTTCGCGCAAATCAGACGAAGGTTACTACCGAAAGTCACTTCGACAGCCCTCAAGCTTTGTTTCTTAGTTTTCCCGCAGTTGATAGTTTTCTGTCGACGCGCAAAACTTTACTCTTGCAGCGCTTACAACCCTACCGCGTCTCTCCACGAGAAGAAGCCTCCGGGCGTTAGCTTTTAGCCCTTACCTGTGAAAAACTAACACTCCCCTGCAGCTTGTCACACAACATGGGCAACGGCACAGCTGCAGTACTAGAGCCGACATTCACCGGCTATGTCGCCACCACGCAAGATGCGCTGATCCTCTTCGAAGCATGTCTGACCGGCCTCCTCCACCACGTTCCACGACGTCCCCACGATCGAGAAAGAAGCCAACTGGTGAAAAGCGGGAGTGTTTTTATCTACGAAGAAAATGCGTCCGGTATCAAGCGATGGACAGACGGTGTTACATGGAGCCCCAGTCGCATCCTGGGTAATTTCCTCGTCTACCGCGAACTTGATAAGCCTTTTCCTCCAGGTGAGAAGAAGCGCGCCATGAAAAAGGGCAATAGGCGGCCACCACAAACTGGAAGACCAGGGGAACCATACCCAAGACCTCAAGAGAGCAACGGAACTTCATACTCGCCCGCAACATCGCCCGGCGCAGCTCCATATGGAGAGAGAAACCAACACACAGATATGGAGCGGCAACTCGTGGGCTCCCTTGTGGACTCGTATGGGTTCAAGGATTCGGGATTAGTAAAGAAAACCATGAGCGTGACAGTATCGGGGGTGACCCATCATTTGGTGTCATACTACAGTGTTGAAGATGTCATGTCAAACCGCCTCCATACACCCATGCAACACGAGAATTTGAGGGGCATACGTCCACGCGCAGAACTCACAACGAAGCAAAGCTTCCGCGCGCCAATTGATGACTTCGAGCACGGTGCAATGGAAGATGGAGACCCTTCTTCCGCCCTATATGCTTATCGTTCCACGTTAGGTGGCGCGCAGGCATATGCGGTGCCAAGCTCCGGTGCGCCGTACTACCAGCTTCCCGCTTACGGCGCACACCCTGGTTATGCAGTTGGCGCGCCAGGTATTCCAGGCCACCCCACATCCAATCCATATCTCACAAATGCTCCCGGTTCAGCCGACATGCCGCCAAAGCTAGAAGGCTACTCTTTCCGGAGCTCAGCATCGTACCCGCCTAGCTATCACCCCATGAATCCCAGTATACCGCAACCCATGTCGGCTTCCACGATACCCTCTGCCCTCAACCCTACCATGGGCGATAGAAGTCAACAGCAACAACCCAGCAGCGCTTCCCTCTACCGAAACCCGGGATTACAACCGCGGGATGTACCTACAGGTTCACTTTCCGGACCGGTCGACCCCGGTTCAGCAGGTGCCCCAGCGTATTCAAGAGGAAGTTTTGGCGGCATTGACTCCTCAGACCAACAGAGCGTCGGACAGCAGCAGCATTACAACCCTTCAACGAGGCGGGAATCGAGTGCCATGGCGCCTAGCGTTTCATACTATAATGGAGACCGTCAGTCTCAACAGCCACAGCCGCCATCACAACCGCAGTCACAACCTCATCAATCTCAACAACAGCCGCCGCAGCCACAACACCCACAACAATATTTCTCCAGTAGTGGTCAGCCGGGACAGCCTTCAAGTTACCAACCCGGCCAACAGGCGTCGATGTCCTGGAATACGGCTACAACGGGTTGAAAACACTGATATTTTTCTTTTCTTTTCGTTTTTCAACTTTCATACTTCCATGTTTGTTCTGATTCGATTTTTCTTTCATCCAGGTTAGCTGCTTTTCAGTTTCCTGAGGTTTTCTTTCTGGGATGGGTGGAGAGGATGATAAATGGGATTATGAAAAAGACAGTCGTTTTATTTTTATTTTTATATTTATTTATTGCGAGTTGAAAATTTGGACATCGCTTTTGAGACTTTTTCTCCGTTTTGCGTCTCAACTTGCGGTTTTATGATAGGAGGGACGCTTGTGCTCTGTTCTAATTTTCCTACTTTTCTTCCTTTTTTCCCCCGTCTTCCGCCTGAACCACCTCTCCCGCTCAGTCTTTGTTTTGCTTTACTCCTCAAATTGATTCCTTGCTTTTTTGGATTTGCTCATGTTTCCCTCGCCCACCCACTATTGTACCGGCGAATTCGAATTTTATCTACCCTGTTCCGGCCCCTTGTTTGTCCCCCTTTTTTCTTAATTTGATAAATACGTAAAGGGGGAGGGGCAAGGGTTTTTTGTGTGGGATTCTTTTTAATCCCCTTTTCTTCTTTTCCTTTCTTCTTCTTCTTCTTCCTTTGCTTTTAGCTCCCTCGTGCGCGCGCACATAGCCGCTCGTTTCTATCAAACACATAGTATTACTCATAGGCCCCAGGGCGTTTTGCATTTTTTAATAAAGAACTGAAAAATTGAGATATGGGTAGTTGGTCGGCTGCTGCTAGCTTTTCTTTTTCTTTTCTTTTCTTTTCTTCTCTTTTCTTTTCTTTTCTTTCTGCGAAAAATGGCTGGTCGGTTTTTGTTCTTCCATTTCCATCTCATCATCATTTATTTTATTTATTACTTGTTTGACCTTTCTGTCTTTTATTTCTATCGCTGCTTCTGATGAAGTTGACATTTGCCCTATCTTTCTTTCCTTCTCTTTTTTTTCCCCCCTGTTATCTAAACTGTGGAGTTGGGCTTTTTGTAGGTGCAGGGGCAGTGGGAGGGTCAGTCAATTTCAAAGTTGAACATGAGCTTTTTGACAAAAAATCAAGAGAAAAAAGGATGAAGAGTAATAATGAAGAAAAATAAAAATAAAAACTATTTTTTTTGTTCGACTGTTCTTATCTGTAACTAATAATATCAATCACTGCTTGATCTGTTGATCATCCATTTCCAGCTCCATTTCCTCCAACTGCTTTCAAACTCTCCTGTTCCTGCTTTCTCCATCAAACGCGCACGCACCACTTCTTATAATAAACTTTTTGCAAACTAGGCTTTTCTTTTACTGTAAACTTATTAATAAAAGTTTCATGTTTTATCTTCGTGATCCGAGATGGAACTGGAAGGCTAATCTAATCTATCTTATCTTAGGGGGGGGGGGAGGAGCGGTGGAGCGGCTGGTTCAGGCACAATCATCAGGCATTTAATTTAAGGTTATGGGTATCTAAAGTTCCCAGAGATATAAAAAAATAAAAAAATAAAAATAAAAAAAAGTTTGGCGCTTTCGCTATTTTCCTTCTTGCGCTACCGTAACGCTGTTTTCTTAAGTAATATATATATATATATATATATATATACAAGGCAAAAAAAGGGGTAAATAATGGGGGGTTCTAGATTAGTTTGAAAGGGTTTACCCCGAGGTTAATTTTCTTCAGGTACGCTATTCTAACCTTAACCTGCTGTTACATCTGTGCTCCTGTTGTACCCGGGGGGGGGGGGGGGGGTTCCTGCTCTACCCTTGTCTTGTCTCTAGACCCTGAAATTGTATTTTTCTTTTTCACATTTGTGGTGCGTCCGCCCGTCCCACGTATAATTCGCCATGTAACAGTGGTGGGGTCTATGAGCCTTTACCATACACCCACCCCCTTCCTCGAGTCGTCATATTTAGCGAGGGATCCGGCAATTGGGACATGTAGACCTGGATGGACATTGGCAATGGGGATGGAGTGTGGATATAGAATTGAGAAAGATGATTTATGCCATAGAGCAATTACGTAATGTTGGAGGGGACGCTTGTGGCGATGTTGTGAAATCATTCATTTTTGTCGATGTCGGAGTTGGTGTTTTGTTCGTTGCGCGAGGATTTGCTGGGCTTGGTCAGGGGTAAAGGTGACCGGGGCAAGGTACTAGTGGGTGAAGAGGTGCAGGCGGATGGTGGGGGATATAGTTTAACTGTAGTATTATATGACGGGTTGTAGAGGTAGGACGGCGGCCGTTTCTTTTGTGCTCTTAGTTATTTCAACTGTTTAATCTATTTCTGAGTATGCGGTGGGACATGCGAGAAACAGGGAGCTAAAGGACGAAACAAAGAGCTCTCCGGTTGTGTTAATACACCTGGGTTATGGAGTTGACAGGGTCCTCGTACGCTAGATGGTGAGGTTTATGGAATATTGAAGAAGTCATGGAACGGGAGATCGTTAGTACGGATTGAACCTTCAGGCATTATCGTACACCCTTATATTCAACGCGCAAGGCCGTACTTACCTTTTCCATTCTCATTGCTAGATATCGGGGAAAAGAGCTCGAGGGTCTAGCTAGAGTATTGCAAATATACTTACAGATAGCCATGCAGATACCTAGGTATATCCTTGCTCTAGATATCCGTCGGAACTCGACTGAATCCAAGGAAACGGGCAAACCGTTTTCACTATCCTGCAGATCCCGACTATCCACGACCAGTATTGAGAATATCAAGTTGCCATGAAATGTGTCGGCAGTCCAACTTTCTTCCATTTCGAGAGACGCCTCGGTTGCGGTACGGCCATTGTCCGGGACGTCCATCTCTCACTCGCACCCCGCTTGCCCCCATAACATAAACGGCAGTGAGGGCGGCAGATATAACTGCTGGTTACTGCGACGGTCTTCCGTTTGTGAGTTGCAAATGCATAGCTTATTGCTTCTTTTGTTCCGCCATTTCTCTCTGAATGTGTAGGTCGATCATATGTAGGTCGATATGGGCATAGACGACCACGACCCTACATATATCAGTCTTCAGCGACTCCTAGCACTCCCATGGCGGAGGTACCCTTCGAGTTCCGCGTTACATCCCTATATGCGAGTAGGGTGACACAGATCGCGGAGGTACATGTACACAGCGTCCGGTCTATACATGAATTGTGCTGTACGTATAGGTGGGCAATCAGGGTCCCTAAGAGGTACAAACCGCACATGTACAGTACACAGCATATGGAGGGACTGATCTGATTTACCCGAGTAACCGTCTCCTCGCATACCAACCCCGCTGTCCAGCACAGAACTGCACTGACAACCTGGATGTATGTATAATGGTTTGTGATATAATGGACTGTAGCACAAAGGGCCAAGAAGGGAACCCACGTAGGTAAGGATTCTCAATTTTGAGTGCCGGCACCGTTTGGCCAAAGAGAAGATATGGTGTGTGCAAAGTCTTTTTGAGGTACTGTGTGATATGAACAGTACTTGACAACGGCAGATGGAGATGGGAATTGTCCAGTATATGGGTATCTCTTGTGGATTGCGGTGTTTGGAGAAGACGCGATGCTTGAGCGGGGGAGTTGGGCCAAGACTTGGACAAAGGAACCCCTCCTAATTGCTCCCTCAGCTTCAAATGGCGGTCCATCCCATCCAATATGCCGGACGTATAATAAATCCTCCGACTATTTGTGGCTATTATTACATTGTCCGATGCAGCATTGAGGTTGCTGGTGGGATGGATATAGAATGTGGGCATGTGACTTGGCAACAGATAACTACCACTACTGGGTTGAAGGGGAGATTTGTCAGCCAGGGCAATAATCTGCCGTGTTTGCAGTGGAAACAAACCAAAGCAAACAAAGTCGCCGCTGAAACCAATTTGCTTGACAATAATTCAATTGCTTGCTAATCAACTCTCTCTTGTCCACATTCAATACCTCATTCAGCAGAAGCTAATCGACTCACAAGGGGCGCTGTTTTCTGGGATTCGGGGTTCGGTGTTACGACTTGGAAATAACGCTAACCGGCTTACAAATGGGATATTGAGGAATGATGTGATCTGCAAAACTTTGGGAGTTGAGCAGTTAGTTAACCAAGGAGTTCAGACAACCAACAGCAGTGGACAGTCCGCGGATGCGCTAATAATTGGCGGCTTTAACGGAGTTTAACCTAACCTTTCGGGGGTGCTGTGCCTACGGAGTAGTGTGCTCGCTGTCTTCTGGACCGTTGCTACTCCCCTGATCTGGGCGCTGGCGAAGCCACGCTCCCAAGGCTACCTGAACGTGAGCTAGCTATCTAACAGTTACCCAGTCATCCTATCGGGAGCTTTTGTTTCGTGTTGGCGTGCAGGGCCAGCACCCAATTTCCGATGACGACAAATGAGTCAATCGTCCTCATCCCCCCCGCCCAGGGTTCGAGAATCGCCTAACACTGGTGGGCCAGTCGACGGTGATGCTTCTTCAGATGTCTGCCGGTTTTATGCTGCGACAAGGACAGTAAAGCCGAGAACATGAAGCTAATCGATGTTGGGGCGGTTAACTCGTTCCCTCTCCGGAGGAAGTACTCCGTAACTAGTTGCTTCACAACTGTTATCCCCACCCCAGTCGCGTATCAGCTTAGACGCGAATCGAGGATGATGCAATCGACCCATGATTCAAACCAAATTTATATTAGCAGGGAATCCACAGTAACTTTGCCTGACTCGGAGTAGCTGGTTGGAGATCTAAGTTATCACATATCCACCACGTCTGACAAATGCAATCAAAACGTAAAAAATTCTTCATTCAGCCAGTCGGAGCTCATACAGGATTCTACATATAAGTAAGCTACATTCCAATTGATGATCATGGAATTCAATGAATATCTTTTCTTCTGTTTTTCATTTCTTTTCATTCTACGCTGTCGATTCAAAACGACCTGACAGGTTTCACCAAAAATTCTCCCTTCGCCAGAAAAGAAAGCCAGCTGCGAAGCATACCTGCTGTTTCCTGCATAATCAATTCAGTACTTTGTGCGAGCTGCTGGCGTGACCAAGCTTGCTCGGTACTGGGTGAGTTGAAGCTTCGTTGGAAGCTTGGGCGGTGTGTGTCACATCAGTTGCTCGGACCAGATTGCGATCCCGATAAAACAAATACCATATTTTGTTCGGACTGGGCATCCCAACAAGTGATCAGCGTCCCTTCCTGACAGCAGAGGTGATTCGAACCGGCACGGTAATTTCAATCACACTTCGTCCCTTTTGGCTAGACCGGATTTCCCCAGAATGGCATCCCCGTCCAACACAGGTGCCGACATCGAAGGGGTGGGAAAATCGACTGATTGGACAAGCCCCTCGCAGATATCTGTGGACACAGATCCAGAGATAGCGCTATCCGAATCGAGTCGCGGGGGTAGATGGGGCGAATATGAAGAGGGCGACCCGGTCTCTCGTCGTCGCGCCATGGAGGAATTTGCTGAAATGTCGAAGGAGTTAACGAAACTGAGTCTACAAAAGAGCAAGTCTTCAGCAAAGAGAAGGAAAAGTTTTGTCCGCCAATCTACCGCCCACTCTACAATGAACCAGGAAAAGGATATCGATATTGAACGTGACTCGTTGGATTCAGCGTTATCCGTGAAGGGCGATTTCGAACTGAGCGAATTCTTGAGAGATGGACGTCTAGAACGGAGAACAACGGCAGGAGGCCCTGGGAAAAAGATTGGCGTAGTCTTCAAAAATCTGACCGTCGAGGGGATTGATGCTACCTCATCGTTTGTCAAGACGCTTCCGGATGCTGTGAAGGGAACCTTCGGGCCTGACCTTTACAATCTTATTACTCGCTTCGTTCCGGGACTAAGATTCGGAAAACCACCCCCGACTCGCAGTCTCATTCACGATTTTACGGGAGCTCTCAGAGATGGGGAAATGATGCTGGTCCTCGGAAGGCCTGGTGCTGGATGCACCACCTTTCTAAAAGCCATCGCCAACAATCGATCATCTTTCGCGGCTGTCCTGGGAGATGTCAGCTATGGTGGGATCTCGGCGGCAGAGCAAGACAAACATTTTCGAGGGGAGGTCAATTACAATCCCGAAGACGACCAACATTTTCCTGCTTTAACCGTAGAGCAGACCCTCAGGTTCGCTCTGATGAACAAGACAAAGAAGCGAGACCAAGATTCGATCCCAATAGTCATCGACGGGCTGTTGAAAATGTTCGGGATCAGTCACACCAAAAACACCATCGTGGGCAACGAGTTTGTCCGTGGCGTTTCTGGTGGAGAGCGCAAGCGTGTTGGCATCGCAGAGACCCTGACTACCAAATCATCGGTTGTTTGCTGGGATAATTCTACCCGGGGCCTCGATGCCAGCACTGCTTTAGATTATGTCAAGTCTCTCAGGGTCATGACGGATGTCAGCAATCGAACCACATTTGTTACACTTTACCAGGCAGGAGAGGGAATTTACGAGCTGATGGATAAAGTTATGGTTATCGAAGAAGGCCGCATGCTATACCAAGGGCCCGCTAATAAAGCAAAGGCTTATTTCGAAGGTCTAGGATTCTACTGCCCAGAACGATCGTAAGTAATATACCTATCTCTCGCCTGAGGTTTAAATATAGTTTCTTTTTGTCTAACACCACACAAGAACAACGGCGGACTTTCTTACTTCCTTGTGCGACCCCATTGTTCGCCAGTTCCAGCCCGGCCGAGAAGCTTCGACTCCTAAGACCTCCCAAGAACTAGAAGCAGCATTCAGACGCAGTGACATTTACAAAGATATTCTGAAGGAGGTTGATGACTATGAGAACCAGATTCTAGACACTGATTGTTCTGACACTCGTCAATTTCAAAAGCACGTTGGCGAATGTAAGTGAACAAAGCCAAAACCTCACGCCGAAAATCACACCTCCCTGATTACTGGGACTAACATTTTTACCTGCAGCAAAAAGCAAAACCGTCTCCAAGCGGTCAAATTACACGGTCTCATTCGCACGGCAGGTCATGGCTTGCACGAAACGAGAATTTTGGCTCTTTTGGGGCGACAAAGCCTCTCTGTACACCAAGTTCTTCATTGTCTTTGCTGTTTCTCTCATTGTCGGTTCTCTCTTTTACGGCCAGTCTCTTGATACCGGTGGAGCATTCTCTCGTGGCGGATCCTTGTTCTTCTCCATTATTTTCCTTGGGTGGCTTCAGCTCACCGAGTTGATGCCGGCCGTCTCTGGTAGAACAATCATTGCGAGACACAAGGACTATGCCTTTTATCGTCCTTCTGCCGTCGTTATCGCTCGCGTCCTCGTCGACATTCCAGTCATTTTTGCAATGCTCGTGGTGCTCGCCGTAGTGGAATATTTCCTCATGGGATTGGACGTCGACGTTTCCAAGTTCTTCATTTATTGTTTGTTCGTCTATGTTACAACGATATCTATCACAGCTATGTATCGCATGTTTGCCGCGTTCTCAGCCACCATAGACGATGCTGTCCGATTTGGAGGAATAGGTAGGTTTTTAAATTTAGCGTTTCGTTTTACTGTGGATTCTGGTACTGACGATTTAAAAAGCTCTTAACTTACTCGTTTTCTACGTTGGATACGTAAGTCATACAATTCTACTCCTTACGAATTCGGGCGATATACTAATATTAAATTTTGTCTAGGTGATTCCGAAGCAAGCTTTGCTTGATGATTCCCCCTGGTTTGGCTGGCTGCTATACGTCAACCCCCTATCGTACGCATTCGAGGCCGTCCTGGGTAATGAATTTTCGAATCGTGTTATGGAATGTTCGCCTGAACAACTTGTGCCGCTCGGCACGAACGTTGACCCAAAATACCAAGGATGCTCTCTTCCTGGTTCTCAGTTGGGTAGTAATACCGTGTCCGGAGCCCGATACCTAGACTTTTCATTTCAATTGTGAGTATCTTATCTACTCCGAATACAAAAAAAAGGGCGCACAGTTTAATAAATGAAATCTAGTTCCCGGAGCCATTTGTGGCGTAACTTTGGGATCGTAGTCGCCTTCACAATCGCGTACATTGCAATCACGGCAATCGCTGCTGAAGTCTTCCCATTTACAACAGGAGGAGGCGGTGCATTGATATTCAAAAAATCCAAGAGAACAGAAGCATTGTCCAAGCTTCAGCAGAAAAGCGAATCCCAAGATGAAGAGACGGGAAAGATCGAGAGGATTGGAAATGTTGGCGGGGTTGCCACTCGAAGGTCTTCCGCCACTGCCAACAACGAGAATGGTAGTTTTACAAAACTTTCGACCAGTGATAGGGTTTTCACTTGGTCCGACGTTGAATATACGGTACCTTATGGGAATGGTGAGCGGAAACTCCTTAACAAGGTAACTGGTTATGTAAAACCGGGAAGTATGATTGCTTTGATGGGCGCGTCTGGCTCAGGAAAGACAACGCTCCTCAACACTCTAGCGCAGCGACAGAGAATCGGTGTTGTGTCTGGTGAGATGCTTGTTGATGGGCGAGCTCTTCCTCCAGATTTCCAAAGAGGAACCGGTTTCTGTGAACAGATGGATATCCACGACACCACTGCCACCATTAGAGAGGCGTTGGAATTTTCAGCGATCTTGCGACAAGACAGAATCATTCCCCGCGAGGAAAAAATTGCGTATGTTGATCAGGTCATCAGTTTGTTGGAACTTGATGATATCCAGGATGCCATCATCGGTTCACTTGGCGTTGAGCAAAGGAAGCGATTAACAATCGGAGTTGAACTGGCAGCCAAACCGAGCTTACTGCTGTTTTTAGACGAACCTACTAGCGGACTGGACAGCCAGGCAGCTTTTTCTATCATCAGATTCCTGAAAAAGCTATCCCAGGCGGGGCAAGCTATTATTTGCACCATTCATCAACCATCTTCACTCCTAATTCAGCAATTTGATACCATCCTTGCCCTAAACCCCGAGGGAAATACCTTTTATTTCGGGCCTGTTGGTGAGAACGGCCGTGCCGTCGTTGATTATTTCGCGGAGAGAGGCGTCGTTTGTCCTGACAATAAGAACGTCGCGGAATTCATCCTGGAGACTGCCGCGAAGGGCCGTAGGAGCAACGGGAAACGAATTGATTGGAATGAGGAGTGGCGAAACTCGAAAGAGCTTGCCCAACTCAAGACGGAGCTGCAGGAAATCAACCTCGAGCGAAGCCAACGCCCGCTCTTGGAGACTTCTGGCTCGCAGTATGAATATGCCGCCCCCGTTGCTCTACAGTGTTGGATGCTCACAAAACGATTATTTGTCAACTACTGGAGAGATTCTTCGTATATTTATGGAAAGCTCTTCATCAGTGTCATCCTTGGTATTTTCAATGGCTTTGTAAGTTACTACTGCATTCGAACTACCCCCACATCTTGGACCTTGAATTAACCATATCATTTACCATACAGACTTACTGGCAATTGGGAAATACCATATCTAGCATGCAAAACCGAATGTTCTCCATTTTCCTGATCATCCTGCTCCCGCCAGTTTTCATGAATGGTGTTGTCCCAAAGTTCTTCATGAACAGAATGCTCTGGGAGGCGCGAGAGCAACCGAGCCGAATCTACGGCTGGGTGGCATTCTGTACAGCGAACGTCGTCTGTGAGATTCCAGCAGCTGTAGTTACCAGTGTTGTCTATTGGGTTCTCTGGTACTTTGCGACTGGTCTGCCCACCGACTCAAGCACATCCGGCTATGTGTTCTTAATGTCCATGCTTTTCTTCTTCTTCCAAGCCAGCTGGGGACAGTGGATCTGCGCGTTCGCACCCTCGTTCACCGTTATAGGAAATGTAAGCCCTATCAAGCTTTCTACATCTACAGTTTCCACGCGATCCCAAACTAATCGAACCGTTACAAAACCAGGTCCTCCCATTTTTCTTCGTAATGGTGAACCTCTTCAACGGCGTCGTGCGCCCTTATTTCGTCCTTCCAGCTTTCTGGCGCTTCTGGATCTACTATGCAAACCCAACCACATGGTGGCTCCGGGGTGTGCTGTCTGCTACCCTCCCGGACACACAGGTCGTCTGTTCCCCCGCCGAGCTCACCCACTTCAACCCGCCCCCTGGTCAAACCTGCATTGAGTACGCGGGTAACTTCATCTCCTCCATCGCGCGATCAGGCTACCTTACCAACCCCAACGCGATAGCTGACTGCAGCTACTGCGCATACTCAAACGGAGCGGAATATATGCGCACTCTGAACGTGCACGACGGTGATAAATGGAAGGGTTTCGGGATCTTCTTAGCATTTGTGGTGATTAACTGGGCGCTGGTATACTTTATGATATATACAGTGAGGGTTAAGGGGTGGACGTTTGGCTTTGGGACGGCGGTCGGTCTCGTCGAGAAGGGGATCTCCTGGGTGGAAGGGTTGACGAGGTCGGTAAAGGCGAAAGAGGATGGTGTGGGCGAGGGGAAAATCGAGCAAGCGAGCTGAAAGGGGAAAGATGCCATTGGAGAGGGTACGTGAGGATCTTGTGGATGACTTTTAATGATAATTTACTAGAATTTCTAATTCCTTTTTGTTGTTTTGATTCGGGATGAGAATTGTGGTTTGCATCTTTTTTAGACTGTGCTGGCGTTCTTTTATTGTTTTAACTTTTTTTATTTTTTTATTTTTTTATTTTTATTTTTATTTTTTTTTCTTAATTACTGCAAATAAAAAATAATGAATATAGAAACAACAAATAATGAAAACAAGCGAACAAACAAAACTTTCAACTTCGGTTTTCTCGCTGTTGCTGCTGGTCTCTCATTTCGGTCCCCTCAGGATCCGTTGCCCAGGGTGTCTAGGGGTGAACGAACTCATATCAAAGCAGCAGAGACACTTACAACATTCCCAGTTCTCGTAAAGCAGGTTAACACATTTGGTGCCCTGAACGGGTTCGGCCGGGTTCACAATGTTAACGGCCATTTCACAACCCTTTTTCCAGTGGATTGACATGAAGTATGGAACCTCCGTAAAATATGGTATACCGCTCTTTTTTCTGTCGGTGATGCTTTCGCCAGGGCGTATTTCACGGCTCTTGTCGCAGAGACGTACAGCTTGATGTTCTACCCACTTGCCAGTTATATCGCCGCGACCCTGATAGACATCTTTGTCGTGGGATTGCCGCTGGCTGACTTTCAGAGGTACCTTGGGTTTCTCCGTCGCAACTGGTGTGACTTTCTTCGTTGTAGTTACAAGAGTGGTGGGTCCTTTATTTATCGGGTGCGGGGGGCTCGGCGGCGGTGGTGGAGGCAAAATACAAACGCATTTACCGTCTAGGCAACCAGTGCGGCGCGGGAAGCCACATTGGAGGGCCAGCACACATTTGTCAGTAGTCTCTGGAGTGCATCCAATATCCATTGGTTTTGGTGACCCCGTTAAATTGGTGGTGATACTTGGTGTGGTAGTCGTTCCACTAGCTGTTTGGGAGAGGTAGCCGGTAGAAGTCGCAGTAGCGGCAAGCGTGGGAAGCAAGTGAAAGTCCCGGGGCTTTTTGGCCACGGGAGCTTTGTTGGACGTACAATGAGCCTCATCCTCCCCATTACATGTACCCAACGCTCCCACCAGTAGATTTCATGGAGAAGGATGTTGTACCATTCTGAAATTGCGTTGAACCCTCGACAGGAGGTGACATCGTATTTGAAAATCAAGATCTGAGCCTCACGGCATATCTCTGTGGTGCACCACCATTCGTAGCATCCTGGACGTATGGACCATACCTTTGAAGAGCAGTGTTGTCCAGCTACCTCCAAAGACTTATGGATAGGCCTATCCTCACCAGGACGAGCATTGGTAAACTTCCAAGGATCAGCAAACAGTGCTTATATTTATATGAGCCTTGGGGAAAAAAGGATGACTCTGATTCACCTTCTCACAGAGCCTATCGAATCGAGGAGTTCCATGGGCGTTTTCTACCCCAAAAGACACAATAGTAATTTGCGGGAAGGAGGGCAACCCTGTGCCAGGCATGGGATAGAAAATAAGGCTTGGGAGCAAAGTAGCATCGAATTGAAGCATTCCACGGCCTTTACTTGGTTGATACTAGTAATGGGGCTACAGATAAAAAAAAGGAATCCTGTGAGTAGTTAAATGTGGGCTCAAGGGCCTTCATCATCAATGATGTTGAACAGGATGGGCGGCACAGTTTGAAACATCACGCCAACGCCGTCAGCTTTCTCCTGCCCGTCGCCGCATTTGCAGATCTGTGGACGATAGATAATTGCCATTGGTTAGTAGTTAGCCAATTACGTGATACCTCATACCCCGGGGGAGAGGGGAGAGGGGAGAGGGGAGGGGAGGGGGTTTTTGCATTTCCAAGCCTGGTTGTTTTGCATTGGATGTTGTCCGGCTCTGTTCCAACGCCGGTTGCCGAGTGGCGCGCGGCTGATTTTGTGTGCTAAGCGACCACGTGATAAGCTTATCTCGTCGAGGGCATCGCTTGCTCATCCAGAAGTGCAACCTGGCAAGCAACAAGCAATGCGAAAAGTAACAAGAAGACCAGTCTGCTAGCGGCTCCCCAGCCTATTGCCTGCTATGGGCCGCCATCATGCAGGCAAAAGTTTTAGCACCAAATGCCCCAAGAGCTTGAAATTCCGCTACTCTTTCACTTCTCGCCAGTTCCGAGAGGGATGGGTTGCCTCAAACATCATGAGGACATATAAGAGCATACATCTGAACCGGCATCCCGGGATGAAAGCACGCACACCCCGCCTCAAGGTGGCTTCTGCAGCCGGCTTAGCCACGGTAAATTCTATCAGACTGCAGTTTTCCCTCGCTCCATGCCTGCAACATCATGAAGGTGCTACGGCTGATGATATGGGTGGGAGCCTATTACTTTCTTCTATCTTCTCCGGTGAGAGATGGTTTCCGGATGTAGCGGGATGGGATTTCAGCGGAGAAGCATTTTAAAGCGCGTACAATACTACTCCCTTCCTCGGTGGACAATCCTCACAAAGTGTTCGCACGCCCCAGTGGGGACAGCGTGATTAGCAATCTCTGAGAATTTTCACGGTCTCAACGTCCATAATAACCTAATCAAGATCGAGCCATAAAGCGGACATTAACATGAAAGGTACAGATCAAAACTCGTCTAACAGAAATTTCATAGCTTGCTTACTTTCCCACCGGTTGGCCTATTTGCCTTCCGGCTGCATGATGTTATGCCGGCTGGAGTTGCCAATCCGGTTTTCTTTCCTGCATTTGCTTTTACTTATGTCAACGGCTTTTCGCAGTTTATATCACCGTATATTCTCCACGCCGACAGCTCCGGGGGGGATCGAGTTCATCATTTTCACGGACTTTGTGTGTGCTACCATCAACCTAGTTCTGCGACATGGACCCGCATAGAATATGGCTCCATGGCATTACCTTTGCTTCAAATATTGGGAGCAAGAGGAACAAGAAGTCCTCTTGAACCCCCGCTAGGGATAGGAATTTAAGCACCCTGGAGAAAGGAAAAGGGTACAAAAGAAGCCTAGATCTTTGATATATGTGCGGTTAGCAATGGTTTCTTTTCTCATCCATGTATTGGTGTCAAGACCGTTGTGGAACAGACGTCGACACATGCTGCCAGACTCCAGATGGGCAGTATAATCTGTGTGGCTTAGGTCAGCCTTCCATTGTCCAAAGCCCCAACCAAGGACCTGGAACTAATGCCCAAGTAGGTACTATCTGCTGCGGGTTTGGGTGTTACCCCAGCAGGTCCCATACGTGTAATGTCAACTTCAGTTGCACTGTGCCCAACGGAGAGGTCATACCACCGGCAGCTCCAAACTCTACAAGTCAGCTCACACATAAGCCCACCACCCACCATCCCTCGATACCACCTCCAGGAAAAGCCACAACCAAAACCGTGGTGTCATCTGTCAAACAGCCCAGTCGCCGGTCAAGCAATCAACCCCAGCACACCCTAGGTTTATTGACTGAATCATTTGAATCAACTACCGGCACACACTCAAATCAGCCCACCGGCCCAGCGCTCGGTAAACCTGAAAAATCTATAGAAGCTCCATTAGATCAGCCCACGATCGCGCCGGTTGACAAAACTGAACAACCCAAAAAGTATACTGAACCGCTAATAGACAATACAGCGGAACAGCCTACAGACCAGTATACGGGCCGCCCAACAGGCCAACCCTCTGGGCAACCTGATCCCACAGATCAACCTGCCTAGATATCTACCTAGCAATCTGCAATCAACCCTACAAGCCCCTACATCTCACAAACTACAGATGAGTCATCTGAGATCCCCACCAGCACAACCACCGAAGATGGCTCTTTTCTGCCCAGTTCCCTTGGCGCTGTTGTTTTAGTTGATACGCGAACTGCAACACTTCCTCTCGTTACATCTACAACTACTTTTATCACTGTAGACCACACGTTCACTCTTACCCCCCCTTCACACACAGGACAAGCCGTTGAAACTTTGGTTATTGATGGTACTTCAACAGCAACTCTTCCTCGCATCTCAAAAACCATGACACTTACCACTCTAGGTTTAACTTTGACGCTTGCACCACCTTCCTTGACAAAAACAGATCTTCCCCTAAGCAGAACAGCTTCCATTACAGGTTCCAGTTCAACTCTGAGCCTCACGTCTTCGCGTGTAACCGAAGGAAGGGCATTGACCACAGAAAGTCAAATCATCACACCTAGGCCAAATATTTCTTCAACTAACACAGTTAGCAATCCACAGTTTCCCACCACGACAGCAAGCCAAACAAGCGACGTTGTGGGCCACCAGCCGCTACCCATATATGATGAATGGCCTTCCGATGCCGTTATTGTTACCGTTGAGAGAAGTTGAAGAACCTGAGCCCTCGGGCAGCGATGATGGCGGCGTTGTTATACCATGCATAGAAGCTGATATATCATTTCGTTTAAGATCTGCATTCGATTCGGCAGTATAAACATTAAGGGATGGAAGTTGAACCTTCCTAGCGGAATCTACCCTCAGTAAGTCTTCCCATTAATCCCGTGTCAATGAACAAAAACCGATATTTGACAATAGCGGGCGACCTCCATCACCGAATATCAAACTTCCACCGGGAATTAACTTCCAAGGCGAGCTTCCGCCATGGCCCAAGTTCACGTAAGTAATTACAGGATATGTCAATATCTTAGACTAATTAACTAACCTTCGTTCCCTTACTGGGCGCCAGCGTCGGGGCTAAGGGATTCCAACTTTCCCTAACCAGCCCGAACCTACTAAATGTGAGACCAGGACAGCCTCACTATGCTCAACCACCACATCGTATGTTGTGTCAGCAATTAAAGGGGCGTTATAGACGGTCTCTTCGCAGGCACTCTCGCCGAAATGCCATGAAGTTCGTGGCTGCTTAGTGACCGACTCAAACCAGAAGACGACTCAAACTAAAGCGGATGACTGTGTGATTTCAACCGTGACTGACGTAGCTGTCATATGCAGCGGGGCAGGAACGACAGATTGTTCTATAGAGACAAAAGTTCCTAAAACAGGATGTTCTATATCTCCGACCACAGCAACATTATCATGCACCCCTACCCCTACTGGGAAAGACCGGCGACAGGTAGGTGACAATTTGTGCGCGCCGGCAAGTGTGTATTATGCCTGGCCTGGTGATGGAAGAAACGTGGACCAAACTACTGCAATCTATACCGAATTGAAAATTTTTCTTCAGGTTGAGACAAGGATTAGAACCTTGGATACAATATCTATGGGTATCAACTTCTGGAGAGTATATCTCACTCCTAGTCAGGTCCAGCATGTCAAGGGCATACCGAATGTGAGTAAAAATGGTGCACTATGGCTAGATAACTCTGATTATTACAGGAAAGTGGAAAAGGAGAAGAGTTGAGTTATCGACAATAAAATCGCTAATAGCACTTAGACAGGTTATTGCAGTGTATCGCGAAGTTTTAGATGGCCTCAGAGGCAGGGACACTCTGACTCAAGGCACACTCCGAAAAATAACATATTATCGATAACAAAATAAGTACGTCATTGGAGGATTTGACGTAGGCAGTCAGATGTCTATTTGCTCTGCCAGATCTCTCCCAAATTGGGACCGTCCGTATATATTTGACAAGAGCACTAGGAAAGATATTCCTGCCTACATTGTAGATACTGGAGCACAAATTGATCACCCAGTCCGTATGCACACTCGTCGTGGTCTGTATGCCCAAAAATTTAACAATGTTGTGACAGGAATCAATCAAGGTGACAGGGCAGCTACAAGGGCCGAATTTATATACGCTTATGAGGACCATGACCATGCAGAGAACCTCGACCCTCGTGATGACGCGGGAATGCCACGGAATGGCATTTGTCCTCCTGCCAGAACTCGCATCCCGCACGGAACTACAATGTTAGGCGCCGTGATGGGTGCCAAGCTCGGGATCGCCAAGAAGATCAAACCATACATAGTACGCACTCCGCGAAGGGACCCTAGAGGCAGCAATCCCATGGCGGAGGATTATGTGCTAGGTTATCAAAGATCAGTGACCGCTATTCGGACAGTAGTAGGATCACGCGAGCAATCCTCTCGATGCCTTGGATACTCTGGGAAAAGGAGTTTATACAGACCCCGTTCAACGACCGCGTCCCCAATGATTTTGTTGTCTGTCAAAAAAAGGATATATGCCCTGCTTACTGATCTTGTTAGGAGAGGTATATTTCCGTCGCTGGCGCGGGTAATGTCCCTTCATCAATCGTAAGTACACTTTTCGGCTATTCACAAAGCATACTCTAACGCTGATATGTAGATCAAGGGATGGCCTTCCCTGTTTGGCGCTAACGTCTCAACATTGACTGAGGATGAACTACAAGGATGGCTAGATATTCCTCAGATATTAGTTGTCGGAGCCGTGGAAACAGTTGAAGGAAAAATCTCATCGAATTCGGGATGGGATAAGCGGAGACATATTCCTGACGTTCATGCGCCCGGTGTCGATATTATTGTGGCGGACGGGAATAAGGGGGAATGGGCTAGGAATGCGCATTACAAGCAATCAGATGGCACCTCCCTTGGTAAATCACAAATTTAACCTACTCTTTGTTAGCAATTGACTCACGGATGCCCTTTAGCGCAGCTACCGCTTATACAGCCGGCCTCGCTGCACATTTTTTGAAACTTCACGAGGTCGGCCGGCTTAAGCCCATAAGTCCCGGCATACAACTTGACATGAGAAGGGGGCTTAAAGACTATATCTGAACACTGGTGTGGCGAGAAGTTCTCATGGTGCTTTTGGCCCTGTACTGTCAGTGTGGAATGGTGCAGAGTGGAACGGCGTAGGCCACTTCCCTTACGAGTGGTCGATCTTTCAGCTGCGGGCAAATGATAAATTGACGGATCAATGCATGGCGGCAGCTACCTCAACTGGAGATCCTGCCGTACATAGTTCCAAAGCTGTCTAGTATCTCCAAACCCTGTTCTTCTGCCGGATCCAAGCTTCAGCGGCATTAATATAAATGTTCTCCAAACATGCAACTTCTTCTATCAGGAAGGGAGAGAGATGTTTTGGGGGCAAAATACGTTCACCACCTCGCACTCATTCATTATCATCGGGGATACGGCTCTGGTAAGCCCCAACCAACCGCGGCAAGTTACTGCTTAAGAAGGCCGTGTCCTTGCAGAAGGTGATGTTCAGAGCCAATTCATCGAATTGTCATCTATCGACGATCATGACATATTCCGCGACCAGGTCATTACGAAAAAACAGGTTCTTCGAACGCTGTTGGAACGTAGTTTGCGGGAAAAAGAGGTAGAACCCAGCGCTTGTGATACCTGACTTGAAGCCTTTCATAATACAATTCAAGCTGATGACTGATTTTTCTTTAAACCATAGGAACTTTTGATTCAAAGATACGGAGACTCAAGGCAAGAATTCGTTTTATCACTTACAAAAATTTGAAGCAGCGCATTAAGCTACAGATACGATCTATTATGCGGAAAGCATGACCGCAAAACAATCGGGATATGCGCTCATGGCATGGTAATACACTTGGAAATGGGAAAGTTAACAACAGCCAGTCACGATTCCAGCCTCCTATGACTTGGTGCCCACTGATTTCAAATTGTTTCACGGTTTAATCAACTCTATTTGCGTGTCATGAGATTTTCTTTTGTCCTGTTTCAATTTATTCACTCAATAATGCCACTGCCTGTCTTCTTTTTTTCCTGCTGGGGTAGTCACATGTTCTTCATTTTATCATGATCTGAACTGTCCAAGATAATAATGAAGTGGAAATTTATTGTCCAAGTTATCAAAGGTATTTCGCTTCGTCGGTTGCCTCAGGCATAGAGAATGTAAACTGCTGGGGAAAGGGGGCGAGGGATAGGCCGAAAGTCACATTAACAGCCACCCGCCATTGACCGTATTGATGAATAAGAAACACAGTGCATGTGTTATGAATTACGTTGCCGCTTTGCAGTCACTTTTTATATCGCCTTATATAACACCAAATTGCGAATTACCGTTCCTCAGATAGGGAAAGAACATCTCCAGTCGCTAAGAGACCGGAAGGAAGAGAAGGAAATAGCACCAAATAACCGACATTGTACAATCAAATTAATCAATCCTCCATATAAAAAAACGGTCTATTACGCCCGTGATATCTCGGTGCAGGAACAATCATCGGAACGGGAATTGTCGGCTCGAACACAGTAGTGACCTCTGACCCGTCGTCTGAGTTGGCGCTGGAGTCCTCCGACTCGGATTTAGCGAGGAGAGTAGCAGTTCTACCAGTCGACGGGATGGATGATAGCTTTCCTGCATCGTTGTGGCGAATGGGGATCACGACACCGCATTCCCAGTTTCGGCAGTTTAATTTTGGTTTGGTGGTTGAGCGGTCGAGGACGAGGCGGCCCCTGGATTACATAGGCGGAAACAGGCATTTTTGTTAGTAAGATTGTGGAAAGAGGCCCAAATAGGCTTTAGGAAGTCGGAGTTTGAAGTGTTGGCAAGGCGGGGGGATTACAACTAGGGGAAAATGGGATCCTGCTGTGTACGTACCAGGCACTTTCTGATAGATTTGCACTGCCAACGTATGCCCAACCAGCGTAGCGGGTGGAATTGTCCTTTAAGCTGGTGATGGGTTTCTCGGGACGGACGAAAAGTATCTGCAGGAGATCATGAATATTTTGGACAAATGTGTTTGAAAATATATACAAGTTTATCGTGGTAAATTTCCGTGCATACCTTGTTATGCATTAATAATCCCTCTCTTCGACTGATATTATCTCTCATTATGTCTTTCGGGAATGTCGCTGAATTATACCACTTTGATTGAAAGCATATCGTCCCAGCATTCTCCGCGCCGCCTTTGGACTTCCGAACCGTGTTAAGCGATGGAAAAACGACACGGAATTTGTCTTTCCACTTTCCACCGTCCGTTCTTTTGGTTACCACTCCCCAGTTTTCGGACGGGAACCTCTTGGATGTGCGAAGGGTCAACTCTTTTAGCCCGCTATCTCCTATATAGACCATTAGTGGAGGTTAAAATGAGATAATTTACATGTAGTTTAGTACTTGGTTTACCTTGTGCTGCAAGATACATAGATCGCAGAAATTGTTCGTTCAGTGAGCCTACTGAGGAAGTCTGCGCGGCCCGTTAGCCTCGTGCAATAAAAGGTAGAGATCAAGGGAGCATCGATGAGCGTACAACGTAGTCAAGGTTTATATCACGAGTGGTTTGAAGACCCAGTGCGGTTATGGCACTTCCAAGTCCGCACAGTCCCGTCTTTCTCCATTTCGGATCTGTGTGAGATCCGCCACTAAAAAATAGTTAACCTGATAGGAGTGTTTGAAAGGAGACCAGGAGATACATACATTGTGTGCACAAACGCGATATCCTTCGTAGCGCTAAAATCGAATTGAAGCATCTTCTTTATAATTTGGTCGTGTAAATTAGACGCCTGAAGGAAGTAAACTAGATCATCGAGGAATGATGTACCAGGTCCGTTGGCTAAATCCGGTGATTTCAGAGGTAGGTCGATAAGAAACACAATCTGAGAGATTAGAACCACATAAACGTTAGAGAATGAGATTGCAAGTAACTTAGGTCCTTACATTTTCCATGACCCCCCCCTGTTCGCCCCAATCAAATGGGACGAGGTTCGCGCTTGGTACTGCAATTCGAAGGTAACTGGGATGAAAAAGGAGCATGAGCTTGGAATGCATGCAATTCACTTGCGGCTCCATGGGAGGAAAACAAAGTCTGACGGATCCCATTGATTTCGTGTCATTCTCAAGCTCCCGTTTCTATTAATAATGTCAGTGGTGTATAATAATAAACATACTATTGACTTTGGAATAATGCCAGGAGAGAAAGGGTAAACCAGATTAGCACAATGACATGGGTCATACTTTGTCTTCTTCCTTCTCTCCCATGATAAGGAGAAACCTAGTCTGTTTAATATCAAATTTCGAAAACATCCAATCCACATTCCACATGTAAGAACTCAGGACGGCGAGCTCAAGGTCCGATTTCTGTACCACTTCTTCAAACTTGATATCGTCGCCTGTCCTATCATAACCAAAAGCCCAGGTCTTCTTGACTACACCATTCGGGAACTGTAATGAAGTAGACGCCAATGGCAGTGGTTGTGACAGAACTCCAGATTTTGTAGTCTCTTTGTTTCTGCTCCGCTCTGCATTTCCAGGTAGATGATGGCCAGGCATTTCAGCTCCAACAGCGGCATCTTCGTTCTTGCTTCTAGTCGCAGCAAGTTTCGATGCAGGAAGCTCGGATGTACTTGAAGCCTTCCGCTTCTTTCCAAGTCGCGCCAATCTTTCCTCCTCCATCTTCTTGCGATCCATCCCCAAAATACCCACTAGAGAACTTGATTTTGTGGAGCCAGGCGCCGCATCATCTGGAGATGTCTTCTCTCCACCCCTTTCAGCCAGGGCAGACGGTGCCTCCCCCTTTGCACCGGTACTTCCCGAAGAATCGCGCCTTTGTAACGATAACTTAATCGCTTCTTCAAGCTCCATGTCTGAGCCCTCAACCACTTCCTTGAACGACCCAGCAGAAGCTCTTGCTAATCTTTGGGGATCTGACTGCGAAGAGTCGCTTGAGTCAGACTCAACTGTTAGATCAACAAAATTGGACTCGCGAGGTGGCGCTGCGGATGCTGCTACCGCTGGTGACTGTCTTGCTGCGTCCAATAACGATGCGCGGATGGCAGCTCTCATAAGTTCATCCTCATCATGACCGTAAAAGTCATGACTATCCATCGCGTAATGCCGTTAACATATGGTTGCAAAGGGTGTTATTACTGTCACGAGGCTCGTTGTTGTTTTTGTGTTGAGGAAGTGTTTAAACGATAGTGAAGCGAAATGTCTTGAAAGAATCACTCTGTATCTCACAGTCTTGAAACCTTGTGTGTCTGTCCAGAGTAGGGGGGTAGAGTGAGTCTAAGGAAGCTTCCCAGATACCACAATCCGCTTAAGGTCCTTTGTTTTAAACCATATCAGTCTGTATCACACCCTAAATTGCTAACCACATCTATCTGTTTCCTTCTCCTCGTGCCCGCTTTTCTCAAGGTGTTAGTTAAATCAACAAAGCGAGACGTAGAAGTTGTTGGACGGTAGGGGCTATAGGTAGTGTGCTTCCACTGTAAGTACCTAGTTACCACTCGATATCACGTGGTTTGGAGGCTCCAGCTGAGGTGGTCCAAGCTCCCAGCAACCAACGAGCCTATTACTACGTCTTCATGACATCATCGTCGTCGGTCTTACAAAACACGACAAGCAAAATCGAACGAAATAAAATGTTTTCTTTCATATACCCTGATCATATTTCAATTAATCGTGAAAAGCTTACAGATTCCAATCCCAGAATGGGAAAGCACACCGAAAACAAATCGTCACAGAACCTAAGTAGCCGACTGCAAACATAAGGCGCAACATGGCGTTCAAAGCGCAATCCACTACTGACAGGCAAAAGGTGCTTATAATTGGTGCCGGAGCAGCAGGAATGGTACGCTAATATCCCAGAAAGAAAGAAAGAGACGAAGCAAGCAAGCAAGAGAAATCCATTCCCATTCCCACTCAAACTCCCTTGCCCAATCCTCTCCCTTCCCCAACCGCGTTAGTCGGGAATAGTAAAAAGGTAACCAAAACATTCCCAATCACACAAAAATTCATTTAGTCATGCGCAGCAACTCTAGCCGAACATCCCAACAGATTCGATGTCACGATTATAGAGCGCGCCAGTGTCCCTGGGGGTGTTGCGACGTCCTTATCGCTAGATACACGCCTGTACGGAGCAGATTGGATGAACAATGGTGTCCAGGGGGGGCCAAGCCTATTCCGACACACCTTCAAATACCTCCGGGATTATGGCTTTGAGCCAAAAGAGATGAAGTTGCAGTTTTCGTTCGGGAAGGGTAAGGAAGATTTCTGGACGAATGTGTTTCCGACAGCGCTGATTGAGAAACACGCGGACGAGATTAGGAGGTTTGGTACGGCGCTTGAGATCATTAGGAAAGGCGGAGTTGCGCTTTGGGTATTGCCTGTTAAGACATTTCTAAGCCTGTTCCGGTTTAGCAAGGAATTCCGGTACAAGATGGTTATTCCTCTTGCCTCGGTCGTGCTTGGAACGGGGAATCAGACGGAAGATTTCCCATGTGGTCTTCTCCAACAGCTTTTTTATGACCCTGGAATGAAAGTGTGGGATTACGACCCAGTATCATTCGTACCAAATCTTCCAAGCATGTTTACCTTCCCCAACATGCGACTCTTCTACCGCGACTGGGCGATTGGCCTATGCTCCAATGGGGTCAGGATCCGCTTAAATACTGAGGTCACTAAGATCATACGCAGAGATCGTCACGGCGTCGCTGTCGAGACGGCACGGGCTAACAGCGATATATTAAGTGGCAGTTCAGTACGTCGCCACACCAGCATCATTGAGGGTTTCGACAAGTTAGTCCTCTGCATTCCCGGGGACGAGGCGAGTCGTCTGTTGGGCAAAGGGGGAACCTGGAAGGAAAGGCTTATCCTTGGCAGTGTCAAGATGTTCAACCGTCTCACTATCACCCATTCGGACTCTGCGTATATCAGAGAACTCTATGAAACTCGCTTCCGAGAGGAGCTGTGCGCGCCGCCCCGGACGAAAGAGCAGGAAGATCAAATATCCTTTGCAAGAGGTGCAGCAGGCGAGCAGCCTGGGTTCAGGCCAATGTACTATACCCGTGCTTACCCCGAACAGAAAAACAAGATGGAGCCGGGATTTGATTGCTCGAATTTCCAGTATCAGTTCCAGCCAGATATCAGATCGGGGCAACCCGCGCTGCCTTTTGACCGTCACGTTTTCCAAAGCCATTTCTTGGATGGTAAATTGAAGCATCTTTGGACGGCTAATAAGATCGACGAGAGCAGTATCATCGAACGGAGATGGTGGCATCAGCTATCTCCCCGCTGGCAGCACTATGTTAGGGTTGCTCCGGCTATACGGTTCATCAATGGCAAGAAGAATACATATTTCGCAGGATCATGGACACTTGTGGTGAGACCATGTCAAACTCGAAGCATATATATGAACTATAGGCCGTCGTGCGCTGACAGCACTGACACAGGATATTCATGAGGTCGCATGTATATCTGGCATTGCGGCAGCGTATCGCCTTGGTGCGGAGTATGAAAATTTTGACGACCTTGCTGCATCTAATTTTGCAAAGTATTTGAAAAACGCTCATGGGGTTAAATTCGGAAGGTGAATGGGGGAGCAAAACATGTAGTGAATTTTCAAATGTTATCTGGGGCTTCCATCTTGCTCACTTGTGTGACCCACGAAATTCGTCTATCCTGAATCATGATGGTCAACTCGTCATATGTAATATTATTAGGTGCGGACTTCGGTCGAGTTGATTTACTGTAGTCCCGATTGTGAGAGCCGTATCGACAGAAGCTCGAAAATGATAAGCACATTAGCACAAATGTAGCCACGATCGTCAACAATAGATCATTCCATCATTGGCACGTCATGCGACATCAGGTTATCCTCTCCTTCAGTTTTCAGGTTAATATCATTAGTACCCGCAGCTTCCTCCTTCGAATTGGTAGAATGTTGCTGCTGTGCATCACCATCAGGAAGCGGGAAATTCAAATGCTTCCAATCCTCAATCTCCTCAGTGATGCATTTCAGCCTATCCCTAATACTCTCCACAGCGTAGCTGCCAAGAAGGAGACGTAATGGCGGAAATGAGCAATGAGCAAGTTGCCAAACCAGTTCAGCGGCTTTTACCGCGCTTATAGGCTGCTTATCCCCCATCCACTGGATGATCCGTCTAGCATGGGACGCGGGAGCCGTCGCTGAGCTATACGGGTCGCTTGCTGGCTTTATAAGAAAGTGCCCGAACAATGGGAGTGGGGAGGAGTGCGATAAGTCCGGTGCAATGGAGCCCGGGGGAGATTCGGAGGGATCAAAATCGTCTCGACGCATGTGTCCCGGCTCCACCAGCGTGCATTTAATATTAAACGGATCAATCTCATAGAGCATACTCTCAATAAGCCCCTCCACAGCATATTTGGTCGCGCAATACGGTCCCAGCCCCGGTACGCCAAGCGATCCCGACGTGGAGCTGAATATCAAATACCTCCCCGCACGCCGCTGTCGGAAATACGCTAGAGAGAGTTGTATGATATTCAACGTGCCGGTGAAATTGGTCTCGAACTGGTTTCGGATGTCGTATTCATCCTGATCCTCGCAGGCGCCCACGACGCCGTAGCCGGAGCAGTTGACAATGCAGTCGATGCGGCCAAAGTGTTCGATGGTTTTGTCGATCGCGGCGCGGACGGTTTCGCGGGCCCGCACGTCACAGAGGAGGCCGATGCAGTTCCTATTCTCGGAATGGAGGGCTTCCATGCTTGCTGGGGAGCTCTCAAATGTGCGTCCGACGGCGGCAACGAGGTCCCCGTGGGCTAGTGTGCATTTGACTAGCGAGCGGCCCATGTGGCCTGTTGCACCAAATATCTACAGGTGAGGTTTTGTTTAGCAACCACTGTAAAAGAGCAGCGAAACCCAGACATATCGTCAGTAGGGGCAAACGTACCAGCCATACTAGCTGCTTGGGAGGATTTTGAGGTCCTGGCGGGTCTGTTGTTGCGGGTAAATGTAGACGGGCGTCTTGCGCTACGATAGTGGAAGGGGAGCGCGAATTGGCTGCGCGAAAACTTTCGCGGGGTCGCGGATCCATAACGAATCAGATTTGTGGAGGGCGGGGACGAAAAAAGGTATTGTTCGTACAATTAAGGCCAGGTTTCAAACTGCGACATTGTTCACCGACCGCTAAAAAGACTTATCTGGAATATTTAGCAAATATGAGCTCCGTGGGCTGTGTCGATGGTTTGTTCCGACGGCCCAAGAGGCCTACCTACTATGGTATGTATGTTTCTCCCGGCGGTAGTTATTTAGCTGGCTGCTACAGTACAAAAACTCCACGTGGTTGGTGGCTCTAGTTAAAATTTAGGAAATAGCCTACGGAGTAATAAAAGTTGATAATGATTTCATGTGGAGACATCGACGGCAGTTTCCGACGAACTAAGCTGCTACTTTAAAGAAAAATACACTGATGATATAAACCACCCTAATTAATTGACGCCATACCGGATGAAAAAACCTCATTTCAAATAACAAAACCATGAGCTTAACATAATCAACGACCAATTTCCCTCCGAAGCCTTCCCTCGACTGTGGTCGGCGGGGCTTCAGGCCAGTTACCAACAGCATCATCAACCTCTTCAAGGAAGCTAGCACTATTATGGATGCAAGTGGCCCCCAGAACAACACGGACGCCAGGGGAACTCGCATTGACCTGCGCCACCATCTTGGCTTCTTCGTACGTTGCTCCTCCAACCATGAATACGATTATATCCTGAGGTTTGTCCCGAGTGTGTCCGCCTCCTTCGAGGAAGGGGTATTGGAGCTCCTTCAGGCGGCCTTTGATGAGATTCTGGAGAGTGGACTCTAATCGCGGAGAGTGCTGGGTGTATACATTCTCGACACCCTTAAGTGGTTTAAACCGGTCGCGAGCGCCAGAGAGAAAAGATGCGGACTCGAATAGATCTGAGAATCCACCAGCAACTGGAGGTGCTTGGAGTGAGTGATGGTACGCTAATAGCTTTGGGATAATATTAATTCTATGCGGCGACACGTCCCCCGCGGCTGTAAGTAGGTCGATCAAAACTGGCAACGCATTCGAAGGCTGTTTTTCATAACGGATCGCATATAATGCGACTAGGCGGATTTTATTATCCGCTGTGACTGATGGAGATTGAATCAACCGTTGTAGTGACTTTGATGGTCAGTATACTATTATCTCATATGCCTGCTAGATCGTTTTGGGTACGGGATAGAGAACCAACCTTAAGATCATTCGCGTGGTTATCGTTACAGGCTAAGCTCTGTTCGAGTTCGCTCACATCCAGCAAGCTATTCTCACCTACTTTTCTGCTCAATTCGCTAACTAGTGTCACATGTTTGCTGACATTGCCCGAGAGCTTTCGGAATTCGGGGTAGTCCTCCACAAATCGCTTCATATCCGCAATAGACTCTATACTCATAGTGCTTTTTGTTCGAGATTGGTATTGTTCGACGTATTCCTTAATATTCCCGCCCAAGTCGCCGAAATTCTGGTACATATTCTTCTTGAAAAAGGGATCCTGATCTTGGGATATCACAATTTCCTTAAGTTCCGGTCTGATGTCTGGAACATTGCTCAAATCAACCCTTCCATTATCAATGCCAAGGAGCTCATGGACCATGGCTTGATAGGTCCACTGGTTTAGTAGTGGTGTGATAGGGTCGTCCCGACGGTCGAGTATCAGCAGGATGGGGGGGGTATCTGTTTTTTGGAAATTGAACAGTTGCTCCTCTTGAGTGAGCTGATATCGGACTTCAGTGGCAAGCTTCTTAGTTATGAGGCTGTTTTTCTCGTACCGAATCAAGGGGTTCTTCTTTAAGGACAATAAAAGTGCGATAACTCCCTCCGTCGCTCGCTGGAGAGCGTCTGAATTCCAGATATCTGGACTCTGGCTCCATATCCTTTGCTTCGGGTACCCCATACCCAAAGAGCAAAGGTCGGGGTTGATCACGGAGAAATCGGCAAAATACTCCTGCACGGCCTTAACAACCTCATGACCATCTGCTTCTGCCAGCCTCTCCAGTGACGATTTGCGGACAACGTTGCTGAAGTAGAGGTAGTACTCGCCATACTTGGGTTCCCGTAATTCATCAATAATAAACTGTATGGAATCAGGAGAGGGGCGAACGAAGCACAGGCATCGCAGGTGTCGCATCTTCTCGCGACTCTGGTTGTCGAGGCGGTCGATCAAGTAGACCTCATGGTTCAGGAGAGCGGACTGGGTCATGGCAGTGGAGACGATGGGTACCTAGGAAGGTTGTTAGCCCTGCCAGTCATTGTAGTTAGAAGGTCGCGTCTCCCACGGTCTCACTATCAAGCAATAATATCTTCATCTTAGCGGTGGAAGATCCGGTCGCAGATGAGTCCCCGACGGAGACCATCTTCGAGATGTAGCCGGACACAGCAGAGACGACATCCATTGCGACAGCGTGATTATCGAACGAACCGACACAGGGAAATCTGCGAAAGGCTTAATAGCGAGGTTTAAGCCCCTCCCGTAGTACGTCGAGCAATTCGTTCTACTGGTCAGGCAAGGCGTTAATGTGCAATGTCAGTCCAAAAGCATGTTGATGCTGTTTGATGCCGCTGTCGTCACTGTCTGGTTTAGCCAAGCATGACTAAGGAATGTATCACGTGAACATATTGCCCGTCAAAAGTTCCAGAAGGGGAAATGGATTCACTCCTGAATTCATCTCCCAAACTTCATTTGTACGGCGTAGCAGATTGGCAAATCATTATGGCGCGACGTTATTCCTTTTTATCACAGGAGCTCTACACTTGCAGCAAGCTAGGGTACAGACCGCGGAGGCCACTTGAACATAGCTCCCCCAATCCTGTCCGCCCAAAAAATATGCGCAGAACCAACGTATTTTGTCACGAATAAGCTGGAGTATACCCAGGTTTCCTTTTACTCGAGATAGTATCTGACTTTCATCGTTGTTGCTTTCGCATTAACGGCCGGCCCATATATATAAGCACCATGAGATAAATAAATTGACGTAGCAGAAGATTTCTAATATCGTCCAAACAAAAGCAGTTCACTCATTCTCTTTTTAGATATCTAACCAATTGGCCAAAATAATTGGATAATATGGATATCGCCCGCTACACGCACTGGCTAACCGCTGGCCTACCACTAGCAGTATCGGCCCTGCAACAAAAAACAAAGGTGAATATAATCTCAGAAACCACATTTGAGGTACTCTCGTCTCTGGAAAAATAATCCTTACTATTTCCCAGCATCATCTTTCAAAGCCACAATCCTGTTCAATATCACCTTATCCTCAGTACTATCACTATCGAGCGCAAAATACGCAACCCGCATCCCCTGGAAGCGGACTGTTTCGGGATGAACAATCGACCCATCTGCACCGACTCCTCCTGCGCCACTGATGTCATACTCTTCCGTCTCATGCTTTTCCGGGTTAGAGAGCTTCTCGCCTTCCTTAGCAGGCCAAGGTGCGCGACTTTTAACTTCAGGGAACCCAATATCGATCATGGCATCGCGGTAGATCTCCATAGAGTTGGAATTGATATCTGCTAGGAAGCCGTCCGGGTGGCTCTTGGGATCTTCGGAGTTGAACAATCGATTGATGACGCGAACCTCAGCTTTTATAGGGCTGGAATGCTCGGGGGAGAGAGCGACCCAGTGTATGAATCTGCAGATATTGTTAGAATTAAATATTATGGTGCTCTTTTGCGTAAATTTATTTTGGGTTACTAGCCACACAGCAATACACGGCGTTTACTGGAATATCAAAATTTGTGGACGGGGATGGATTACGTTTTGGGTTTCTTAGGAGCGGATCCCTCTTCCGGTTTCTCATATTTCGCGTGAACACAGGTTACTAGCCCAGTTTCTGGATCCTTCTCAAAGGACATTGCCGTAATTGGGTAAGGCACTTTCATAAGACCAACGGTTTTCCCAGGGGCTAGTCGGAAGTAGTCCGCCGAATCAACTTCTCTAAAATCAGTTCTCTCGATATAAACTGTCCGCGTAAACGGGACCTTGTGAACCTAAGTAACTGCTGTCAGAATGTGAAACTTGCCATACGCGAACCGTAGTCTTCTTTTTTTCTTTTTTTCTTCTTTTTTCTTTTCTTTTCTTTTCTTTTTTTTTCTTTTTTTTTTTTTTTTCAAAAATTTGCGGAACGGGTTCAACGTACTCCAAACGCGGGATCTTTCGAATAAGGAAGTTCGACCATTTCAAGGTAATCTTCAGGGAGATCATCGATGATAACTTTGAGCGGTTCCATGACGACCATCAATCGTGGAACGGTCGTCTCGAGATACCTTCTCACTGATTGTTCAAAGCGATGTACTTGGATATTTGTCTTGGCTTTGGTCACTCCAAGCTCGTTCACAAACGAGAGAATAGCTCCGGGAGGCACACCCCGACGACGTAGACCAACGAGGGTATACAAGCGAGGATCATCGTATCCTCCAACGTGTCCTCCATCGATAAGCTTCATAATGTCCCGTTTGGAAAGAATCGTTCCCGTAACATTGAGGCGGCCGTATCTGTAAATATTGTTAGAAGAAGTGGTTAATTCCGAAAAGAATATGAGGAGACTAACTCTCTTTGCATTGGTCTGTATACTTCTAATTTGTCGCAAAGCCACTCGTAAGAAACTCGGGACTGCTCGAATTCCGTTGTGCATAAGGAGTGAGTAACGCCCTCAAAGCTATCACAGAGACAGTGAGTAAAATCGTAAGTAGGGTATATTCTCCATTTATCTCCAGTTCGGAAATGATGTCTTTCCTTGTCGTCGATGACACGATATGCAAAGAGATCCCACATTTGGGGGTTGCCATCTTTGAGGTCCTGCTTCATACGCAAAGCAGCTTCTCCAGCCGCGTATTTGCCATCACGCATTGCTCGGAATTCCGTCAGCGATTCCTCAATAGGACGAGTCCGATGCGCACAGGCAAATCGAGGTTTACCTTCCCCCTCTCCTCCGCCTCGCTGTGCTTGGATTTCGGCCTCTTTTTCAATTATTAGAATGCATTACCTATCAAAGGGCAGTTATGTGTAAGAAAAGGACTTACTGTTGCAGTGACAAACATATGCGCCATCCCGTCTGATTAGGTCCTCCGCCAGCTCATAGAGGCGATCAAAATTGTCACTGGAATATGTGACCTTGACTGGTGAGAAACCCAGCCACCGGACAATATCTTCAATCGCAATAAAATATTTTTCCTCTTCGCTCTTAGGGTTCGTATCATCAAATCGAAGATAGCAGTCTCCTCCATAGAATCGCGCGAAACCAAAATTGATCGCAATGGCTTTTGAGTGTCCGATGTGAAGGTAGCCATTTGGCTCGGGTGGGAAACGTGTTACAACTTTCTTAACATACTCAGAACCGATTGGCCTTTCATTATAGACGTCGGCAAGGAATCCAGTCTTAAACATTGAGTCTGGATCTTCATTGAAAGCTATGGCAGCTGGCTTCTTCGCCTTTGGCGGGGTAGGGCCCTTGGGCGGTTTAGGCGCCTTGGGAGCTTTTTCTTTTCGCGGTTTTTGAGCATTTGCCGGTGCCTTAGTGCGATCAGGAAGGTCGACCGGAGTGTCCATGTTTTCTAGCTTTTGTTTGTCGGTCATGATGCTCCGTTTTGGCGACTGTGCAGTAGAACTGGAAGTGTTAGCAATGGGAAGCACTCAACTACTTGGCCGGTTTACCAGGCCTAGCAACATTATTCACATTAATAGAATAAGAAACAGTCATACCCTGTAGTTAATATTAATATATTAGTTACTAATCTGAGTGCGGAGAGTGTAAATGTTGTGAAGGCGGGGGAAGTTCTATTAGGACGTGGATGTTGGAGGGACAAAGCAAGCAAAAATAGTGGGCTAGGGCAATCACTTCCTTATCGATAAGAGATGACTCAGGGGCCGGCTGGCGATAGTCACAAAATTAGTATAAAAAATACGAAATTCTCCGGGAATATCAGCGATAGGATATATATTCTAGATTTTTTTGTAGTTAATAAAAAAGCGCAATATATACTTCACATACAGGAAATGGAGGGAAGTAGTAATAAATATAGGATCTGAGCTTGGGAGAGAAGTATAAATCACGTGATCGCATACCTCTGCTGTCAGGACTCCGGAAAAACTAACATCCGGGCATAAATTCAAGCTCCAAACACCTCTTTTGCAGAGGTTGAGATAAAAACAAAACATCCTTTTTTGTCTTCCTACCCCCTTAGTATCTGCTTGCTGAGCCTGGAAATTCCTATACCTGTTACCAAATTACCGAATTAGTCCGGCTTCATCGTGCATCGGTCCAGTTCTCAGACTCAGCTCTCCGTTCACCAGCCGGACCTAGTTCCATTCCCAGCCCAACCACTCCCTATACCCTATACCACCTCTTCCTGACCTCCTATTTTCAACTTTACTTATTGCATAGAGTCTTGTCGTTCTTGTTTGTATTGTTACGTCTTTTTGCGCGTCTATACCATTCCAGTCGTGGCGGAGTTGGCTTATCTCGTTTCCTTTTTTTGTTCCATTTCCTCAAACCTGGGGAGGTTCTCTATAAAGAAGCCATTACAATCTGATTACAATCCCACAAGGGCACGGGGTATGTTCCAGTTATAGTATTGCATCTGTTCTGGACTAATATATTCCCCTCCGCCCTTTCAATATACTAGTCGACCTGTGGGTGTCACCGCACAATTCTGTCACCTACCACGGTCAACAGCCAGACGGGCTGGGAAAACAACCAACTCATCCCCAGGGAGATCTTCAAAAGCATCATTTGCATAGAGTGTTCGTCTGTTCAATAATCTACATGATGGCTGGCATGGCATTGTCCCCCCTTTCATGGGCATCTCGAATTAGCTCACGATCACCCTATCATTTTCGGGAGTCGGCATCTACTCTTTGTGGTCTTGCAGGAGCAAAGAGCGTGCATTCACTCTTGATTTGTGCATCAATCCGGAATTATTGTTCATCGCCGCTATCTCCTGGACCCATCTTCTCCAGGGGTTCTAGATATCCCCAAAGGTCAGTTTAAGCTCTTCTGGAGCGTTTCATGGACTATTTCCTTTGTATGCATATGGCGCTTGGTGCTTTTGTTCCATAATTTATCTAATATGAGCGTTGCTAGAAAATGCTCGACCCTTGTTTCAACACCAATGAATCGTAACCAAGTAGTTCCGTTAAGTTGGACATCGTCGGGGCGAAGACTTCTGAGCACAGAGCCGCCGTCAGGTAGAGGGAACGACGACAAAAATCAAGACAACACGTAAGTAACCTTCATGATTTTTCACGAGCTTCCTTTTGAATTACTGTGCATGCCCTTGTGCCTACGTGATTGTTCTGACTACACCACTCGATGTTTTGACAATACGGTTGACCGTAGTTTTTTTTTTTTTTTTTTTAAAAAAAAAAGCTTCAAATATCATGTCCTATACTGGCGACATCAAATATCGGGGAATTAACTTCAAAAATTGTAGCCCGACATCGAAAACTGCTCGCCTACTCTCCCGGATTCCCCTCCCAGTTCACGAAAACATCTATACGATCCCCAATATTCTGACGTTCTCCCGCCTAGCAGCTGCACCCGTAATTGGGTATTGCATCCTGCATTCGTATGACATAGCGGCGCTTTCACTTTTTGCCTATGCCTCTGTCACGGATCTTGTGGATGGCTACATTGCTAGAAAGTTTAACCAGCAAACTGTGGTTGGGACTGTCATTGATCCGATGGCAGATAAAGCTCTCATGACAATAGGGGTTATCTGCCTTGCCCTCAAATCAGCTATACCCGGTATTCATTCCACAGCTCCCGCCTTTCAAGGGAGTTTCTACGTATCAAGCCAATAGAGAGGAAGGAAACACTAACATGAAAATTGAACAATCACAGTCTGGCTAGCCGGCCTCATTCTCGCACGCGATGTCGGACTAGCTATTTCCGCTATCTACTACAGATGGATCTCGCTTCCACCGCCCAAAACAATGGCGCGATACTGGGATTTCTCCCTGCCGTCGGCCGAGGTGAAGCCGACTGCGGTATCAAAAGCGAACACTGCGCTACAGTTGCTGCTTGTTGGGTCTGCCATGGCAATGCCGGTCGTACCAGAGGCGATCTCATCGGCCTGGAGTTTGCATGAAGGAATGACCGGTTTACAGTTAAGTCGTCCATCTCGTTATTTCCCATATTGTCAATGTTGGAGAATATGACTGCAGATTTTTTTATTTTTATTTTTATTTTTATTTTCCTTTCTGCAATCGTTCCTCCTCCCTTTTTTTCATTTCCTTCCTTTGGTATATTCCCCTTTGTTGTTGCCATTTGGTTTTCTTTTGGTGAGAAACGATTTGGAAAACCCGCTATAAATTGGCTATCCAGAAGGAAACAAGCACATACGACCATAGGGAGTGGAAAGCAGGGCTTCCCGTCCGCTCAGCCGTACTTAAGCCACTCGCCGGCCGGTTAGTAGTTGGGTGGGTGACCACCAGCGAATCCCGGCTGTTGTATGTTTTTTTATATGTCTAAATTTATGTTTTTGAACATTATTCACTTCCGCCATCTTTTCATTTCCCCCTTATCTATTTCCTTGTCCACATCATTTTGGTTTCGTGGCTTGTTATTCCTCATTATTGCTTCGGTGGTGGGTGAACTCTCGGTCACGTGCCATGGATTTTTGCTCGCCTGCCTGCCACAGCCTTTTTTTCCCTACCAATTCGTCCAACGATTCGAATAACTTCGGTGCTATTTAAAGAATAAAATAATATCCATTTGGAAACTAACGAACTATTTTCTTACAAACAGATACATTGTCGCCGGTACCACCGTCTGGTCAGGGGCCAGCTACATCTACTCTAAAGATGCTGTCAAGATCCTCACCGCGGAGGAGATTGAAAAGAGAGCAGAATTGAAGAGGAATAGTGAGGAGGATACGAGCAACAAGAATGAGAAGGACTAAATGTCAGCCGGAAGGTTGGGCAGACGTGCGGATATGTGTCCCGTCCCATTTACTTCCCTTTTCACTATGCTGGGGCCAAGCGAGGGCAAGGGATAATTTTGGCTAGATACTCATATAAATAAATACGTTGTATGTATAGTTATTTTGAATTTCATTATAATACTGTAATATCTACGTGTTTGGTTGTGATGCACTTGTATATCATTGTATACTTGTCCTATGTTTTGCCAGGTGCAGGATAGGTGTGGGCCGCAATATATATATGGAGTTCTCCTCTCCGACAGGAGCAGCCAGCTAACGCCCAAGAAACTGGCAATAATCTCTCACATATTATTTTATATACCAGCCCGAAGTTATAAACGATAGGGATTAAAAGTAATGGTCAAAATAAAATAATAAATATACTTTTCCAACGCCATCCATATCTTCCATCGGGTAAATAGCAGAGAAATAAGCCGCCAGAAAACTACATCACGCCAAATGTATGAAGGGGGAATCCCAGATTTGGCGCCCTCTATGCACCCAAAGACATACATATATGCAAAAGATCTTCAAAAAGAGGTATACCATAATATGCATCCGTCCACATAAGAAGCTAAGTACCAAACGCCCCGAGACAGAGTGGGGAAAACTTCCATAGCTCGGATAGAAGGAAATGACGCAAGGGAAATAGCGTTTTGTACATGTACACGAATAAAATACAGGGATATATATATAGGAAAATCCTCCCGAGACACGATAGACAGGATCATATCGAAGACGCAACCCTAGTTGCTTCATCAGGTACATTCAAATCTTCTCCAGCTTTCAATTGAGGATCTTCCCGAATCTGGCCGGTCGTATTTTTACGAACGTATACCAACAGCTTCAATGCTGCAACAGGTGTCATCCCTTCAATCCTGCGGGCCATACCTATACTCTCCGGCCGGACCCTCTCCAGCGCCGCCCTCTCCTCAGTGCTCAAGCCAGTGATTAGTGAATAGTTCATATCCGGCGGCAGTAAAAGAGCCTCATCCTTTTCGAAGCTGCGCGCCCTAGCTTCGTGCATTGTTACGTACGGTGCATAGCGGCCCTCGATGGAGACGCGGTATTTTATCTCCGGCGGGAATGAAGAGGTTGTATATGCCTTTCCACCCTTTGACGATGGTGGCTCGATGTGAGGGATGATATCGTCGATAGAGACGTCTCGTAGGCGGAGTAGATCAAAGGCTGAGCGGGGGTTGTGGTCGCAGTGAACGGCGAAACCTTTGCGTGCCCATAGGGTCGATGGGAATTTGGTGTTCTCGAGTAGTGTTTGTAATTCTGTGACCTGTTCCTGGACTTGGCTGAAGTGTTCCCAGCGCTTATCACCGACGGCTCCAACCTCTCGACCGCGGGCGGTGAGGCGTAGATCTGCATTATCGGAGCGGGTGGAGATGCGATACTCACTCCGCGAGGTGAACATTCGGTAGGGCTCAGAGACGCCCTTTGTGATGAGGTCATCGATCATGATGCCGATGAAGCTATCCGAGCGGGAAAGAGTGAATGGAGGCTTTCCCTTAGACGCTAAGCCGGCGTTGATACCAGCTAAAACACCCTGTCCTGCAGCTTCTTCGTAGCCCGTAGTGCCATTGACCTGGCCCGCGAGATAGAGGCCGCTGATTAGTTTAGTTTCTAGTGTTGGTCGTAGCGAGCGTGGATCGACGTAGTCATATTCTACTCCGTAACCAGCCTGGAGCATATGGACATTTTCTAGCCCGGCAACCGTTCGAAGCATAGCAAGTTGCGCATCGGCGGGGATTGTCATCGAGATGCCATTTGGGTAGATAACTTCATTTGGTTCAAAGCCCTCGGGCTCCAGCCAGATCATATGTCGCTGTTTGTCTTTGAATCGGATGATTTTGGACTCGAGGGATGGACAGTATCGAGGACCTTTCACCGTCTCGCGAATGTGGATGGATTTGTCAAGGTTGTCCCTGACAATCTGATGCGCGGCCTCATTGGTATAGGTAGACCAGCAAGGGAGCTGGTCCTCATCATTGACATCTACTCTCTTGTTTAGATACGAAAATGGAACGGGTGGAGAGTCTCCTGGTTGGACTTGTAAGTTCGAGAAGTCGATCGTCTTCTTGTCAAGTCGGGGAGGTGTTCCTGTCTTTAGTCGACCAAGCTTGAATCCGGCCTCACGCAAGGACTTGCTTAATCCAAATGTGGCTGCTTCCCCCATACGGCCTGAGGGGAAGGATTCAAGCCCAATATGTATCTCTCCGCCGAGGAATGTGCCTGTTGTAATAATCACACGTCCAGTCGGTATCACCTCGCCAGACTCCAGTCGTACACCGACAATTTTCCCTTGAGACCCCTCAGGTGAGTGATCCTTTGAAACAATAATGTCCCCCACTTTGCCCTCAACAATGCTTAACCCGGGCGTATTGCTCAATTCTTCCAACATATTTTTCTGATACAACACACGGTCGATCTGGGCTCTGGGACCCCAGACAGCCTCGCCCTTGGACCTGTTCAATATCCGAAATTGGATCCCAGCCTTATCAGTAACCTTGCCTGCCACTCCATCTAGCGCATCGATCTCCCGTATCATGGTCCCTTTGCCGATTCCGCCGATACTGGGATTGCACGAGCATACGCCGATGTTCGAGCGAGAGGGCGTTACGAGGGCGGTTCGGGCTCCCAAGCGGGCAGCAGCAGCGCATGCTTCTGAACCAGCATGGCCGCCTCCGATGACAACAACATCGTAAGGTCTAGAAGGCAGCTATATTTTAGTATATTTCGCACAATCCACCGCCGGGATATCACTGGGGGAACTGACTGGGCATCTGAGTTCACAGTCGCAAATGTTCTGACACTTCGAGAGGGTCGTGGACGAGAAACACAGGCCCAGCGGAGTGCTGTAAATGGCCGTGTTCTCAAATACATCGTAACAGTCCAGCAGAAATAAATCCAGATACACTGCCAGAAACCTGATCCATCAGCGCAACCTCGGTGTAAATCAAAAAAGTGTAGTAGCACGTGATTTATATTAGTTGATTTCCAAGAAAGCTTATTAATGTTTCGTAAGGATCCACTAGCCAATCAAATATCACCGTGAAGATGTCCCCTCGCGATCTGATAATTTAGACTCGATCGATGTATATAAAACATTCGTCTTCCGCCGTTTTCTATTCCAACTTTCTTTTTTCATTACCATTTACCTTGACTGTCCCGTATATATTTATTCTGGATCTACTGTACCTACCATCTATCCTAGGTTCCTAAGATGAAAGCCTACTGGTACGATAACCTACCTGTAAGTTTCCCCGCGTCTGGTGCCCCTCCATCCCCCTCATCACCCCTGTTTAGCTGACCAAAGTTATATCTAACCATGCTAACCTACACTCCTACAGGGCGACCAACGCCTTCCCCATGACTCCGGCCGCCCTGTTGATGCGTCCTACCTCGCCAGTATCGGCGTCCTTTACCGCCATTGTCCAACCATATCTGCTGTAGACGCCCTAGCTGAGGAACGTGGTTACAAGAACCGTGATGAGATCACTGTGTCGCCCGAGAAAATGGGCGACCTATACGAGGATAAAGTGAAGATGTTCTTCCACGAGCATTTGCACGAGGACGAGGAGATTCGGTACATACTTGACGGCGAGGGGTTTTTCGATGTCCGCAGTCAGGATGATGAGTGGGTGCGCATTCGGCTAGGGAAGGAGGATTTGATTGTGTTGCCGGCGGGCATCTATCATCGGTTTACGACGGATGAGAATAATGTGAGTACTTTGAATTGTTGAGAAATTTGGGAGGCGAAGTGGATGCTGAAAGTAAGGGCGGTGGATTGCGGGATATGGATATATGCTAACCGTACTAATTAATTACCTTGACAAAACAGTACGTGAAGGCCATGCGTCTCTTCCAAGACGAACCGAAATGGACTCCCCTGAATCGCGCGCCGGAACTGGATGCAAACCGGCATCGAAAAGCATACATGGAAACTCTTGCTTCCGCGTTCTCTTAATCCTTCGTTGAAAATGCGACGCCGCCGCTCCCTCATACGCTTGATTCCATTTCTTGTTTAGAAGAAGGGAGAAGATAAATGGTTTTCCTTTCACTGAACCTATGGCCGTGGCTATGACGCTAATGGGACATATTTAACTGATACTGATCTGTACTACGCCGTTCCGGGTACGTTTTCTGCCCACATATGCAGGTATCTTTGCTTGCTTGCGATTGGGGTTCATCCATCTGCATGGCCGGTAGGATGAATGGATGATGTGTATGCTGTCATGATTTATTCTATTTTATTTTAATTTTAATTTTTATATTTTAAGGGTGCATTTGCAATACTGTAATGACGACGTTTTAGTATTGTGATGTTTGATGGAAAATGTGGGTTTTTTGCGCTGAGGAACTCCCTAGCGGACGGCATATATCCCCTTTGGTAATGATTGTATTTTTTCCCCTTGGTTGACCCTGGTTGCTTCCGGGGTAAAAAAAAGGTGACAATGGACCCAAGCGGGTGTTAATTCAGTTATTTAGTTCAGGTATAATTTATTCGGGATAATGAAGGATCGTCCTGATTTGTTTACTGCCGTTCGCATGAATCGCTCTATTTGGAATGACAGAAACATCGCAACAGAAAGACCAATGATTAGATAGCTATACAAGCAAGAAGAAGACACGGAATACACATAGGAAAAGCTGCCAGATACCTGCCTCCATCTTGGATATTATAAAAGGAAAATCGTATGCAATATCCCAACACGTATGCAAATTTAAGTAACCCCCGTTTCCCTTGTGTCTTTCCAAAAACCTTAAAACACCTATGTCACAACTACCGGGTCTGGCATCGAACCTGGTATCGCAAACTGTTCCTCGCCGCCCCTCCCACCGCCTCCTCCACCACCCTGAGCACCACCATACAACGCTGCACCCGCACTCTGTCCCGGCCCAGCGCCAACCCCACCATCCCCATGTGCATTATGCCGATACCGCAGCCCATCATATCCCATCCCCCACCCCGACGTCCCTCTCATGCTTCCACCACCACTTCCACCAACTCCCCCTCCCCCTCCCCCTCCCCGAACCCCCACACCATCCCCACCAGCCGTTCCCGGAATATCAGCTGGCGCTGACCCCCCTGCCCCAGCCTCAGTCTCCTCCTGACTCCCCCTCACCCCCGTCCTCCCCATCCGCGGCCAGATATTGGGCAACCCCACAACTTGCACGCGCGGTTCGACAACCCGCTCTTCAAACCATGCTTGCACGCGCGCTTCGACGAGCTGTGCTACCTTGGGCACGTCTTGTAGGCGGCTGCGGGAGCCGATGAGGGAACGCACGGAAAGGTCTAGGCGGTAGTCTGGTAGGAAGGAGAAGGCGAGGCTTGTTTTGGGGATGCCGTGGGGGAGCTTGGCGTGTGTGTCGTTGTCGTCGGCGGTGGCAGCGGCAGTGGCACCGGCCGTATTTGTATTTGTATATTTGTGTTGGTGAGGTGCCCGTTGCCTAGCGCTCTGTCGCTCAGGACTTTGGTGGTCGACGGCAATGTTTTCTGCGCTGGCTTCCTTTGGCGGGCTTGGGGATGGGGACATTGTTTGGTCTGAGGTGCCTGGGCCGGGGACAAAGGAAATGCATAATGTGCCGGAGAAGCGGACAACGGAGACGGCGAGGGCGACGGGGAGGACGGCGGAGAAGGGCTTTGGGTAGTTTAGAAGGAGGGAGGTTTCGACGGCGAGTGAGAGGTTATCGTCACTCAGATCGACGTCCATGAGTGCTTGGAGGCGGCCGCCATCTGAATTTGGGTCTTCAACGGCGATAACTCGACAGTTGCTGAAGATGGGGAATTCCTCTCCTAATGATATATCTGTCACCTTGATGCTGTCGATAAAGGAAGGCTTCTTTTCCGGGTTGTTTAGCGCTTCGGAGAGAGAAGCGAGGATGGAGGATGTAGGTGAGTCTTTGAGGATATATGCTGTCTGTCGATACTGTGCGATAGTCTGTGCGATCAGAACATTGAACCAATCAAGAGATTCCGGCTGATGGGAAGAGTGATGGGGGCGGGATCTGCTATGCTTGGACGTGGGATTCGTGGGCGTGGCGCTGTAGTACGTCTTTCGAAGGATGGAGCGGGTGTTTGTAGAGGAAGAGGGGACGGGTCGGAGTATATTGGATGTCGAGGGCTTTTCTCTCAGTGTCCGTGGACTAGAATCTGCAGATATTGAATTTAGGGAATATGACCGTCGGTGAGAGCTCGTGCGATTGGATAGGCCGTTTCGAGAAGGATGCGGAGGAGCTTCGCCGAATATGAAGAATTTGATGAAAGCTCCGATCAGCAGGACTACAGAGAGTTGGCCGACAAGAAGGCCTTGAGTAAAAGAGAGTCTATTCAGGAGACATTAGAATGGTTAGAGGACGCTTCAAAGGGGTTGGACAGACTGGGAATACACGTACGAAGGCTGCGTCAGAACGGGCGGCGGCGGTTGAGTTTGATCTGTGGTGGAGAGGGTTAGCTTAGGATAGGATGATTGCGAGTGCCCGGTGGAGACCAACTTGAAGGACCTGCCATTTCTAGAGGGATATTAACAGCGACCACCGATAGCTACACGATTCCATGGCTCAATGGGTAGTGTGAAGCGAGCTAAGGCGTAGTTTGCGTGCTGGTATCTGGTATCAACCTGCTATAAAATAGTCGTGGGGATGGAATGATGTCGGCGAGCGGGAAAGCCGTTATCAGATCGATCTTATCTCAAGTTGAGTTCTGATCTCGATCACATGATATCCGCTCACTACCTCCATACGGGAAGAACGTAGGGTTAATTTACGGTGATTACACCGTACATTGGTATCGATGGAGTTTTATGGTTTAGAATATCATACTATTTACTGGACTTTTCATAAAGGTACTCTTGGCTTCTCATAGTAGTTGCGAATGTCTCACGAAAAGCTCAGTGTCTGTAACTCGAAACATGCATGCATACCTTTGAGTGATCTGCAAACTAGAGATCGCAAACAGAACTAGGAGCCAATGCCATAGGCAGCATGAAATAGTAAAATCGATCATTAAAAGTCTCAAGAGTAGAGGGGTAATTTTTCGTAACTCCAGAGGATAAAGAGGACATCCGTAAATTCCCATTGAAAGACATCATAAGCCCCGTTGTAGCTGGTGGAGATTCAATATTCTACCGCCTCCTAGAGCCCCCAAATCCAGTACTTTCCGACGTAGAAGTAGAGGGTGAGAATGACGGTCGAGAAGAGCTCGACCTTGAGCTTTCCGCTTGGTCCGATCCCCATCCCCACCCTGACCTCGACGATCCCGATCTCGAGCCCGACCTGGCTCCCCTCCCCAGAGCATATGCCGCCGCGCTTCCCGCCGCAGCACCCGTCCAAAATCCAGGCTTCCACGACGGCGTTTTCCTAAATCCCGAATAATCATATGGAGGCGGCGGATCATTCCATCCACCCCATCCTCCGCCTCCTCCGCCTCCGCCTCCAGGACCCCACCCACCTCCCCATCCCCATCCTTCGCCCCATGGGCGCCAGCCTCTCCTCTGCCCAGTACCGCCACCCAGACAGCCAAGGGCTGTCAGAATGATAAAAGCCAACACTCCGAAGAAGAACAGGAAAAATATAATTTCTCCGAGGGACTCTAACCATCCACGCGCAGTCCTATACCCACCGCTGAAGGATGACCACGCATCCCCACCAACAAGCTTCCCATACTTCTGCTCCCCCCTCTCCGTCAACAACAGCCGATACTCCACTCCACAACTGCCCTTCAATACCCAGGGATCCTCCTTATCCCTATATCCTTCACAGATCACATCCGTACTCCCCAGCTTAAATTCCGGCGGCAACTGCGCCGTGCATGTCCACTGCACGTCGTTCTCGTCATAGTCATGGCCTTGGTTTATGCAGCGCATGACATCCGGGGTATAGAGGGCGCATATCTTCTTAGAGGGCCCGATGCAGGTTAATTGTTGGACGGCGGGGACGCGGCGGTGGGTTGTTTTGCGGTTTGCGTAGAAGGTTAGAGATTGGATAGAGCTGAGGAGGACGGCATTTTTGGAGCCGGGGGATTTTGAGGGATTATAAGCATTGGTTTGGGTGGGGAGAAGGGGGAGGAGGAGGGGGAGGAGGAGGGGGAGGAGCGTTGTGTAGATGGGAATCATTTTTGGAGGGTTGGCATGGTTGAGACTTGTTTTAATAGATGTTGTGATATGTACGGAGTATACGTGGATGTGATGCTATATTAATGGCTGCGATGGGTAAATAAAGGTTAGTGTATTCCTTCACTGAGATGTTGCTCAATAAATACTGCTCGTGGAGACATAATTATTATTAATAAGTTAGGCAGACATAGAACTAATTTTTTCGAGGCATAGTTGTCAACTTCTGGCAAAATCTTGGTTGAACCCACCCAGTCGTTTGGCGCTTAACACACCCAATAGGAGCATTGCGCGGTTCTAGGTAGCCGCCAATCTTCATCGGTAGCCTTCCTCGCCAACGTTGATCTTCAAATATTACGTTGAAGAAGCTTCTGTGTTTATATGAATGACTTCCCGAGTTAATTATTACTCCTAACACCAGGATACTTGTCATAAACGCCAAATTCCAAAAATTCCACTCTTCTAGTCTGAGCGGAAGAAAATCATTGTCGATGCATCATGTAACATCCACGGCAACGAAAAATCCAAGCAGTTGCTATTAAGATATTGCGGGTTGGTCTTATTACTCTTGGTGGATAGGGGCTGAGGGAACGCGGAAATAGGTGTGATATAGCTGATAAGTCCTGCAACGTCTTTCTGCCAACTGGGGAAAGGGAATTCAACACCCAATGCCGGATTCATTGCCTATTCTCTTCCAACCCAAATTAAGTTACTGGGTACAATACAAAGTCATCAACGTAACCATAAAATAACCTCGCTCGAGAAAACACCTCATATATTTATAAAGAGTACACAGAGTTAAAACTATGCAGAAACAGCAATATCATCAATCGTCCCCAAAATCTCCTCCGTCCCTCCGCCAAACTTCTGCGCACCGGCCGCCTTCTTCCTTCCCCTTGTGCCCCCACTACCATCCCCACCTTCAATACTCGGCAAGACATTCGAATTCGACGGCCCAGCCGGCGTCACCGTAGACGAGGACGATACCCCACTCGGATTTCGCAAAAGTTCCTCCTTCGCTTCCTTCTCTCTCGCATGCTCCGCTTCCATCCTCTTCCTCTCCTCATCCAGCTCCTTCTCAATAACCCGCGGGTCGTCGTAAACAGTATTTGTCATCTCAGAATACGTCGCGAGATCGACAGCTTCACGGGGTCCCAAAAGGGTTTCTTTAATTCGCTCCGGGCATCGACGTTCTTCGTTTGAAAATTTCAATTTAATCTGCCGCCGCGAGCGGCCGGGGAACATTTTGCTTATCATCATGAAATCGGTGCCGAACATGCGCAGGCCACGGTAGAAAAGATCAGTCATCTCTTCGTCCCAGGACTCAACTTTGGTGCGTTTGCCGAAGGAGGCAGCGTTTATGCGTTTTGTAAGTGGGTTTTCTTCGACTTCTTCCATATCGCCTTCGTTTCTGGCTGCGTTGGCGTGGCGGTCGATTTGGAGGGAAGCTGCGTCGACAACGATCTCTCCGTTTACAATCCTCATCTGTGGACCCCCGAGAGCGGCTGCTTCCGCTCGATCGAGGTCATCACCCACCATGTTTCTTTCGGCTGATCCAGCCTTCGATGTTTTATGTCCATTTCTGATCCGCTCCTCGCGCTCTTTCTGTTTCCTTGCAAGTTCCGTCAGGTCCATACTTTGTAATTCAATCTCCCGTTTTGATTTCTTCCCGGTGCGGAGATCTCTGCACAGATCTGACATTTTCACGACAGTTGGCGCAATCTCTATGGATTCTGCATTTTCCGGTGTTGGCTGGCGTTTCCTTCGAGCGCGGGGTTTCCTTTCTGTAGCGGCAGCGCCGATGCCATCTTCTATCTGTTCGGCTGATTGTCTCCGATCTGTAGAGCATTTGGCAACTTTCTTAGCGGAGCGTTTTGTTGCGGGCACGGCTTCACGTTGAGCCTGCTGCACCTGAGTGCTAGGTCCAGGATGTGAGGGTTCCTCTCGTGAAGTAGATATAGGTATTGTAACCGGTTGCACTATCTTGGTGCGTTTTGCTGGTCGATTGTCGACAGCGTGCTCTACACGCTGCCGCTTGGGACTTTCTGGAACATTTTGAGTTATTTGAGGAATCTGTCGTCGATCAAATTGTGGTTTCGCTGCTGTGGGTAAAGTAGTTTCTGATGAGGGTGCTCTAGGTATGGAGGCTGGGACGGGAGTTGCGGTAGGGTGTGGAGGTTGAGATGGAGGCTCCTGTACGGAGGGGATAGACGGTCTCCGCCTTGGAGCAGGAATTGGGATAGGTGTGGATTTGACTTTGTGTTGAGTGATCAATGGGAGGGGTGGGGACTGGGGTTGTGATGGTGTTGGCGGTTCTTGTTGTGGTGGTGGTGACAGTGGTGGTGGCGGCGATTGAGATGATTCTTTAGAAGGTTGCGGGGTACTTTTGGCGGGGTCATTGGGAGGACTGGGGGCAGCAACTTCAGGCGTGATAGAGAACGGAGGAGGTTGAGGGGCTTTGGAGGTTATCTGTCTGTCTGTACTGGCTCTAGCAGACTGAGAGCCGGCTGAAGTGGCACCTACACGGCGAACGGGAGCCTTGGGCGCAAACTTCTTCCCGGACTTATCTACAGCACGGTTAGTACTGGATCTGCAGGCAAAACGGACATGTGGATCGCACTTACTGATTACAGAGCTTGAAAAGGATACCATGATGCAAGGTTAAATCATTAAGATTCTATATACCATAGTCAGGGAGTGTCGACCGTTGACATTGCATATACAGCCGTCTAGAATCGACGAGTACATGGGATGAAGTTGATAAGAGTTGCCGAACAGGAGACCAGAGATCCCGTGATGAGTCTAACTCAAAGAAGCTAAGTGGTGTAAAATGATCACGTGAGAGGCGCTAAGTTATCGCGCTAACCTGGATTTAGAAATGGCCCAAAATCGACTCTTGTCTTTCTTCTCGTTCTGTTTCTCCCTCATCATCATCTCCTTCAACAACTCTCATTCATGCACCTGTTCTCTCTCCCTCTGCCTCTCTCAGACTCCGCAATATACCTTCTCTCTCCCTATTATATTCCTTGAGTTCAGGTTTCCTGCCCATCGCTGCTACTGTCACGGGTGTTCGTTGTTGTCGTGGCTGTCAAGGCAGTGATCGCAAAATTGCTTGTGCCCCCTTATGCCCTGATGCCGGCCGTCGAAGCGTCAACGGTTCCCTTAGCCGAATCCGGCCTTGTCGTTAAAATGGAAGACCGGAAAAGACCTGCTGCTTACGATCCCAACGAATCTACCCCTCCCTTGAAGAAACAGGCAACCTCGCTGAACGGTGGTGCCAAGCCTCACCCAGACACAGATATGCCTTGGAAAGATGACCTAGAAGTGAGTATCTCACCTTCTCACCATTCTACCTTGCATCTGTAAAAATTTAATAACACTCCATCGCCTGTCTCTGTTTACCAATTGAAGATCAGCATGCTGACGAATTTTGCCGTGAAATCAGCGCTTTCAAAAAGACGCCATTTTGCGCCAGATGCAAGAATACAAACGCGAGAAGAGTTCGCTGGAAGCAAGATTAAAAGAATTAACCAAAGCAACTGAATATCACAACGATCACCTTCGTATAATTGATGCGTGGTTTAAGCAGGTGAAGTTTTTCCCATCAAACGGGCTGTGTCCCGTGACTGCCGGCCAGAAGAGTTCGCTAATATCATCTTCTATCTCCAGCTAATTGATGAGGTCAAAGTCATAGTCGATTCATCGGATAATGAAACCCAGGGTAAGTCTATGCGGGCAATTCAACTCTTGCTTGATGACCAATTTGGATCCGTTAACGCTCATTTCCTCAGATAAACAACCTTTCCCCAGCGCATTACTTTTCGCAGATCATGATAACTTTGAAAAGCACCTACAAGCGCGTTCCGATGATATTAAAGCAACTATTTCAAAGCTGTTCTCTCGTCCCGCAAATGTCTCCGCTGAAGTCACCCACCTTCAAGGTCAACTCGCCAAAAAACTTGCGGAGGAAAAGGTCGCAATTGCAGAGCTAGAAAAGAGCGTTACCGAAAAGCAACAATTGGAAGAGCGACTAGATGCCGCATCATTAAGGTACATGGTGGCTGAAAAGAAAATTGACCGTGCTCGAAGCCTGACTGTAGCGCGCCTGGAAAAGCAATATATTCTTGGAGCGCAAAGACCTGGCGGAGACAATTCGTCGGTCAAACGAGAAGATAGCTCTTCTTCCAACGGAGTTGGAGATTCATCTGATAGAGTTGCCGAACTAGAAGAGGGCCGTAATAGAGCTGTTGCCATATTAGAAAAGCAAAAGGAACAACTAGAAAAACTCGAAGCGGAGAACTCGAAGCTGTTAACACAGGTCACAGAACTCAATATGAAGGTGAGTTTATTCTCATCCATTTTGATCCTATTTTATATAATCTAACACAGCAAACCAGTTTTCAAAGTTATCCGATGAAGACTATGCCCATACCGACCTATTTAAGCAATTGAAGTCACAACACGAGGACGTCATCAAACGAATAAACCATTTAGAGGCGACCAATGTGCAGCTTCGTGAAGAAGCAGAGAAACTACAGGCCGAAAGAAATGCATATCGAATCCAAATCGAGAATGAATCCCAAGTTGCGGTGGGAGAGAAAGAAGCTCAGCTCGCCAAGACAGAGTCAGATCTAGCTCGAATTCGAAATGCTCGTGATGAACTTCTTGCAGATCAGCAAATGAGAAAGGCGGCCCAGGAACAAGAGAGAACCTCAATCTGCCAAACAAGGGAATTGCTCGATGCAAAGGAATCTCGGATCAGCGCTTTGGAATCTGAAATAGAGCGATTACAACTCCAGATCGAGGGAATCAAGGATAAAAGTTCTAGCATCGAAGACTTGCCTTTGGAAGACTTACGGGTCAAGTACCAAACACTGGAAAAACAATACGAAATGTTGAACACAGAGCTGGCCTCGATGCAAACGGCGTTCACAAAGACATCCAAACTAGCTTCTCAAAAGCTCGCAGATCTCAACCTTCTTGAGGAGAAGGTTCAACGCTTGACTGCAGAAAAATCAAAGGCGGACCAAAAGTACTTTGCGGCAATGAAGAGCAAAGAGGCCCGGGATGCCGAACTTCGATCTTTGCGAATCCAAAATATGAAAAGCTCGGATATAGTCTCTCAGCTCAAAGAAGCGGAAACGACGACTCGTTCTTTGGTGTCCAACGTGGAGAAGCAACTCACCGAGACCAAAGAAACGCTTACAAACACCATGTCCCAGTACTATGGTGCACGGCAACAACTCGCGGAAGCAGATATCGTTATCCAAGGATTAAATTCGCAGGTAACGGAACTGAAGAAGCAAATTGTTACCAAGGACTCTTCCCTCTCGTCAGCCACGAGTGCCTGCCGTAAAGCTGAGACAGAAGTCGAGGGACTTAAAGCTACATTGGCGGATACGAAGAAGAGCCTGGAATCATGGAGGAATAAGGGACTGGGCAATTCTTCATCAGAGTATGAAATGTTGAGAGTAAGTTTACACCCCTCCCCAATTCCATACAAGTTATGTCAGGTGTATGAACATCCTCCTAACTTTTTGTTAAACAGTCTCTCGCGTTGTGTACTGTCTGCCGAAGAAATTTCAAAAATACCGTTATCAAAACATGCGGACATGTCTTCTGCAAGGAGTGTGTGGAAGAGCGGCTAACGTCTCGATCGAGGAAATGTCCCAATTGCAATAAATCGTTTGGAAGCAATGACTATATGCATATCACCCTTTAAGAGATTTTTTTTTAATATATGGGTTTTATTTTACTTTTTGCATTTTCTTTGGTGAACCACGCACGCGCCTGCGCATTGCAATGCTGCGATTTTCCACACCAGAACTTTTTCCGTTTCCCCATTCATGTACTATACCTTCTTCTTCACCTTCATATTCTTCTCTTTTCCTTTCTTTTCATAACACTGGCTGTTTTCTATTTATTTTCTTTTATTTTCTTTTTGCTTCTCCCATCTTATGCCAGTCATGTTTGACCTTGGTGTCTTTGGTTTCAAGGTAATTTCTTTTTTCTTTTATTCATTTCCTTTTGTTTGTTTGTTCTATTAATAACGGAACCAGTCCCTGTGACCTAAATTCTCCCCCATGTGTGTGTGTTGTGCCCTTTTTGGGAGTAAGGATATTAAACATGGATTACCAAGGCAAAGCAGAAAGGCGAAAAAAAAATTCGGCGTGGTAGCCTATCTTCTTCCATTTTGATTACATTGCAGTTGGAACAGGCCAATTTCCTTGTCTTTCCTTTCTTGGTTTTTTCCTTTACTCTGCCCATTGCTGGCAAATGCTCACCATGCCTTCCTTCTTTTTCTCCTTTTTGAATTCTGAAAATATTTCCCACTCCCTCCCTTTTCTTCTCTTTCTTTCTTTCTTTCCTTTTTTCCCCCGAATTTCCTGTGTTTGTCCCGCATTGAGCAGGTGAGATGTGATATGACGTGTAACAATTTAAACCAGGACCTTATCTATCTTTCGCCCTCTTTTTGCCTCTCCTTCTGCCTATTTTTCGTTCTATTATCAACTAATCCACGGGTGTTGTGCCTGCATATTCGTTGATTACTTCAAGTTTGGGTTTGATACAGCTGGGAAAGGAGTCTACGGGCCTAGGTTGCTGCGGTTCTCATTCTACCTTTTGTTTCCTCCAAGCACTTCTAGCTGGATGAATGGCGCATCTAGATACTGGTTACCGACTACAATGGTTTAATGAACTTTGAAATACTCTTTTTCTTTTTGTTTTCTACAACTAGGCTTCCCATTTTCCAACAAACTCAATTGATTTGTATATAGTTCAGTTGTGTTAGGCTTTAGTTACAAGGTTAGAGTTGATCTTACGTCTTTATTGTCAGGATGAACATCATAACAATGATATTATACATTAGTTCTTAGTTGCAGAACCCCGCTTCTATGGTGGAGCAAATAAACAATGCAAGTTCTAATCATTTTCGCAATATATTACCAGAAAGGGATCCTAGCATATCAACAGGCCGGAAAAATTGCATGGCCCGAATCAATGATAAACACTAACATGTACCACTTCATCTCTCATTCATTCTTTCCACAACCCCCAACCTAGATTAGAAACCGCCTAGTTAAAGTATCCATATGGCAAACCACCGTATCATGAATTAAATATTCGACTGTAAAGCAGTTCATGCCTCCCCACCCACAAATCAACCGTTGGTACAACCTGGCCCGCCTCCTCAGGCCTCACAGTCCAGTGCATCTGTATTCGGCTCTCAATCATCTCCCGCAACCACCGACTGGCCAACACCGCCTGTGCCTGGTAGGGGCCCATCACGGACGAGCGCACGGCAGCGCTCAGCACTGCCTTTGCGTGATTGAGCATGTAGACGTACGCGGTGGAGGTTATGTCGATGCCCATGGCGGCGCAGACGACGGCCCAGAGAGGCGGGAGGTGGCCGTTTAGATGGTCAGTTGGATTGGAGGAGGGGATGGAGAAAGTAGCTTTCAGGGTGTTGGAGAATGCAGATAGGGCGGCTACGGCGGCTTGGGAGGGGGCGAGTGGGTGTGTGGGCGGGCGTGTAATATTTATACCGTTGGTGTTCGTGTTTTTGTTTGTGGATTTATTGTCGTGCGTGTGTGTATAAGCATCTTTAAACGCCCTCTCCCAGACCCCTAGCAATGCTAGGCCCTGTGCTACGCTTGCGCGGCGTGTTACGGTGCATGGGGTTGATGCGTCCAGGTCATTGTCTAGTGTTTCTAGTTGCTCGGGGTGTCTGTGAGCAGTCAAAACGTAGGGGAGGGTTGTGCTGGCGAGGGAAGCGAGGGAGAAAGACAGGAAGAGGTGAAAAGACGTTATTGGGTTCGTGTGAGGTTGCGATTGTGATTGAGACTGTGATTTTAGCAGTTTGTTATGTGCAAGGTAGGATTCTAGGCCGCTAGAGTAGGCAAAAGAACCAAGCGGGAGGGCGGAGTCGGATAGGAGCAGAAGGGCGTGGGGGATTGCCAGGGGACCAGGGCCTAAATTGGAGAGAAATACATTAGCTACGAGAGACTTGTTTCTTTTTAATCTAGGTTTTTCTTCTTATATATATAGAGAGTCATTGGAGTGTTTGTTACTTATAGCTACCTGGAGGGGTTAAACTTTTTGCGGGAGATGGAGCTCTATTAGCATAGCGAAGGCGCTGTTTCGCATCTTCCAGTTTGCGTTCGAGGTCATTTATCTCTTCCTGTATGCTTACCACATCGGATTCGGGCTCATTGGGACGTTGCATTGCTCGCTGGCCCCCCTGCGCAATTGTAGAGCATCGACGTAGGTGGAATTAGTTGTTCTTATGGTTAAATATCAAATCAGATCCTTTCAGGCACTTTATACTGCCATCTCACACCGCTATTTAATATTTCCGGGAAATCAACAACAAAAAAGGCTCTCGCAGTATGTATCCGCTCCATTGCGCTAATTTGGTTCGATATCGACATAGCTATTTAACGGCTAAAATGAACTCGTTACAGTAACCACACCTTTATTTCCTTTCAATACATATTGCTATGTCGGGGCGGCGTCTCCTCGACGCTCTCATCATCCTCAATGCCTCCCGAGGTGTCGCCGGTAGGCACGTTTCCCATCAAAGGCGGAAGTTAGATCTGTATCTTCGCACGTCTTCCTTGACCAGGGAGGCCAAATTACAACTTGATGATATTTCCCTTGGGCTCCGGGCGGCCTCAGAACTGGCGCGCAAGTTTGATGACTCCCCACAGCAGCAACCGGCTGAAACTGTTTCCACCGAGCGGAGTGGCGGCCGTGGGACTGAACATGAACAGAGTGACGTGGATGTTTCGACGGAGAAGAGAGCAAAAGATTTTGCCAGAAAAATAGATATAGACCAAGGGGTAGAGAGCACATCGGGGGAACAACTTTCGCGGGAGCAATTGAACCCACAAAACACAACGAAAAAATCTTCAGGGCACATATCAAGCGCTGTGCCAGAAGAGCCACAGCAATCCATTGAGTTGAAACGGTCACCTACGCTTGCCGAATCTACTGAAGATACAGTTCTTCGTGACTCAACGACGGCTACTTCCAGCAATGAGCCCTCTGAGGCTATCATGCAGCAGCTATTCCGAAGCCCAAGGGTGGCAAATAAGCTGACGAATGGCAGCAGATATGGTGTAAAACAACGTAATATAGAGCCTACTAAAATTGATAGATCGTCCGTCATAAATTCTTCACCACTATCCGATAGATTAAATACGCCGACAATTGAAACCGCCGTATCATCTAAATCGTCCGAGCTCTCCACATCCCCAGATGCAGAGAAAGAGGACATGAGGGCATTGGGAGCTGAGCTTGCGCATGATACCGCGACCTCTCAGGTAATTTAGGGCCATGATCTCTTTTACCATTTTCATATACTAACCCGCCGCCGCGGCAGGCGTCACAAGATGTACTTGGTCAATCGCCAACTCCTGCCTATCAGATGGTGGAATCCCGGGTTCCTTCAACCCGTTTAGGCAGACTGTGGGAATATGGAGGACTAGCCACCTCTATGGTCTTCGGTATCGCTGGGCAGAGCATTCGTCGCGCAACCGTTGGCGTTGACTCTAGCAGTGACTCTTTGATATTCAGCCCAGAGAATGTCGAGCGACTCGTGGCCAAACTGTCAAAAATGAGGGGTGCGGCCCTCAAGCTAGGGCAATTGCTGAGTTTTCAAGGTGAGCACTGCGCTTTAACCATGTAAATACAAACCGGATGAGTTCCTAATAGTGCTCCCAGATGCGAAAATGCTTCCGCCGGCTATTCACCAAGTCCTTCAACGGGTCCAAGACAAAGCAAATTATATGCCAGCAAAACAAAGGGACCGTGTTCTTGTAAACAATCTAGGCGAGAACTGGCGGAATTTATTTGAGTCCTTTGACGAGCTCCCCATGGCCGCTGCTTCCATAGGTCAGGTACATAGAGCAGTGCTAAAAGAGACGGGTAAACCAGTTGCCGTCAAAATTCAATATCCGGGGGTTGCAAACTCCATCGACTCTGACCTTAGTAATCTCTCCATTCTGTTAACCGCTTCACGCTTACTGCCCAAAGGGCTATTCCTCGACAAAACCATCGCCAATGCCCGCACTGAGCTAGCTTGGGAGTGCGATTACATACGAGAGGCCGAATGCGGCCAACGGTTCCTCTCGCTCCTCCAGGACGACACAGGAACATTTATGGTCCCGGCAATTATCCACTCTGCCTCCGGCAAGCAAGTCCTCACCATGGAATACCTAGAGGGCATCCCCGTTACCCGCGTCCAAAATTTCACCCAAGCCCAACGCGATTGGATAGGCACGCAAATCTTGCGGCTTTCCCTACGTGAAATCTGCGAATTTCGGTTCATGCAGACGGATCCCAATTGGACTAACTTCCTCTACAACTCGTCGACGAACAAACTCGAGCTTCTCGACTTTGGCGCCTCACGAGACTACCCTGCCTCTTTCATCTCCAGCTACCTCCGTATCCTCCAGGCTGCTTCCCGCAATGACCGTGAAACTTGCCGCGACCTCTCTATCAAACTGGGCTACCTGACTGGCTTCGAATCTCCTGCTATGGTCAACGCGCATATCACATCTATACTCACGCTGTCAGAACCCTTCATGGCCTCATCGCCCGACGTCTATGACTTTAGTGACCAGACCATCACGGACCGAGTGCGGGATATGATTCCGCTGATGCTCCGTGAGCGACTTGCGCCACCCCCAGAGGAAACGTATAGTCTGCATAGGAAGCTTAGTGGGGCTTTCTTACTGTGCGCTAGATTAGGGAGTCGGGTGCGGTGTAAGGAGTTGTTTGAGAATGCGCTAGAGAAGGTGGAATGGGTAGATGAGGATGAGATGTCCGTGGGCGAGGGTGAGGAGCTAGTTGATGGGTTGAGGAAGGTGACCATGGCTGGATGAGGTGTACTACTTTTGGTTTAGATTTGGATATACTGTACGATATTATTAGGAAGTGTCTTAGCCATATGTACCAATAGCAAGTTCCGTTTCCAAGCTTCATTTCCATTTCGATCAAGTGGCATGTTTTGGGCGATGTCTTTATTCTTCAAACCCTAACTAATAACCACAGGTCTCACCATATTCGGCAAGAAGGTGATGAGAAACCCATACCACAGCAGAAAAGCGACTGGGAACATGAGCCCATTCCCTCGCCCAACTCGAAGAAATACCGTCTCATGGCACCTTCGTCGTTTCTTTGACGCTCCATGTTTCCTTCCCAACATCGACCGTTCTGTCAATCAAACGAAGGTTGAGTTTTCGGATGCCTCCTTTCGACACAAACTCATCATATTCGCCCATCAGGGACCTCTATCCCAGGTGCTTATTTAGGCAGCATTGAAGTATAAACTTGCAACCATGCTGTCCGGTCTCACTGCAAACAGTTATCTGCAATACAAAGCAGATACCGATACTGTAACTTCATGGCTAGTAACAACGGCGACGGAACGCGTCTATACCCAAGAAATAAGAGCAGCCAATGTCTAAGGCTCGTGGGACAGAGGAAGAGGTAACACCTGAGGCTGGGGACAGATATGGCTCCTAAATTCCTCCTCGCTTTCTTCCAATCAAAGATTATCCCCTTCTGGCAGACTGTCTCGCGGCTGCTATTGATCCTCTTGTCGCTCCACGGAAATTTTGTGAAAACCCTTGATAGCGTTATTGCCACTCGATGCGAATTTGAAGGGGAATATTTTCTCGTGTCCCCAGCGACGAAGAATCCAACGCATTTGATGACGGGCAAATGTATTTCATTAGGGTGCTAGAACATGTGCGGGAATGTAAGGGGGCATTAGATAAAACTTTCAAATTTGAGTCTGTTTCTCTCATGACCAACACCGCGATTGATATCGCGAGGCAAGCCTGTGAAGATGCTGAACCGCTCATTAAGCACAAGAATTGGATTTGGATCTCAATCAATGAATGCGCGCCTACTCATTTATTATTTTTCTACTCGCAATATAATCCTCCAATCTCAATTCAATTTTACATGGTGACATTCCTCACTCAGATTTCTGCTTAATTGACCATCACACATTAAGCCCGTGGGTGTTCTTCTCCTACTTAACTAATCTAGTTACATAGATAGTATTATTGCCCGGATATAACGAACTTAGGCCATCAACACTGCTTACCTTTGGATTTAAATTCTTTCCCCGCAAGTATGATCCCATAATAAAACGGATATTTTATCTTCAATTTTCCAATTTCCGGTATTTCTTTTACCCAAGGTAAGCTCTGGCACGCGATCCGCAATATTCTTGATGAAGGACCCTCGGATACCTCCTTTTTCCTCGCACTGGCATAAATGGCAAACTTGAACTCCCCACGTTAATAATAAGTTAGCTCTTATTAAATGGACATGGACAGGGGTTCCGGAAGTTAAAGTCAAGCTGTTAGTCTAAAGGTGAGCTGACAGGGTGACAAGAGAGGGCAAGGAGATTTGATGACGATTTTTAAAGTATCCTATATGTCAGCATTGGTAGCGAATGGTATATAAATTCTTATGGAATTACATGCAACAGGAAGCCGTAGGCAAAAATAACAAGCAAATCAACATACGGATTCCAGCAATACTCATTCAGATAGTGGATTATATCCTCTCATCATCATCATCATCATCATCATCATCATCATCATCATCATCATCATCATCATCATCAACATCATCATCATAATCATAATCACAATCATCATCCTCATCCTCATCCATGTTACCCTCACCATCGTCATCCTCCTCCTCATCCTCCTCCAGAATCATCGTCACAAGCAGGTTCTCTTTATCCCTCTCCCCCTTATAAATCCACTCACTACCACTCCTATTCCCAATTTCCTTTTCATCTTCATCTTCACTTTCCCATTTGCCCAACCCCTTACCCACTCGCTCTGTCTTAAACGCGGGCAATCGCCACAAACCCCGCATTCCCGTCCGTTCCTCATCCCCCTTCTTATTTCTACGTCTGATTTTTTGGCTTGGGCTGGGTAGATAGCGGCTATTACTACTACCATCACCAACTATTTTATTCTTGCTGTCTGGGAATTCGTTGTCCTCGCTTCCAGGGCTGATATTAAGCAATTGATGCATATACCCAGACAAGAAATGCAAAGATATCCCCGCGGACACACCAAGGGCACCAGCGACGCTGAGGAAGATGTATAGCGACTAGGAGATTTTATCTTTGGTTAATTTGGATATTAAAACGTTTAAAAAGTCAAGGGGGGCGCACGGGGTTTTGCCAGATGGATGAGGAGGATTCACCTCGAATTTTAGCAAGAAGCGCAGGGGCAATAAGATACAGATATGGAATATATAGAGTACCACATGTACGCAGGGAGTGGCGAGTGCTTGTAGAACGGTCAGTAGGATGTTGGCGGTGATGGTGACGGGGTAGATGGCATAGAAGGCTGTGGTTGTGAGGACCGTTGCCCAGGACATTTTCTGTCCCCGTTATCTTTCTACTGTTTTCTTGGGAGATTAGTTGTATGCATGTAGTTTAACTACAGGCAAGTATTGCCAATCTGGCTGGCCTGGGATGGGATGTTTATTGCGGGGAGAGATGATCTAGCTCAGAACTAGAAGGAGAAGTTGGACGGGGATGGATGAATTGCTGAATCTACCGCGACACCTCCCGTGTGGTTGCACCGTAAGCGGTTTAATTTGGAATCTAACTTAAAGAGACAGGATGTGTGTGTAAAGTAATAATTAAATTATATTGATATTCGTAGTAGCTATGTATAAGTTGACAATACTATAATAACCAACTTATAGATGACTTGTTTATGACTAATCCAGCAGATGATCCGTGCACCAACCCTAAAACCCCTCCCCGATCTGGAAAATGTCCGAGCTGATAAGAGACGTCTGACTTCATCGCGGCTGGATCTGTACAACAACCTGTATCTACATGCATACATCAACACCGTGGGCAGACAATGCCCGAGACAGTTCGCTATCTGAGCCAACTTTGACCATCTGATTATATGCCAGATTGAAAAGGTGGGATACAACCCGCCCAACAAATGGGGAACACCCCATCCAAACCCCCCCAACCTGGCGGGGATTCCAACGCCAACACCAACTATCCAGCTACGGCGGGCAGCCAGCAAAATACATACAATGACAGGCGCGTAAATCGCCGCACCTCCATTCAGGCCCTCTCAGGCGCAACAGGCACCGGTACTAAATCTTCCGCCGCCGATCCGTCCGCCACTCGAGAAAGCGCGACTGGCCATCCCATCCCTCATCGCCAGCAGGGCCCTGTTCACCACTGGCTGCAGTCCCGTAACCTCAGTGACTCCTCACGATATGACCACCTCCAACAGCAGCAACCGCAACATAGAGATTCCCCAAGATACCAGCGAGAAACCAGCGATAAACGTGAACATCTCCCCACTCGTTACCAGGGGGAACCCTCCCCAGAACCTTCAAAGGCAGTCCGCGTCCCCTTCGCGCCCGACCGGGGTCCGGGTGCTGCCAACAATACAGGCGCCGGTACCAATGTAACCAGGCGCCACAATATTAGTGTGCATCGCGAGCAATACCGCCCCATAGAACCTTCAGGTCCAACGTCAAGTGCCTACTATGGTGCCTCCGCACATCTCTCGCGCCCCCCGCGGCTACCATTGCCCATTGGTGATGCGACGACGGCACCTGGCTCGCCGATAGTAGCGCCATCGTCGATGACTGGGCCGCATGCGATTGTACCTGTTCTGAGTGATAGGGCGGACTTGGAGTTATCGGGAAGTGGGGAGGGCGTGGATCGGGCTGGTCGGGCTGGGTTGGGGGATGAGGACGAGGAAGACGAGATGATTGATGAATTGGAGGTGGATGCGGGGATGGGCGTTGGGATTGGAGGGCTAGGTGTTAATAAGGCGGTGACGACGACGATTGAGTGGCGGGGCAGTGGAGAGAAGGTGTATGTTACGGGGACATTTGTGAATTGGGAGAGGAAGTTTCGATTGCATAAGAGGTTTGTTTTTTTATTTTTATTTTTATTCTTTTATTTTTAATTTTTAACTTTTTTTAATTTTTTTCCATATATATCATTATGATAGCTAACATATCTATACAGCGAAACGGAAGATGGTGTCAAAACAGCCACCCTCCAACTACGTCCTGGAACCCACCACCTAAAATTCATCGTCGACGGGATAATGAGCACATCTGACCAACTCCCCACCGCCGTTGACTTTACTAACCACCTGGTAAACTACATCGAAGTCATCCCAGAACCCGAAGAACTCTCGCGCCCCCGTCGCGAATCCGACCGCGATCGGCCTCCAAAATACTCCATCCCCCCAGGCCTCTATCCACCCCAGGTGCTCCCGGACACCCTCGAAGTCCACCCGGACCACGACTCAGACCGCGACTACACCTCCGACTCGACCGACACTTCCTCCCAACACCAACAACGACAACAGGAACGGCAGCCGCCCGAGGAAGAAATCCCACCCGGCGACTTCCGCACCATTATCCCGCCCTTCCTAACCGACATAGACGGCGAGGAAGAGGACGGGCCCCTCTACCAGCAGGCGGCAAATGTCATTGGTGACTCGCCAGTGCCCCCTATGCTGCCGATACTGCTTTCGCGGTCGATATTGAACATGACGACGCCGATGAAGGATGATAGTAGTGTGCTAAATATGCCGAATCATACGACATTGAATCATTTGGCGACGAGCAGTATTAAGAATGGGGTGTTGGCGACGAGTGTGTCAACGAGGTATAAGGCGAAGGTGAGGTTTTCCTTTTTCTTTTTTCTTTTTTCTTTTCGTTCCTTTTCTTTTCTTTTCTTTTTTTTTTGGTTATATGATAATCATGGTTTGTATCTATTTTTGCTAACTAAGATACGTCTCGTCTAGTGCGTTACGACCATTGTGTATAAGCCGACTGGAGATATCACGGGGTGAAAGTAACCAAGGCTTGAAATGGAGATACTTAGGATGATGAATGATTGAATAGAAAAGGAAAGGAAAAATTTTAAAGGAAACATTGAGCCCAGAATTATTTAGTCAGAGAGAGGGGAACAAGAAAAAAAGAAAGGAAAAAAAAAATACGAAAGGAAAGAGAAGGGCCCGATTGTTCCTTTCCCTAGTTTTCTCTTGGAAAATCTAATAATACATACGCAGCTGTGTAGATATATATACATACACGGAAAAGCTAGCTATCAGATAACGACAGACTAATGTAGAATCTCACGTCAAGCATACTAAATTCAAGCAATAATGGAGCATAGAGTACAGACTCCTCGTCGTAGTTAGTACCAAAAGGGGGGGAAGGAGAGAAATCCCCTCATCCCCTCTTCTCCAGATAGCCCGTGTTGGAAGAAGAACGGGTTAGCAGTAGTCAGTAACGTATATTAGCTGTGGCATAGTAAATAGTAGTATACGTAGAATGATGAGGGGGGCCCATGGTCCTTTTTTTTCTCTTCTCTTCTCTTCTTTCTTTTCTTTTCTTTTTTTTTTTTTTTTTCCCTTTCTTTTTTTAACCCCAGTAACTACATTTACTGAAATAATCCTCATTTCACAAGCTTACATACCTTGTTAAATAATACCCTCAACAGGCCCGGGCGGGGGTGGTGTGAGATATGAGAAATGAAACATCCTAACCAGCTCCCTCTGCACACACTTCTCTGCACACATCCGGGACTCGGGATGAAAGAAGACGACGACGACGACGAAGATCAAGTCCCTGCATGGGTGCAGAGTCCAGCCTGAGGAAGGGGGAGGAAGGGAAGGGGGGGGGGGAAGATTTCCTCCCGAGTGAGTGTGGATCGATAGTGGATATTATTGGTAGTGAGCACATAGAACAGACGCAGCGGACTTTGACAGAGGCCGCCGACTGGCCGCTATCCAGGCCTATCAATCGCATGGGCTTGGTTGGGCTGGGGGCCATTGTTGGTGCTAGCAATGGCTAGGGCGGTTACAGGGGCTTACTCGAAACGAAAAGAGGTTGAGATGAATGGTAACTTTTATGTAACGAAGGTGGATTTGGGATATTATAAGTTAGTGAGATATTATTGAAGGAGTAATTCAGTCATTGGCAGTTGTAGATATTGGATATAACTAATATTTAATAAATAATAAATAATATCTTGCAGAGGAAACTCGCTCACCAAGATCTTCGAGACGAGACAGCAGCGTGTCGCAGGTCTAATTGGCGGACAGCTGAAACAGCATCGCCCGTGTTCTGTCGCGGGTTGAAACAGCCGGCGATATTTACGACGGCGAAGAGGAGAAGCGGAGAAGGGAGAAGATGGAAGATAGAAACTAGAAAATAGACACAGAGGATGATGGTGATGGTGATGGTGATGGTGATGGACAAAGAGATGTTGTCTGTCTGTCTATCTCAACTTCCACTTCTCTTTCAACCTCATCTTCTCTCCCTCTCTCTGTCTCTCTCTCTCTCCCCCTGGCTGCTGGAGTAATCAACTAATAGTCAACTATTGTAAGTCAGTCCCTGTCTGTATTTTATACAACTATTGTTTCTTCTTCTTCTTCTTCTTCTTCTTCTTCTTCTTCTTCTTCTTCTTCTTCTTCCTCTCCTCCTCCTAGCCCCCCCTCCACTCCCCAACCCGCCTCCAGCCAACCAGCTCGCTCGTCGCCCACTCGCCAGCGGCAACAGGCATCGACTATCCCAACTGTCTGCTCTGGCCCGTTCTGCTCCAGTATCTGCTGGGTGCTTATTAGCTGCGAGCTTGCTAACTTGTTGGACGGCCTGGGTTTGGCCCCCCTTCTTCTTCGTCTTTTCTCTCTCTCTCTCTCTCTCTCTCTCTCTCTTTCACACGCTGGCGGCTAACTTGCATCTCAGTCCAGTCCAGTCCAACATCGCTCGCGGCCTCGTCCCTCCTCCTACCTACCTACCTACCTCGTTTCGCTCGTTTACTTACTTGCTTGCTTTGGGAAGACTGCGACGGGAGAGGTAGGCGAGGAGACGACAACAAAGACGAAGACGAAGAGAAAAAAAGAAGCAGCAGCAGAAGAAGAACTTCCCTAACTATCCATTCGTTTTACTTATTTTTAATCCCCGTTTGACCTATCGTCGATCATTCGTTTGGAAGAAATAAATACCCATTGTGGAACGGTTGGCTGGCTAGTTCAAAAACCCTTGAACTGGAAAATAAAAAAAATCAGCTGGACGGAGATATATCTACCTAGTCTCTTTCATCTGGTTCTTTCAATCTGCTATATCTTTTGTCCTTATCGTCCTTATCGTCTTATTTATATCGCTCCCGACTGTCGGTTTGTGCGAACCAGGGCTACTCTACGGAGTACACTCCCCTACAAGACGAAACACCAATCCTCCCAATCAATCAATCCCTCCCTTCCTCCTCCAACTAACCCCACCCGATAATATCTCGCCGTCGCACCCAGATATGTCCACTGCGGTCGCTCCACCCACCGCTGCTCCCCTCCCCCCAATGGTCGACCACAACCGTGATCATAACCGTGACCGTGACCGCGACCGAGATCGTGATCGTGATCGTCCAAGTGCCTTTGGTGGCCGTGACAACGACTCCTTCTCTTCCAGCTCCCATCCTGTCCTCGCTCCCATGTCTTCCTCCTCCTCTCAACCTGCTACCACCTCCACCCCTTCGCGGCCAACTACGGATCGCGCGTCCGGGAAAATTACTCCCCCTGATGGAAAACGTTCGCCAAATACGTACGCTTTTCTCTCTCACCGCGCTACTTGAATCCATTTTCATTTTCCTTAGTATTGAATATAGTAAACTAACCCGTATAGTTCTCGAAGCGGGGGCGCTGGCTCGTCCAAAATATCAGTTAAAAAGGAACCTCCAACCTCTCCCAGCCTTCACTCCAGCTCCCGTCATCGCCCTCGCAAACTCGACCTCTCTGCCAGCACCCTCTCCGCACAATCTGGCTCGTCCACATCCCGCGGCCCCTTGACCGCAAGAGAAGGTGGCCTGACTGCTATGCATGATGTTGGTTTGGCCTGTCTATCTCCGGGCTTCCAAACCCAAGACCCTGCCATCCGCGAGCAGCTCCAACGCAGCATTTCCGTCAGAGACCAGCAGAGATCCATAATCGAATCCCGGCTGCAGAAAACCGCTAAGGGGGACGGTCCGGATGGCATCAAACCCTCAGAATCAAATCTGTTCGGCTCTCTCAAAACCCCTTCCTCCAAGAAACGACCTCCACCGGGCTTATCAATCGTCCCCCCTTCCGCCTCACAATTCGCGAATGAACGAGTCATCCAGTCCGCCCCGCTAAACCAGACCTTCACCGGCCGTCATCACCCCCACCCCATCAGCCGCCATCTCATGAACCACCCTTCGGACCTTCATATGAACTCCCCCATCCACCATGCTACTCCCGCGAACCAGACAAACAACCGCCTCCCGCCGATCGCTGACGTCTTTGGCTCCGATGCTCTCGTCCCCCGCAACCAAGACCGCGATCACCGTGACTGGGACCGCGATGACAGGAATAACAACTCCCACAGCCGCAACAGCAACACCAACAACAATAACAACGGCGGTTTCTACCAATCCACCGCTTCTTCATTTAATAATAACTCCACCAGTAATTCTAATGCCAACAGCAACAATAATAGTAACAATCTAGGACCCCTCCCCTCCCCTTCCCTCGCCTTAAACAACCCAACATCCTCCTCCACATCTTCCACCACCACCACAAAACGCGCGCGCGAATACCGCTCCGCGGAAGAAGCCGTGCACGAACTCGCCGGCGGCCGTGAAGAGCTCCTCCCGCGCATCATCCACTACAACGGCAGCACCAACTCAACCACCACCAATAATACTAACCAACGCCACCACCCCACCTCACCCCCTCCTCCCGGTGCTAGTATAAACGGCACGCAGCACACCTCCAACTCACTCCATTACCACCATCACCACCACCACAATCAGCAACAACAGCCGCAGCAGCAACAACAACCCTACCCACCCTCAACCTCCGGCCGCCGCCGCACGCGCAACGAATACGAGCGCGATAATGGCAGCCCGCCCTTGGGCACCGGGCCCCCGGATATGAGATTCCGCGGCGCCCCTGCGACCGCCGCATCTACGACATCCCATGGGCCAACTGCAGCGCATGGCGGGAGTCCTGGCGGCGGTCATCACCATCACTCGCATGGCGCTGGTGCTGCTGGTGGTGCAAGCTATTCCACTGGAACGAGCGGTGCATTTGGATTTGGAGGAGGGGCGTTTGGAGCCGTGAGGGATTCGCCAGAGACGCAACGGAGGAAGAAAGAGGAGTTTTTGGGCTTGTGTGCGCGGGCGTGGGATTTGTTCCATTCGTAAGGGGTGTGAGATGTGGGTTGTGACTGGATGGAATGGAGTTTGAGGGCGGAGAAATGTGGAAGGGGGGGGGGGGGGGGGGGGGTGGTTTGTTTGCGGGGTCGTAGGGTTTAGGGGTTTTTTTTTCTCGTCCATTTCCCTTTATTTCTTCTGATTTCCTTGCCATTTCATTGATTGATTTGATCTATATCACTTTCCGTTACGGTTTCGGTTTCGGTTCTCGGTTTTGGTGTTCGCGCGGTTAACGGTTTCTCTCCCTTTTGCTCCTACTGGAGGGATTGTGGTGGCCGATCCGATCTCTACTACGCTATGCGCGTGCCTGAGAATTGGTACCGGTACAAATGATATGTGGATCGGATTTGATTGCAGGGCTTGCCTGGTCGACGTTCCCATATACATACAAATATTTTTCCCCGGTTTTTTCTTTTGATAAATGCTGTTGATGTTGATGGTCATGTCTTGTCTTGCTCTACCTTTTCTTCTTTCGTTTTCTCTTCCTCTTTTTTTTTTCTTTTCTACTTTTTCGCTCTACCCATTTTGTCTCGTTTTATCTATCTTCGTTTCTCCTGCCCCCTTATTTTTATACATATCCCCAGCTCAAAAAACGCTTCTTACCTTGATTTGCTTCTTATTTCCCGTTAACACTTTTACATTCACATCCATCTTTTTGAACTCAACTTTGTTTTTTTCTTGACATTTCACTTTTTTGCCGTTTCCCCCTCCTTTTTTCTCATTCTTCTAATTTTAAATTTCTTTGCAGCTTTTCCCTCTTTTTTCGCTTCTACAGGCTTTTTTCCATTTATTTTCTCGCCTAGTATTTCCCAACGGGTGTCTGGTGCATGCTACTTCTGATTCGGAATTTTTCTTCTCTTTTTCTTTTCATTTCTTCTTGGAAAAGTTTCATTCTCTCTGAGTGATTACTTTTTTCCTCTTTTCTTTTCTTTTCTTTTCTTTTTTTTTTTTTAATTATCAAACTTCTATATTTTTTTCTCTTCTATATCTATCTATCTACCTTTCACATTTTCTTTTTCAACATTTGAATATCAGATTCAGTTTTGCCTTCTTTCAGATGAAGTAACACTCTTATTTCCTTTTTCTTTCCATAGTCATCATATTGATCTAGGCAAAACTTAATTATTTCAGTTTTTGAATAGTTGAGTGGTGTTTTTCATTCACACACCATTCTGTTAAAAATTAATATCTAATGAGAAGAATATGCTATATACATGCACAGCACTGTTAATTGAGTAAATCAATTACTACCTAATCAGCTATATATCTACAAGTATTATCAATCATTTCTTCAACTCTAGCCACCTAGCTGAGATGTAGGTATATCTTGGTTGAATGCAATCTAAATAAAATATACTCATTTATAAAACTGATCAGCCTGCATATGTGATGAGAGAAAGAAAGCTGTATATATGAACCTCTCCATTGAGCCTGGTTTGAGTGAGCGGCCTGCCTGGCCTCCCGTAGATCTATGATTGATCTGTCCTACCCTTCTTTCCTTCACCGCTCGTCCGTCTGCATTGCATCTCGTGCATTGCATGCTGTTTTTGATCTCTCTTTTTTTTTTTTTGTCATATATATGTAGTATGTAATAGAGAGTAGGTGGTATGCTGGAAGAAAGAGATTCATGGGTGTTTTGTTTCGTGTATGTGAATTTAGGCACTGTAGGATATTCTGTCTCGCGGATTCTAAAGCTCTTCATTCCCTTCGAAGGGAGGTATGTATCTATCTATACATAGTGAAAGCACGGAGACGGAGTTCTATGTGTATTATTATGGGTTTATGCGTGAGCAAGAGAGAAAACAAAATAGGAGGATGAGAGGGGAGAAAAAAAAGGATTTCCCGCCCCCCTCAATCGAATCAAATGTACAGTACACTGCCAAATGCTAAATGTCAGCTCTCAAAGTGCGAAAATGCAATGCAACCAACCCCATTAATCCCCAAGTTTAAAAAACCAAAACAAAAGAAAGCCTCGTAAAATCCATCCCCCTCCGTCCCATCTGCCTAACCCTCACATAACCGACTAGGTTTAAAACCACCCATTTTTCCGAAAACGGCAAAACAGAGTAGGTCTTAATTTCCGTCATTCAATGGACCCTTAACACAACACCACCATCTGCCTCACTGTCAACATCCTCGTATCCACCTCTACTCCCCTCGCCAGTAAAAGTAATAGCACCTGTACCGGTCGTCACATCGTGCCGTGCAGGTGCAGTGTTCTTCTGCCTCTTTATATAGTTCTTTGCGGCCTTTGCTCCCTCATTCCCGCTACGGGACAGCGTGTGCGTTTCGATCGAGAGGCTGGATGAATAGCGGTGCTCGTGCTGCTGCTTGGAGCCCGCCGTCCTTTCCTGGCTGTGTGTCTGGAGGATTTGTACATGTGCCTGCGGTGCCTGCGAATCGCACTCTGCGCGACGGGGTGTCGATATACCCGTTTCAGCAGCATCTGCATCTGCATCTGCTTTTGCAGCGCGCACGCCGTCGCCGCCGCTAGCGCCCGCGCCCGCGCCCTCTCCCTCCCCATTCATCCGTCGAATAGCCTCCTCATCCCTCGCCAACTGCGCATCCCAGAACCCTTCAATATCCGCCTGCGAATGCGACTGTGGCAAATCCGCTTCCACTCCCACCTCCCCTCCCCTTTCCTGCCGCTGCCGTTGCAAACCCCTCCTCAGCTCCTCCCACTCCCGCACCTTGCAGCTAACATCCGCATAGTGCGCTAGCACGCGCAGTTGGCGGAGGACGGTGTCGAGTACCTTCTCCTCATGCTCTGGCGGGTGTGCGCTTGTGAATTCGGGGATTTCGATGATGTTGTATGGCTGCGCGAGGGCTTTGAGGGCGCTGTCGTCGATGAGGAGAGTGTTTGTTTGGTTCCAGGGGGTATTATTGCCAGATGGTGCGGCTGCGGCTGTGGCTTCTCTGGCTCTTTGTTTCTTGTTTTTCTTCTTTCTCTTCGCTTTCTCGACGCTACTGTCGCCGGGAGGAATAGTTATAACGGTAGTGGTAGTAGAATCAGGAGTAGTAGCGGCATTATTATCATCACTTTCAGTGAATCCCGGGTATAATCTCGCAATGCCCTTATCCGCCCATACCTTATCCAGCCTTTTGTAAACCTGCACCTTCTCCGCGTACTGCCTCGCATTCAACCCCAGCGTATCCCGCGCCCAAACTGCGACAAACTGCTCCTTCTCCTCCGCCGTGAATGTCTTCTCCAGTACCTCCCGCACCGTCTGCGGTTGCGAGCTCGTCCACACCATCACGGTGTAGTTCTCAAAGAGTTCCTTGAGGAAGGCGTGTAGGCCTGGACGGGTCCTGAAACGGATTGGCCGCCGGCCTATGCGGTGTATGAGGGTGCCATTCAGATCAAGGATAATGAGGAGGGGTTGGGTGGCTGTGGTTAGGGTTGGCGGGGAAGAGGATTGGGCGAGGTAAGTGGATGTTGGAGGGACGGCGCGCGGGGGAGTAACAGAGCGGCGGCGCGGGGAGGCCTGGGGGCGCGGATCAGGATTGGAGCTTTCAGGTCGGGATGGATGCGTGCCAGGATCACGTTGTCCATTAAAGAAGGGGTGGTGGGGAGTGGCCAGTGTAGAGTATGCGTTGATAGCGGTAAATGGGGACGTCATTGGGAAGGCGAGCGGAGGATATTGGAAGGGAGCGTATTGATATTGGTTTTGGTATGGGTTTTGATATTGGTATTGGTTGTGATATTGCGACTGTTGGTATTGCTGGGAGGAATAGTTTGGTAATAGCCATGGTGGTGGTGCTGCTGCGCCCGACACGGGTCTAGATATTACAATTAACAAAAGTTTTTGAAAGCGTTCAACAGATAGGGGAAAGGTAAATATTCACATCGACGCCGTCCGCGCATATACAGATTCAGACGCAGGTACATATCTCCTATCCTGCAAGGAGCCCTGCGTTGTGTAGGTACGGTATGTGGGCGCATCGGGATCTAAGGCTCGCTCCCGTTTCCGTCTTCTACTCCCCTCGTACCCTAATGAAGACGTCCGTTCGTAGGGTTGTGGTCTCTGGTTCCTGTCTTGCTCATGTGCCATCCATCTGTTATTAAAAGGCCTCCATGAATCTGGTCTAGATATCTGTCGGTCATCCTCGCGCTTCGGTGGACGGTTTGGAGTGCTCATATCTGCCGGGGCGCGGGGCTGTTGAGCTGTGGAATGAGGATGTACCGTGATAGCGGCAAACTGCAGCAATTGAGAAAGACTTTAGATGAAGGGAAATAGAGCGCTAAAGCAGGCTACAGAAGAGAACAGAGAGAAGGGTTGCTTCAATACTCACCATGCTTCGGCTTGGTGTGTCTGTTGTTGTCCGCGATTGCTTGGAAGAACTGAAGAAGTGAGAGCGCAAAGGGTGCAATCGGACCATCATATAAGAAATAGGAGGAGAGGAAAACAGCAAGGAATGAATATGACTATATAATCATTCCATGTATAAAAGGATCAAAGCGCTTTTCTATCGATTTAGTTGTGAGATGTAAATTATATGGCATCTAATAATCTGTACGGAGTACAGGCTAGAAATTTATGTTGAAATTCCAGTACCGGATTCAAATTGTTCCGGTCCACCTCTTTGAATCTTTAGGGGCTTGGGCCCTAAAAGATAGGCACTGAGTAGTGCCCAATCAGCTCCTCACAGGCGTCAGCAGAGCCCGGAATCCACCTCTAAACAGGTTCAGGAGGGCTGATATTCTCTGTATCACTTAAATTACTAGCGTTCCGCACCTCTATTTCAAATCATTTTATTTTAAATAAAACCTTTTAAAACCAGCTGGTGAGTGGCTTAAGTACAGCTGAGCGGACGTGAAGCACTGTTTTCCACTTCCTATGGTCATATGTGTTTATCCCGACTCCTTTTCTGATATACACACAATATCAGGTAACAAAATGCACCTGTCCGGGCTGGTCAACCCACTTTACCACTAATCAGTCAAGTGAGTGGCTTGAACATGCTTAATACTTCAGTGGGTAATGCTCAGAGGGCGGATCAGCCATATCTCAGCCATTGCAACTGTACGTTTTCACAGCGGACTGTGGTAGTACTCCTAGCAGTAGTATTTGCAAGTACCATCAAAATAGAACCCGCCTCGCAGCTACAATGTCCAGATATCCAATTCCCGGATCACAGGGAGATCCATCCATTTCTACCGAGCGCCCACCCGGCATATTCCCAGTCGAGGATACGGGTGATGCGATAATTGTGATCAACCATGATGTTTCGTGGGGCAATGTCAGCGCGTGTGAAGACAGTCCCTGATGATCGAGGGAGCATGTCTGATAACTCATTTTATATCGCACGCCGCCGAAACAGAGATAGCGGCGGTATGTCCCGGTTCTGAGATCATCATCTGTGCATAGAGGGGTTCCTGGGCAGTCCAAATTTTCAATTAGAGGGTCGAGAGATATCATCCCGATCTCACCACAGCAATCATTGATGACGCTGTAGATAACTTCGGGAAGAGGGACGGAGGTGTGCTTCGCTACCAGCTTCATGGCTTCAACCTCGACGCCGCCTTATAGTCGTTCCGCCCTTGGAAACATATAAGCGATCTTGTTCAAGAACCAGTCGACCACCTTGCTTGCTTAGAATGGTAATCACACCCCCCTCTAACGGCGGTTCATTCTTCACATCAATTGGAATTTTGAAGGTCTTTTTATCCAGTTTGAGATAGGTCTCGCCCAAAGGAGATTTCCATATGCCAATGGAACGCGATCCTCGAGATTGGGTGTGCTTCTGATTTGCACGCTGTTAGAGTGACGACTGAAGCGATGGATGTCATCGCTTCAAGTACTCGAACTTGGTTTCCGCATACCTGGAAAGATAGTTATTCTTCGTTGCATTATTTCAAACACTTGACGCTCACCAATGAATTGGTGACAAGCAATCATTTCCAGGGTCAAGCGGTCGGAATATTTGTTTTTTTTTTTCGGACCCCAGCGAACCAACTCAGTAGACTCCAAGCGCAGCTTGAATGTCGGTGGTTAGGTATCTTACTACTAAATTTCTGCAACCAAACACCAAAATGTGGATTATCTCAACGAATTTACGCGCGGTGGCCTGGATGTGTGGAAACGGGCTTGATTGGCTCATGCCTCCCTCGCATGAACTATGCTGGTCTACGGACTCGTAGCATATTCTTCATATCAACAGAGACAGCCACCACTAGGAATGGTCTAACCCGTATGCCAGACCGGCGTATACTCCATTAAAGAGGACAGTAAAATGTATTAAACGGGGATGAATAGTGGTACCGTTTCCAAGTAGCTGTAGTTCTTGGGCGAAGGTGGGAAGGTTTTGAATGTTGTATTTGGAGTATCCTGGGAGACCCCTGAAACTTCACCGAGGAAGGCTGTGGGGATACTTGGTTGATTCCTTCAGGCATAAGTTTGGTACAAAGTTCTAAAATCTATAATTAAAACATCAAACGGATCAGAAGGTGAGATATTCTAGAAGAATAATAAATTATGATGACTTTGTATGATAAGTGTTAAAAAGGGGTTTGAATATCACGTGAAAGCTGCCTGACCGCTTTGGTGGAATATCCCGGCAGAATAATTTAACACATCCGACCAACCAAAGAAAAGAAACATGTACTTACAAATCCTGCAAGATCTCAACATGCCGATTTCAAGTAAATTCAATCAGCGGGTAAGAGCTCGGCTAGAAGAGGACGAGTTTGAGCAATTCTCGGGCGAGTCTACCTCAGATGAAGGGTTAGAGGGAGGCGAATCTGTTGAGGACGAAGAAGAGCAGGAAGAAAATAGCGCTGAAGATCATAGCGAGGAGGACGATGACGAAGGAGAAGAAGATGATGACGATGATGGGGATGTAGAGGACTCCTCCTCCGACATAAACCCCTCGCTAAACGCCATCTCCTTCGGCGCCCTCGCAAAGGCCCAAGCATCCCTCGGAAAGCGAAAGCGGCCAACCGCCTCAACAGGGGGCATCTCGCCCAAAAGAGCGAAAGTTCCTGGCCGACACTCGCCTACTCCTTCTGCCTCATCCAGTGGAGAAAAACAAGAACCAGAACCAGAACTATCCGAATACCAAAAACACCTCGCCGCCAACGCCAAAAAACCACCTCAAAAGCTCACCCACCGAACCTCCAAACACGCTCCCACAATCCAATCCTCCCGCCATGCCGTCTCCCGCAAACGCACCATCCTCGAACCACCCCCAGTTCCCAAAGCCCGTGACCCGCGCTTCGACTCCGTCGTCCTAAGCCACAGCACAAACGGCAATTCGTCCACCGCAAGTAACGCCGCCATCCACGCCCGCAAAAACTACGCCTTCCTTGACAGCTACCGCAAAGACGAGATTGCGCAGCTGCGCAAGCAGGTCTCAACGTTACAAACCAAGAAACATAAGACAAACTATGATGAGCGCGAGCTCGCGCGCCTCAAGCGCCAGATTACCTCTATGAGTGATCGACAGCGCACGTTTGAGCGGAAGGAGATGGAAAGGGAGGTGCTAGTACAGCATCGACGGAAGGAGAGGGAGTTGATACGCGAGGGAAAGAAGAGTCAGCCGTACTTTTTGAAGAGGGGAGAGGTAAAGAAGGAGGCCGTTGCGAAGAGGTTTACGGAGATGAGTGGGAAAGAGAAGCAGAGGGCGTTGGAGAGGAGGCGAAAGAAGGTTGCTGGGAAGGAGAGAAAAGAGATGCCGTGGGGGAGGAGGGTGGTTGAGTAGTTTGTTTTTTTATTTCTTTTTGTCTAGCATGTTTTATTTATGTTTATTTTTATTTTTATTTTTTTTTCATTTCATTTTATTGTTGCTGGAGGGGGACATTATGTAGTCGATGATAAACGCTCCATCACATCGCCGGCCAACGTCATATTCAGCATTATATTACGCTACGAATGAATTCATGCTACTTCTATAGTTTGATGAAAGACCTATTATCATCAGTTTTTTTTTTTTTTTTTTTTTTTTTTTTTTTTTTTTTTTTTTTTTTTTTTGGATGAAATTTGTACTCCTTTTTTCTTTAACTACACTAAATCGAATCATTGTCACATTACTTCATTGTGCGATATCGTCAACCGCTGCTCCTCATGTTGTTGGAAGGGGAGGAAGAAAATTATAATAGTGCTGTGGAAAGCATCCTGTAAAAACGTGTGCGGGAGGTAAAAGAGATAGGGTTGAGGCAGGGGGAGGGAATCGTGGCAACACGTAATCGACGTGGGAATCAATCCGCTCACTCTTTATTTGCAGACACGGCCATCAGCGGAGGGGTATTCCTTGCCGTTGATGGTGATGGAAACGTCCTGGGCCCACTGGTCCTCAACAAACTTGCGGTCCTCTTCTTTGCTGGAATCCAGCTTGGTGAAAGAGTAGCTTTCCCAGTCGGGAGCGACGTCGAAAGCAGCTGCAGCGTCTTGGCCGCGGATGACAAAGGCGCCTACGATTGCGTTGTCGTAGTTCGTTCCGTAAACGGAGGCAGCGCCGAAAACGAACTTGCGGGAGGCCTCAAGACGGGTAAAGAAGCCACCTATAACGGAAAATGTTAGCAATAATGAAGGGAAACACTAAACGAGCGTATTAACTAACCAACTAAGTTGTTGGACATAAAAGTCAGCTTGAGTTCCTCGGGATACTTGTATTCCATCTTCCACAAGGAATATTCCTCGGGCTTGTAGTGCTCCCAGAACCATGGCATGGCAACGGACCGGGTGTCCTCGTTGGAGTACTTGCGTTTCCAGTCATCAAGGATCATAGATGGCTTGGGTAGGCTCTCAAGAGGGTGCTTGGCGGGCTTTGGGGCTGGTTTGGGCTCTTCTTCAGGCTCCGGTGCCTTGGGCTTTGGGGGGACGTTCTCCAAGCCCTCTTCAATGAAAGTTGGGTTGGGAACGACAGCTTTGTAAACGGCTTGGTTAACGATGGTCTCATACCATCTGGTAACGGCTGGGTTATCCAATCGCCAGGTCTTGCCAAGAACAAATTCGAAGCCACGAGAAGTCATCGAAGCAGCAAAGAGATCAGCAAGAGTAATACGTTCGCCAACCAGATAAGTGTTAACGGTCAGGTGCTTCTCGAGAACGGCAAGGGCACTGAGAGCAGCCTTAGAGCTGGCCTCAACGGAAGCCTTGTCGTATGGGTCGCGTCCAACAAGAGGGCGGAACCAGCCACCAAGAGCTGGAAGGAGCTCACTGTTGGCGAACGACATCCAGCGGAGGATAGAAGCATAGTCCTGCTTTGTCTTGCCTAGAAGGGTGGTCTTCTCATTCTGGGACGCGACTACAATATTTCACAATGTCAGTTTGGATACGAACATCTGAAAATATCTAGGCATCTCAAGGGCAAGTGGGGCAAAATTTGCACTTTATAAAATTGAAAAAAAGAAGAAAAAAAAAAGCAACTGTGATCAGAGTTAAGAGTAGTCAACAGGAAAAAAATTCTGTCAGGGATAACTGAATGATAATATGACTCATCATGAAAGACATATATATATATGTATATAGAGTTGCGAAGAAATCTATACGATAATAACAGGCGAGGAAAAGGAGGAGGGGTACATACGGTAAATGGCAATGGCAATGCACTCAGTCAAGACATAGTCATTGGCGCCCACGAAGGTGGGGATCTTGTTCAGAGGATTGTGCTTCTCGTACTCAGCAGGGCTGATAGATGATTTCTCAACGAGTTTAACTTCAAGGTCATTAGCCTTGGCTGCAACCCGGCACGCAGTGGTGCGTGGGTTGTCCTGGAGGTGAAGAATTGGGTGTTAGTTGTGCCCATCGAGCCCCTCATTGCTGCATCTTGCAAAAGCAAGAGAGCACAAGTGGGAAATGTAGAGTAGGAGAGCACACAAGGCACAGAGCTAACTTACAGAGAGACCGTAGAGTGTGCCGAAAGTCATATTGAGAGCCACAGAAGGATTGGAAAGTCCTGTGAAGGGGGAGGAGAGAGAGAGGGAAGAGTTGGTGTTAAGTGGAGGAGGGAAAAAGATTTTGTTGGAATCGAAAATGAAGAGGTTGAAAGTTTCCTGTTTGGGCCCACCTTCGTATCGGAGAAACAGAGCCGCCGGTGGTAGGCACGTGATATAATTATCCACCTCGAAAAAATCCAAAAGGATGGTATTATGAGAATGACATCGACGACGAAGTAGGAAGTGTATAAAATCAGACAGCAATTGAATATCGCCTTTCACAGGCAAATCCTTTACACAATGGCATGGCAGGGGCCGAGCTGCATTGCTCGCGCTCTCAGATCTGCGCAGCATAGCTTCCGATCGGAATGTCACCTTTCCCACCAGCCATATCTATCCACAGCAACCACATATCTGCGGTCCCAGAGACGCTCCCTATCAACATCACCCGAGCAACAACTTGATATTACCGCTGCGCCTCCAATTGACACGACGAAACTGAAATGCACCCCACAACGCATTCTCCCTGCTTCGCCGGCCTACTTTACCGGAACTCCGAAGTTCATCGATCATGTGTTGAAGCTGGAACAAATACACAGTAAATACTTCCTGCTACCTACCGTTCCTCCAGGTGAAGCACCACGGACCGCGTTCCTTAAACACGCGGACTACAAAAATGCCATCAACGAGGAGGTGCCGGCTGCCAAATATCGCCAGCTGCAGAAGGTTCTCGCTAGATTAAACCAGATCCGACCAGACAAGGTACCGCAGGAAGTGAAGGATATGCTCAAGTCTTTCACGCGACCTGGTGACCCCTACCAACAGAAACTTGCGCCCAAGACACTCGACGAGATGGGGAGGGCTAGAGGTGTTGGCCGACGGAAAACATCACATGCGAGGGTTTGGTTAGTTGAGGGCGACGGGGAGGTGCTTATCAATGGCAAAAATATTGTCCAGGTCTTCCCTCGCGTCCATGACCGGGAGAGTGCCCTCTGGCCCCTAAGGGCGACGAATCGATTAGATAAATATAACGTGTTTGCTATTACGCGGGGTGGTGGTGTTACTGGTCAAGCGGAAGCTATTACTGTTGCTCTTGGGAAGGCTCTATTGGTGCATGAGCCTGCCATGAAGCCGATATTAAGGAAAGGTACGTTATTATATCATTTAATATTTTTGCAATGTCCATATGAAATGAAAATTATTCCGCTGCTGACGACTTATGTTTTGGTTTTAGCCGGCTGTATCTCTACGGACCCTAGACAAGTCGAGAGAAAGAAGCATGGTCACTTGAAAGCCAGAAAGATGCCCGCCTGGGTCAGACGGTGAAGGATGCATCATCGTTTGTTGTACACTTTTTCCACTTCTCATTTTTCTGTATTAGCCTCATCCTTTTTTAACGTTGTCTTCCCCCATTATGCACAAACCTGTATATCAGAGATTTTCCCTTGTATTTTTTTGTCTTCCCCGCCTACGCGCGGCTCATTGACGGTTTCGGAGAACAACATAGAGCTCAATTGAATTTTTCAGACAGTACCAATTCACTTTGGAATTCAAAATTCTTTTTTTCACTCGATAAATGTGATATATCATATCAGACAGGGCATGTATTACAGGAGAATAATATCAAACGTAGGGGCACGCGCTACCTAGCCATGATACATATTATTCTCACTTTCTCCCCCTACTACTACCCCATACACGCCCTGGCTTCATCCACGTATGGAGGAATGGTACCCAGGTCCGAATGCATGGCTCTGCAGAAACCGAAACTCGCCTCTTCCTACTACAGACCTCCAAAAACCACAAATGGAGACAAACCGGTTCCTTCTAGCTTAAAGTGCCGCAACCACTTGGCAGATTGTGTGAGTGGCATCACCCATTGCCGATTTCTGGTCTTTTGATGTATAATTTTATTCAGCGTGACCTTATTGACTACAGACTACATGCTATGACGCCTTCTGGACATTTGATACCGTTCTTCATCCACATGCACATTTTTATTTCGTCCGGAGCCAACATACACGTCGCCTACTCTACCCTGGATATATAGGACTCGATGGCCCTGTTTCTACCGTATTCCTGCTGCTCTATTTGCGCGTGGTTCAGAGGGTTTTCATTAAGAAACGATGTTATGGAGTCCTACTGGGATTAGGTTGGGATTAAAGTCGGCTCGGATTGGAATGTATCCAGATGACAGATGACAAGGAGAAATGGAGTCTTGTTTTCCAAAACCTTGGCTCATATGTAAGTTCTACTTGAAAACGTTGGGTGTGCACTTTCATTGATATGACCTGCTACCGCCACACTGCGCCCTTTACCCCCTCACCTTTGTTAAGAGTGTCCGTAGACTTTGCCAAACTATCACTTACACGGAACTTGCGGGAGACGTGGCATTGGCTTATTTGCTTCATCCCACTGAGTGCGTTGCTGAGGCTTATGAACAGGACTCCAAACGATAGCGACAATACCATGTCAACACCGTTGACAGAACTCAGTCCAGACTATAAACTACTTTTTGCTCACTACTTTGTCTACTACAGAATGTGGATATATCAGTGGATAATATTGAGATGCTGAAATGCAAGTTGTTTTATTACTGCTTCGTCTTCGAGCTACCAACATCACATCCCTACGCCGAGGTGGATATCCTTGTACCATTCAACGGAAAAATTAAGTATCTCAAACGAGCTTAATACCCTTCCATTCTTGAAATGCGCCCGCTGAGGGTTGGAATGCGACTGCTGATTCCCAAAAGTCTTCCTGTAGTACAATTTTTCAACCTACTACAATTTGCTCAGGCCGCTCCACGTATTTCTGAAATCTAGTTATGCATTGCATCCGTTTGTAATCGGAGATATAGTTCTGCATAAGGATATCACCATGAGGGGAGGTAGACATGCCTACATTCTGTATGACATGCGAGGGTCGCTTGGTGCACGCTTCTCGGTTGTCATGGACGTTCCAGGCTTCTAAGGAATGTATCGACGAGGATAATACGCAAACATCCCCTTGCGCCCCTGCTGCTTATTTTCCCTTTTATACATCCGCTTGGTGGTTGCGGGCCAGATTCTCTGTCGACAGGTTTGGGGTATTTATATCTTTTTTTCCCCTGCCTTTCTTTCTTTAGAATATACGATCTTAGGAGTTGATAACCTGTAAGATAAGTGCGCAGTCACTCCGTGACACTGGGCAAGTGGAAGGATCAGGTGCTATTTTCTGTAATCAGCACCACGCTATCCGTCACTATAATTTCTACCTCGGAGATGGGTTAATATGAAGCAAAATCCTGTACAATTATATACAATCGAAGCGCACTGTAGTTCAAGATATCAGCGGGAATGAGCATGCATGCTCTGTACATAGTTGAGTAATAGTACCAATTTTAGTATTTCGAATTGAACATTCCTTGCACCTTGGCCAAGCCTGGGGGCCGGAAATAACCGAGTTAAGCTGGCTTTAAATTAAATTCATGCACCCCTATCTTCACATCTGACACATGCACCAGCTTCGAAATTAGGTATCCGAAATTTATCGATTGAAGTGTAGAGCGCTAGGATGATTTAACCTGCGGCTGAAATAGAAAACGTGTACTCCGTATGGCTCCTCCTTTGGTTGACGTGTGCGCCGGCCATCATAGATGTTTCTGACCATCATACCGCTAATGGATGTGGGATTGGTGAATTTTGGGAGGAATCTCGGTGGAATTGGACATCCGGTCTCCAGACAGGTTGTGAAATGTAATATAATAGACCCGAGGCAGCCGAAAGGGGCCCTTCAAAGGAATGAATAAGGCAGAAAAAACCAAAGATGAAACCCTAGAAAGGGGCAGGCGTCGCTGATTTTTATGTAAATCGTATAGTGTTTTCTTTTTGGCATACGGTGTAACTTCCAGGTATTGGTCGGATCATCTAACCGACGAGCACTTATTATTAATATAGTCTGCGGCTGCTTGTAATTTCCTTGTTGTTAGCTATTGTCAATTTTCCATTATTTCCCATTATCATTAAACCGCTGGCGTGGTAAAGGATGAGTGATTTGGTGGGGACGCTGAGAACCAGCATTGAAACTGAAAGGACGCAATCCACTTTTTGATTCGAGAGATTGATAATTTTACAGTTTTCGTATGACCTTTCTCTCTCGTGCCCCCCTGTACGTACCGTACGTTCTTGGAGCGACGTTTTCACTCGATTTAAGCCAGGATTATTCCAAAGTTGTTTTTCTTCACAGCGTTTAGGACTAATCATCCTAAAAGAAGATTTGCATCTCACTACCTAGTTACGGGGCATCGCACAGCATCCTTTGACAGAGAGATCCCAGTAACTAGTAGTGGACTGCCTTGTCTGCGCAAAGAGCAGCCACAGGAGAAGTCCCTTGCAGGGTTTCATGGACTATTGACCGCTCGCTTGGCAGTGTCAAGCAACTTGACGTCATTTTTAGCTTGGTTTCTGCAGGTGAAGATTAGCCAGACATGAAATTTCTTGACACCATCTTTGGGTGTTCCAGGCGGTGACCCGACAAGCTAGTGAGGAGTGGCTGACGTAGGGCCTGTTGGGGCCAATTGATGGCTCAAGAGCCGCCGCTAAGAAGAGCGAAGCTGCATAAAATATGCGAGGAGGAGCATTCGTCAAATGAGACCTGATACTGATTGGCCAGACGACCCCTTTTTTCTTTCTGGAAGAATTTTCGAAGAAGCAACCGACGGTTTTAATCTCCGGTCTACCAACGACATGAGCGGTCGACACGACGAGAACCAGTGAGGCAGAGGATATGACGGATGTTGGGGTGGGGTCGTACTTGAGATGGATGGTACCATTGACAAAATAGAGACTATGATGAGCGCTTTCAACCACAGGTTGTCCGGCAGCTGGGCTGGGCCGCTTTCATTGTGCTCAGCAATCCCTTTAGCTAGTGGAAAATCAAGTCGTCAACCCCAGTGTTCTGAGGAGTTCCTGAAAAGGCTATTTAGTGACGAAACGACTACATAGCATAGTAGATTGCGACAACCCAGTTCCATAATATGCAATCTTCACGAGGCGTCCTATCCCCCCTTTTTTTCAGAGCGTGCGGAGATGCGCTCCAGCCAAAAACCACCCCTGCTATCGGAGTAGACTCTATAAATTAGAATCAGTGGCATGCAGATCACACCAAGGAAGCTGTTTTATGAGATCCGGAGAGCTTTCTAAAATGAATGTCAAAAATGAGACAAGCCCTTAAATCACTTATCCCAGTGGCGGCATCCATTCAAGCCGCAGATTTTAGCTGCTGCTGTTGGGATAGAGAAGGAACCAGGAAAATGGAGAAATTGTTGTTTCTGACTGGCCACATATTAACCATGGTTGCAGAATCATGCGGAGATCAGTGATGCTTAAGGTGTCTTCCAAGATTCTCGGAGGTTGCCCTTTGAATATAAGCTTTGCGGCATTGGGAAGTCAATATGGGAGGATGCTGGAGGATGAAATCGGCGGCAAATAACTCAGACACGGGCTTGAAACTTGCGGGTCCAAATGGCTGAACCCCAGATTTTCCAATTCGAACACGAAATCGTCAAGCATTCCTCAGACGAGATCCGCCACTCGGAATCAAATTGCCAGGAGCATTCTGCCTTGGTTGCAAGGATCGACGCCGGGGCCTGAAAGATGTAAGCATAATGTCTGCCAATATTAGTATCATTATTCATATATTCCGAGGTTCGGATAATTCAGCCATCGCAAAAGTAGCATCCTCATACGCTCAGGTTCTGTGAGAGAACATTTTCCACGGGGAAATCGCTGCCCTATCGACGGAGATTCATCGAATGATCCCAGGATTTTCTCCCGTCCTAGAAATATATTAACATATTACATAGCACATATAGCCTTGGATGCGTAGTACCAGGCAAACTCAACCCCAAATAACGCAGATTCTCTAGCAAAGCTGTTACATACTCGATATATTACACATATTATTCGACAAAAGTTTGCTTCTGCTTCTAGCCAAGCTTAAAAAGCCAGTATCTGCTGTGATCTTGAGATATCGTACTCAACTGGAAATCAAACAAGCGAGTATGGGATTGGGGAGCTCGTCATCACCAACAAATCCCTATAATTCAGTTCTCCAAAAATTGTATGTATTCCAACTGGAATCTCAGAATAGCCCCTAGAAATATATGGCACTTCCTGGGGATGTGCATGTAGGTTTCAATGGATAATTCTCCTTTTTCTGCTTTTTTACCCAACTGGAATTCGGAGGTTATGGAGGAAAGGTTGGCTTGACTTAGTCATCACAGTCCACCCACCCCCATTCAGGACTTCCGCTTCAGTTCTCAACCTTCAACCTCAACCTCAAGCAACTCATATTAAACACCCAAACTGAACCTCGTACAGGTCAGTGGCTTAGCGAACGAATCTGGAGTCCAGGATCATGGCAAAAATCGATTTTCATGCGCAAATTCTACGCGCCTACATCCACCCTAAAAATGTTGGCGTGGGTCTCACACTTCAGGTCTAATAATGCACCAGGCAGACCTTACCTAAATTAATTTCAGGTTGTATCCCGGGTAATAATGACGATTCACGCGATGTTGCCATTGCATAAATTGCTAATTCGAGCTAACTACCTTTTTGCCGTGCCTGCAATTGGAGGTTCGATTATTATTGCAAGACGCAACATATGAGCCAAGCCCATTAGCTACAGAACCCCTTTTTCCAACATCCAGGGATCGGCATATTTCTGATAATGGGAAAGAAGGGGAGTCCCGCGCAAGATAGGTGTCGAGTTACAATTTCCCCGTCTCTGAACTTCCGGCAAAGCGAATTGCTGGAACCTAAGTGCCACACCCAAATACCCCGTCTACTAATTTCTGTGGCATGTATTGCTCCTTCTGACTATGAGAAACTCCGGGAATGTCGGTTGTCAAACCATTGGCCCAGAGACGGAGTCAGATCGGATTTATGGAGGAATGCAGCAAAGGCATGAGATAATTCAAGAGACTGCTGTTAAGAAAATCGAACAATTTTCTACAATGAAGTTGTTTTTATCATTTGTCTTGCGTATACAGTCCGGTCATCGAAAGCCCCGAATTGCCCACGGGTGTTTCAATGCGGCAACAGTCTCTGGCCTATCCTGAAACATGCATAGTGAGATATGTTTAGCCCTGTGAGATGGCGCCGCCCGCATTTTAAGGTTGTGTCCGATTTAATATTCCAGGGGAAGGCCAAGCCATCAACCATGGCAGGTTCTTGATCTTCGTTTGATGCTTGCTCCGATCAAACTAGGCTTTGAATAAGTGCCACCTAATGAGAAAAAATAAGCAAGGCTAGCAGAGACACCTAGCACTGAACTTAATAATGGATAGGACCGAAGTCCAGCTCACAAGTTTCCCATGTGGAGAATGTGTGTGAAGTATCTTAACCATCTTCAATCTTCTTGTTTTGAGCTTGGAGACTGGGACACCAAAGTTTTGTCCGACTTTCAATTTCCTGGACATTATCCTGGCTTAAACGCCTGGTATTTTCCGTGAATATGGCCGAATATTTTGTTTGAAATAGAGCCGCCGAACACTTGTGATCAACTGACCCTTCTTTTTTCCTTGGCCGGTAAATATCCATGCCAGGGCCCAATGACTGTGCCACCCTCTTGGGCTCGCTGTCTGAGTCTCCTGCGTAAGACTGGACACTCCCTGGCCACTATTCTTTACGGGACAGGATCTACACCGAGGCCATAACAGCTGAACCTAGCGGTCGAGTGCAAGGGCCTGCAGAAATTGAAAGAAGGTGAGAAACTAAAAAACGGTGCTGGACAGATACGATAGTTACCGGTAATAAGTATGTTGTAACAACATAACTGGAACTTTATAGTTACATCTGTCCCTTGATTTCCTGACTAACCAGTATGTATATCATCTTGAAGTTACTTCCGCACGTTCCATTCATTTCTCGGTCGGGCCATTCATCTTCGTTCTACGACAGAAATCTCGGCGACCTAATCTTATGGATCTTGGTATAAGACTCCTTTTGGTCCACATATAGCTTGTGAGCAGGCTCCCAACCGCGAAGCTGCAATTTTTCCTCACGTTTACTTGTCTCCCTGAGCACCATAATTCAGTCAGCCCCACGCCTATTTTTGGGATTACCCCAAATACAAGCCCTATGAGATTTAGGTGCTGCCAGCTGACTTGCTATCAAGGATTGGCCCTGTTATTTCTTTAGCCGGCTTCGGCTTGAGAGCAGCATCCCGTTTACCGTTAATCTAAATCCAACTATCTACCCGTATCGCCCTTGCTTCTCCCGAATTTAGCGCAAAACAGAGTGACGCTTAGTCGGCATCTCCACCCTTCTCCACTAAGACTCACATTTCTTAATATTCATTATTTGGCTCGCCTGGTTATAATTGATTCGGTTTCCCTGTCACTTTCTCCCAGGAAAAAATCAAATCAGCGCTATCAGGAAGAGAGCCACTAAACTTAATCGGACCTTACTCTAATCTCGTTCCCGTGGAAAGTCGTTAGTACCCCAAGCTACAGCTTGGTTGCAACCAAGCAAGGGCAGCACTCCCTCCTTAAAACTTGTTCTAATACTACGGTTGCCCGTTAACTAAACGACTAGATCGTTCCAACAAGCTCCTAAAAGTCGCGAAACCTTCCTTTGGGTTTGTCGTACAAAGCAAGTATTGGTTTGGGGAACTGGTGACGGAAATCAAAATCTGTAAATCTGCGCTAGCCCCTTATCTCGCCTCCGGCGCATCGGCCCTCTCACCTCGATCCGTCGTGGGGCGGGAGTATCTCAGACCATATCAGTGGGATGGATGGTGATAGTCACCAACGAAAGACGTATGGCCCTTCTGGCTACCGAACGGGCTCTGGAATTGGACAACATCCTATTCGCCATTTGTCTGGCAGCTCATCAGATCGCTTCAGACACCAGCAACAGCCCGAACCAGCTCGAGGACCTGATACTCATGAAGTGATACCTCAAGACCGGACCTCGTCACTCTCTGCCTATGGGGCCTATGTATACACAGAGCCACCGTCCTGCAATACTCCATCGCTACAGGGCGGGACGTTGCAGGGTGGAGGGTTACAATATGAGTCGAACTTTTCCTCCACTTCACCCAGAAACCAGCAACCAGACCAGCAGCAGCAGCGGTTATCACAATATGATGGCGATATGGTATATGGTATCACGCCCCAAGTCCAGCCACAGGCTCCGTACGAAGGGGTGTCACAATACCAGCCGCGACAGTCTGCGGCCATCGAGGTGCTGGCAACTCAATTCGGTGTTCCACAGTATTTCCAACCAGCAGGACCAGCAGTTGCAGGAGTATCTGACCAGTACTTAACTGCTTCCCAAGTTCAGTCGACCCAATATTCACAGCCGGCTTCTCCTACGCGCGCATCTACGACATCAGCATTACCCGAGATTATGGCTGACCTCCACGCTTCCGCAGCGACTGAAGGACTCGAGCATGCAGATTTTCCTCGCGAGTCGCCTTCTGGTTTTGACGACGCTTATAACCAGTACCAACGAGCTCTTAGACAAACATTTGAAAATACCCGATCTGGCAGATTGCTAGATGCAAGCCAGTCTTTATTAGAGATATCCGAGTGGCTTCTCGGGAATGCAACGGAGCTTGGTACGTACCATCCACACGTTGCGGTTTGCTCCCCTCTTTCATTCACTTGGCACCTAGGTGGTGCATTACCTTTCGAGCTAATAGCTGATTTCAGGTCTTGCTCGCGACGAGGAAGAACTGCGCCCGGATCGAATAAAACTGTGGAATGAGTTTAATACCTGCTGGCTTGCGGTATGCCAGAAACAAAAGGATATGACCCAAGAAGTGTTGGAAACCCGATCCGGCGCCACACCGCAAAACCTTTTAACGGAAGATATTTTGAACAAGATGGGAAGGGAACTGGTCCGCCTGTGTGATCGAATGGAGGAGCATGGTCTTGTTGACTACCAGATGGGCGTATGGGAAGAAGAAATTCTAAGCGGTAAGAAGTCGAATCAATCACACCTGAGTCAATTTTACCACAACCAGGGGCTCCCTTAGCTCACTTGACCGTCTGAATCTAGTGCTGGGCCAATGTCTTGACCTCCTCGAAGGAAACGAGAACAATCCTACGATAGGAAGTTCCGCCAAAACATCTACCTCCACAGTTCCACGATGATCGAGCCCAGTTCTCCCCTTTCACCGCTCTTCTGATGACCGTGATGTGTTTCCTTATTTTCGTTGCACCTTAATCGTATTATACAATACTGCATCAGCGATGGCGCATAGTCATGTTACGCTTTCTCTTTTCTTGATCCTCCGTGGGTCACCAGGGTCACATTGTCGTTTTCAACGGCGCAGATAATTATGTCAAATGAATGCGTGCCGGCTCGTTCTCAATGTGCATGTGCATGAAGCGAAGGTTGCGGGTCGATCTACTAGTGTTACAACTGAGAGTTTGGAACCGAGAAATCCCTTTGAGTGACATCCACTAATGTTTAATATCCATTGCCGGTGAGCTACCGCTGTTCGTCGACTGTTTCCCCTCTCTATATCTACCTAATTTACAACGCTCCTATGAGGACGCGGAAGCTAGGCTATATTCGAGTGCATTTATTATCGTCAATATTTCTTTCACATAATTCATGTGACCCCTTTTGTTGATTTGCACAATACGCGTATGAAACCGTTTAATATTGGCTACGTCGTTTTTACTTTTATTTCACGTCTCTTTTCTGTTTTTGGAGGAATAGCATGCACGTTTTGCATCTAGAAGGTTGAATATATGTAGATCAGACTGGGGAATTGGTGCGATTCGCGATTATTTGATATGTTAATGCTGTCTTGCCCTTTCCATCTGATTTTTCTATTCTTTCTTTGCCCATTGGTCGTTATAGCAGAAGTGATCGCACGTCCCAACAGACATTGAGCTGGGAAGTGGATTACGATATACTTTTAATATTGTTTGGCTACCTATGCTCCTCCGGTTTTATCTCCCAGTTTTTCTGATCTTGCAGTGTTGCTGACAGCATATATATACATATATTAACCTGACATTTTTCATCTCACATTATTTTCTTCTTAGCTGTGATTCGGCTCGCATTTTTTCAGAACCTTTACTTATTCTTTCCCTCTTTACCTTCCTATGGAAATTGCCAGTCAAAATGACTTTGTGAGGCCAACCCGCTTCCGTCTATGGGGCCCTGAAATTAATGAGATGGACGATGGTTAGCTGCTTTTCTTTTGCAGGATCGCACAAGGATCAGGATCACATTACACAGTTAGTTATAAGCCATCTGCGTTGCATTTCAATGTAGCCAAGCGTCTAAGATAACACTTGCAGGAAAAAAGTTTTAATTTCTCACTCCTTGCTATGCTTTGGCAGCCAATGGAAGTTTTAGGATGTTGGTGGTTGGTGGTTGGATCTGCGGTAACAATGTACTACCCCTTTCTTTTTCAATCATGCATGCATCCACGCCTCAATAAAACTACCCAGGGACCGGTTTCTTTTCCTTTTGGTGATAACGGACTGGCTTTGGTTATCTTGTACTTTGATATATTTCCCCTAGTGGCCCTAAGCAACAGCGGATTAATTGCTGACAGGTTGCGCTGTTCATTATTGGTCCTGCAGATGATAAAAACCCCTTAACAAACTCCTTTCCAGAACAGCACGTATCTAAATTATACCCAGTTTATTCGGACTTCCTCCAGAAGGCTGCCTCGCCTGTCTTCACACTTTAAAGTCTATGAGACGCATCATTCACTCCGTTTAGCACCGGCCCATATCTAACAACCGACTATATAACCTGGCTAACATCATCATCTGCTCAGTTAACCCCTTTATACGCCGTACAAGATTTAAAAAGCTAGAGAGAAAAAAGGGGGCAATCAGGCATAGTTAGTTTACACCTGCAGTCTTCCGTTATCTTGTCACTTGTTGCCACTGTACCTCCGTACCGTACCACTTAATGCATTTCCACATCTATCATTTATCATTTGCAATTCGTCAGTTCCTCATTATTACTCCTGCAGCTGCCAGCACGCCGACTCGAAATTTCGAACCAATCATGAGCACCGGGGTGTAATCTTTCTTTGTATTGCGAATTTGCGAATTTGAATTGAAATGGAATGGGATGGATGCCCTATGGACTGACTGGTTCTACATTTACATCTTCACCTTTCCCACGAACTAGAGAGTCTAATTGCCCATCATTCTGCAAGCTCTGAGTTTCGTCTCGACTTTTGTACTGTACATTCGTATAACGAGAGATGCAGATGGGAATTGAAAATGCGAATATATTATTTCCCATATATGTATATTGCGCTAAGGCTTATATATATATATATATATATATGTACGTATGTATGTATGCATATGTGCTTGTTCTTAATTACTCCCCGTTTCTCAAACAATTTTTTTTTCTTTTTTTTTTCTTTTCCATTTTCCCTATGTAATTGGAGAATAAGCCACCCATTCCCACTTCCTTCGGCCTTCCTCCTTCCAGAAACTCGAACTGGATAGAAGAAATCGACCGGAAGTCGCATGTTTCAAGATAGTTGAGATCGTCAATGTTTTTTTTTTTCTTTTTTCTTTTTCCTTTTTGCTTTTTCAAATTCGTAGATTTGGGATTCGCCTTCCATTTAAACATTCTCAACGGCTTAGAATTTGTTTCCAACCGTCCCCGTGTTGGATGCATATCATGTGCTCGATTCAGGTTTACGGCCGTAGGCAATGTATCTGGTCGACGGATAGTTAGTCAACTCACTTAAGTCAGTCCGTTTAGGGGACCCCAGGGGGTGTGGGGGGTGAGGAGGTGGTTGAATTGTACTGGGACCATGGACAAGGGGGGGAAGGGTTAGTAAATAGGCACACTTACAGATCGAACTGTGCGTGCATTTTTGGATTGCGGAGGTCCTTCACCACCTCAGAGACGAAGGCTTGGATGGCATCAGGAGACCATCCCAATACGCGTGAGAAGAGGGCCAAAGAAAATCCTTCCATGCCCTCGATGACTTGGAGGAGGTTCCAGGTCCCGACCGTTTTCTGTGTTATAATCATTAGTTCTGTTAGTCCATGCATGTGGTCTTGGGTTCGGAGTGAACTCTACAGTCAACTCAGCCCCTTCTTCCCATTGTTTCTCTAATTACACAGGTCTGGTGGGAGGGAAACAAAAATAAACAAGCAAATAAATGAAATACTGAAATATAATGATGATAAAGGACGGATACGCACCAATTTCGGATCTTTCGGCCACCTTCCAACAGGAACCCGCATCTTCTTAACAACCACATCCGTGAAACCAGCGCCGCGGACCAGCCCTTCAAGTCTAGGCCCGGGCGCCAGCTCCCGGCCATGCTGGCGGGCAGCTTCATAGAACAGGCTGAACCATCGACCGAGGGCTGACTTGGGATCGTACGATCCGTCATCGGAATACCAATGAACATCGAAGTCTTGGAATTCCGCCCAGCCGCCAGGTGTCAGGTGCCTGCAGTAGAGAGCGTTGAGATTAGCATGGATGTACGATATACATTATGTGTATGGTGGTTGGCTAATAGAATGAAATGCGCATCTATGGCGAGGATAGAACGGGACTTACTCAAAACATCTTTCAACCAGCCGTGGCCAATCTCGTATTGCAGCGTACATGTAGCGGCAATGGATGTAGTCGAACGAGTCGATAAATGCCCACTCGCTTTCTATGTCGTCGATTTCGAATCTCACGTTTTCTGGGGTGGCGTGCCTTCAACAAGGTGGAGGTTAAAAATGATTTCCTTCTTTTCCTGTTGTTTTGGTTTGGGGAGTTGCTACATACATTGTGTTTCGTATTGCGCTCAAGTCCACGCCTAATATCTGATGTGCTGTTAGATTAACTCTTAGGTGTAGTCGGCTGGCCAAAGATATTGGCGCCTGTTACCAGTATACATCCTAAACATACCTGTGCAGAAGGATATTCATCACCTAGGAAGCTTATATTAGCTCGCTTTTTTTTTTTTTTTTTTTTTTTTTTTTTTCTTCCGAGAACAAGAGCTTTCACGGAGAATTAGATGCCAGAACATACCCATTTCACAGCACCAAATGCCCGTCCCAGCTCCAATATCGAGGATATTCTGGGGACTCGGTCCAATGGGTGCAAGGTGAAGCTTTTCATCGCAGAGCGTGACCATCATATAATGAACGATATCAAGTCGGTTACTCTCCTTCTGCGGTGAGAAAATGAGCAATCAGTCAGAGGCCTGCTACCCATAAATCCGGAGCGAGGTATCCAGAACAAAATATGGGAGTTTGACTCAACTAACTTCGTCGTTGGGAAATATGTATGCTATTGAGATAGTTTTAGAAATATTTTGAGAGTTGAAAAGAAAATTGCCCAGATTTTCGATATACGAATGTTAAACGTGCAACACAGAAATGAATAAAATGGCAACTTACAGCCTTCTCTAAAAGAATGGTATCTTCTTCCTGCCGGTAAATAGCATGGTAAGTATTTTGTCGAGTTGGTATAATCTCTCCTGATCCAATTCCATCAACAGCAGAACATACCATTTTCATAAGTCTCTGTGATAACAGTCGAAGCTAAGGATTGCACGAACGACGAGCTTTTATTTTTGCAGAATTCAACACGTTAGCAACACCATGCTGGAGGTTATATCGTTATGTAGAATATGTAGTTATTGGCTAGCTATTGGCTCAGCATCTACTGACAGGTCATCACCATAGATCTGGTCACCACTGGTATCGCACTAAAGGATATCCGTTAGAATGATGCTTATAATAATTATCAGGCCAAACAATAGAGTTGGTAGGAGGGGAAAAAAGCAAGCAGTAGACATACCTCAGAATCAACCGAGATAGGCGGTGATTCGTTTGCGGAGGACATTTGCGAAGAAATTATTCTGATATATGTATGGATTTTATCCTTGGACGCTGATGTCCCACGCGGCTAGCAACGATATAGCCTGTGATAAATTCCGCATCGAGAAAGGAAGCGGATGTCTTTACGAATATATATATATGTCTATATATCTATATATATGCTTCTATATAGTTCGTCGCCTTCTTCTGGTCCGGGTCCGAAAATGCGCGGGCGAGGCGAGGAGAAGGGAAACAGAAGCCAGCGAAAAGGCGGCGAGTGATCGAGAGAGAAAAAAAAAAAAAAAAATGAAAACATGGCGGCAGAGGGGAAGATTATCAGCGCCTTTTTCCTGACAGTAATAAGTCACCTTGGCTGGATCAAAAACAACGACCCCGACTCGTTCTAGTTTGTTGACTACCGACTAGTCAGTTGGAATACAGCGAACTATCAGAGTTTATTGCTATTATGCTTTTGTCCGCTGGGCTCGTTGGCGGGTGCGAGCTACAAATCTTTCGCAATCATTATTGCTGAGTTGGGCACAAGCAGAACTTCCGGGGACTGGTGAATCAGACAGCTCCCAGCCCAGCCCGGTCGATGGGTAAATGCCTGGCTCTGGTGCCGCCAGTCTGGGAATTGCAGAGGGCTACTGGAGACTCTCCGCCTGGGCCAACTCTAAATTGCACCAGGCGGTGGCAGCTGAGGAGCGCCGGGGCCGCTGACCATGCGAAAATCCCAGCGATCGTGTTGCTGGCTCGACTGTGGGCTTCGGTGGGAACAGTCATTCGCTACATGTTACTCATGGCGCGCGGTTCTCAGGGGGAGCACATAACATCCGAACAATACGCAAACAAACAAACTATGTTTCGGGACTATTTAGAAACTCAAGAACGAAGGAGGAAGGTAAAAACATTAACGACCAAGAAGACCGAGCCCTACGAAGTCTGAAATACGGCAACCTTCCAGCCCGTTTCTCCAGAAGAACGACAACTATGCAGTTGCTCGGCGTCATCAATTGGATGCCATGCATATCCCGACCCATGCAAACCCCGCCGACAACTCCCAAGATGCCTAACTAGCTCAGTTAAAACCAAGCGACCAGGGTGCCCAGATCACAGATGTGATACATTCAACTCCTTCCCCGCTACAAGAACCCAGTGAGAAGGCGAGCAAATGGGAAAAGCGACTCGGCGCGTTCGGCTGTACCCTTCCCACGGGAAGACCGCTCTCCCAACCATTCTGCAAGCCAGCTACGTATCGTCGGGTGGCCCTCTTCCTTGGAGTCCTCACGGGTTTCCAGCAATGCCGCTAAAGGCCTAAGCGGGATGTCTTCTGCGCCTCTGGTGCCAACGGATCATTGGGCGTTTGGGCCGTTTCTCTGCATGTTGGCAGGACAGGGTTCTAAACGATGGTCGCACATCCCCCCTCTTCGAAGGATTGCGCAATGATTGCAGTCCCAGACGGCTGGATCTGACCTTGTCCCAGCGAGGAGTTGGAAGTCAGCGTAACCTTGAAGCTTAGGATAGTCAGACCCGACAAAGAGAGGTTGTTGCAACCAACCCCGCCCCCTTAAAAAAAGAAAAACGGGCTAGGTTAGAATATTATCGATTTTAAGGGTCCTCTACGCATAGTACAATCATTATTTTTGATTTGCTGGGAATCGACAACCTCTAGTTGTGGTTCGCGGGATTTACGCACTAGCTGGCTACTGACGGCACTTGTGTGGTAGTGGACGATGAGACGACCAGCGACATTTTAAAATTTACACTCCTCTTATGTTGTCAGCAGGCGGCGAAGTTTAAATCCGGCTTTTGATTATTTGGGTTGCTGCTGAGAGCTTTTGGAGGAGGCTCGTACAATCTAATTTGTTGTTGATCGAGGCGGCAGATTGAACTAGGAACCTGGCTAGGGGATAGATGCACCGTTTAGCTCAGCTGGTCGGGGGAATAGGTATATTTTCAAGTAACGATAGCGGCATGCTGGAAACAAACAGAACGTACATGTACATCCGGATGTACAGTGCAGACCGTTTTGATATCATTATCAGTAAATTAAATTAATCAATCAAATCAATCAATGAATCAATCAACCAATCGGGAGAAAAGTCTTCAACCATCTCACCCGTCTAATCAGATTTTCAGTGGCTGAAAACGGCCATATGTACTGGGAAACCATGGAATCCCATTATTATTCCATAAACCGGGCTTGTTCAAATAGTGCTGAGTTCAAAAGCTATTTATTCGACGTTCGTCGGTTAACTTAACACATGCTTCCACATTAACATGAATGCCAGTTCAACAACCGATAATCTTAAATGTGGCTGACAAGACATGGCGCCGGATACCGGCCGGATAAGCTTTTTTAAGTTCGCACAAGGGGATGCAGCAGTGAGAAACGCGAAGGAGTCCGGTCCGGTATGTATTATAGTTCCCGATTGAAGATGTTCAGCGAGTCACCTGTCAGCTATATAAGTGATTTCACCAGGTTTAGATGGCATGGGCTGTGCTATGTGATTCTAGGTAGTGGGCTTAATGGGCAGAGAAGGTGATCGTAAATTTATTGGCGGCTCGAGCCTTAGGCTCCCGATTTCTAGAAAACAAAGCCACTGGCCGGGTTTGCAAGGATAAAAGGGAAGGCAGACGGAAAGAAATAATAGTTCGTAAATGGGCGTTAATCAAATTAATAGGAGGGAATCAAGATTGTAAAAAAGACGGAGTGAAGTTTGACAAATGTATGCTCAGAATTGATCTGAGGTTGTGATTTTAAAGAGTTAGCGATCGAAGCAAGAAAGTTGTGAAACAGATGGGAAAAAGCCACCGCAATGAACGGGCCTTCTCTCCAACTAGTGGAACATTAAAAACATACCCAAGGTCATGCTCATGCTGACATCCGTATTCTCCACCATGCGCGTAAATTCCTCGAAACTAATCTTCCCATCGCCATCTTTATCAGCCTCCATAATCGTCTTATCCACGATCTGCTGCAGCTGCATATCCTTCAAGTTGCTCCCAACCATCATCTTCAAGACAATAAACAGCTCCCCGTTCGAAATGTAACCGTCGCGGTCGATATCGTAGACTTTAAAAGCAAAACGCAGCTTCTCCTCTTTATTACCCTTTGAACTGAAGGCTGATAGTCCCGAGACGAATTCTTGGAAGTCCACATCGCCACCTCCATCTTCATCGAAAATGGCAATCATTCTGCGTAAGATTTGGGGATTAGCGAAGTGCTCACAATCGACAGTGAGGAAGGGAGTATCCCCGTTGGGTCGAAGTTATCACGGTGCCGGGGAAAGCGGGCAATTACCGTGTCGCAAGAGGGTTCGAGGAGACTTGTGGAAGGGAAAGGAACTCATCACGCTCAATCGTGCCGGAATTATCCTATATTAGATTCCATGGATTTTAGCAGGGTATGAAACCCATTTGCGAAACTCTCCTCCGCGAGTCGCACACCAAAATATAAAACATATCAATAGTGGAGCCTCACCTTATCAAGTTTCATAAACCGTTTCCGTAGTCTGTCGACCTCATCCCGATTGACTGAAATTATCAAATGCCAATTGTTAACTGCATGTGGTTATAGGATATGACGGGGAACGCATTAGCAACGACAGTTACAACGTACAATTGGAAGCTGACACTATGCTATCTAGGACCTCCGAGCCTGAGGTCTTCTGTCTGCGCCTTGCGTCATACATGGCTGCGTTATTAGGTTCTGCGGCCATGGTGAAGGTGGGAGGAGCCAAAGGAAGGATTATATGCGGGGAAATGGGAATTGAAAGGTCTGAAATCTAAATCATGAGGTATAATAAGTGCAAGTCGAAGAGCACAAGACTGGCTATTATCTTAAGAACGGCATTTATATAACGCGATAAGTGAATTGTATTCTTGTAGTAGTTGTAGTTGTAACTTATCAAAAAATCCAACATTGAAGTCACTTTCCGTTCAATCAACCAGAAAGGATAAAGATGACGTAAGTAGCACTAAACCATAATAGGAAGGCTCTGCCGTTCTGAGGCATTTTGATATTGACTGTCCCCGCACTAGCCGCATTGGGGAATTTAAGCGGGCCCCTGAGGCTGTCTGGATGCCCAAAACAGGCCGTTGTTAGTGTCAAACCAACGTCAACCCAAGAAACCACTGTTTTGCCACGGCATTGCCAACTGCTTTATCTGACCACCACGTCGCTCGATCGCGCTGGAAATACCTCTATGCGACTTTGCATGAGCTGGCCTATTGATTGATACCCTTTTTAGGGCCTGTTGCTTATGACCGACCGGATATTTTCGCCCCAGAGTTATGTCAAGGCTCGGGGGGATGATGCGCTCGACGCGTCCAAAGAAACTCACCTCCAAACAACCCATCCCCATATTCCGTGAAGATCAAGTAGATCTTATTGACGATGACCTCCAAACTACTCTACAGGCCATCGATACCGGCGTTGAGAAGGCTGAGGAAACCGTGAGTCACATTCCCCAGTGTTCTTCGTGTTGCCTAGTTATATTATCACGTGATGTTGAAAATTTTCAACGAGAAGAGCAAAATGAATATGAAAAAAAAAAAAAAAAAAAAGAATCGGAAATAAGTGCGGCAGATTGCGCTGACAACGCTTGCTTTCTGTATCTTCTGTAGGAATACCATCTCCAAGCGGCGATAAATGCTGCTGCTCGTGGGAACGTTGCGCAGGCTCATATCCCTACCCCCGAAACAGTAACAAGCTCCATCAAATATGACACCTTGTACAAGCCCACCTTCTCGCAACCTGCGACGTACATCCGTTTTTCATCCACGGTGGAAGATTGTAGCGGGTGTAGTTATAATTTAGTCGAAGAGGACGATGTCGCTCTTAAGATTATGAACCAGAAGAAGGATGCGTCGACACAATGCACCGAGGATCAATTCGAAGAGGTCATGGCCTTCTTCGAGGAGACTGCCCAGACCAAGCAGCCGTTTGCATCGGTCGATAGCCCTCCGGTACTCCCATATTCTGAAATGGAAAATTCCTTTGACGGGCTTGTAGATGAGAAAATAAGGAGGTTTGCCAAGGATATCTATGAACACTGGAAGGCCAGGAGAACCAAATCTGGAAATCGCCCCTTACAGACAGGACTCAAAGTGAGTACCGCAATCGTGCATAGAAGTGGATGTCCAGTGCTAACGCGCCTTTCACAGTTTGAGACCGGCCAAGAAACAGACGATGGTGATCCATACGTTTGCTTCCGTAGAAGGGAGGTGCGACAAATCCGCAAAACCCGTGGTAGGGATGCCCAGAGTGCCGAGAAGCTTCGGCGACTTAGAAAGGAGTTAGAAGAAGCTCGAGAGTTGGTCGCCATGGTACGACAACGCGAACTAGCAAGGAAAGAGTTGCTTATCGCAGAGCGACAAATATTTGTCCAACGGGCTGAGGTAAAGGAGATGAAAAGGAAACTTGGTATCAAGGACGATGATGATGACCTCGTCAACCAAAGGGTAAGAATTGTGGTTCGCATACGACCTGAGAACTCTCTTGCTAATGTCGTATCACAGCAGCCTAAGAAACGGCCTGCAGAAACGCCAGCTGGCGGTCGTCCTGTCACCACACAGCTCCGCATGCCCCCCCGACCTGGAGGGCACCCTGGAGAGGACCTGGTACTGCTGGATGACGTTCAAGCAGATAAAGAAAACGAAGTTTTACGTGAAATCAAGCAAAACATCGCCAAACATGCTAAATGGAATGAGGGATATGTCGATTGGACGACAGCACCACTTACTCCAACTTCAGACCATAGCTTTGATGCGGAGTTCCGTCCGGCAATCACCACAGAATATCTTCCCACACCTCCAGCTTCGGAGTCCTCGGACCATAGTCGAGATGCGTTGGAAGAGGTGAACCGTTTCGATGCACTGACCAAGTTCGCCATGAAGGTGCGACAGTGTACACCTTCAGAAGAAGAGTCCAGTAGAAACATGCCGTCCTTCCGGCGACGTGTAGGTCGTGGCGGGCGGATGATGATCGATCGTCGCAACCTTCCCTTCAGAAATAAGTCAGAGGTTGATCCGATAAAACTCGAGCGATTCAAGTATGATCAAGACGATGAGGACATGGATCCGATATTTGAAATGGATCAATTCGATGTCCAAATCATGCAACACCGGGCGTATCTTTCAGCCAAGTCGAGGGATCAGGCCGCAGCACAAGCCCAGCTGCAAGCCCAGCTGCAAGCTCAACGGCGCCTTCAGGGAGAAGCCGCTGTGATGGCGGGTCCAAACAGCTCCTTGACCGGAGCGACCAACACAGTACTGAAAGGGCCGCCGTCGGCTCAAGCTCCGTCTTGATGTATCTCTTATTCGCTCTATTTCGTTTTCGTGAGTGCCTCTTAGCATGGTCGGCGTTTGTGGTCTGGCCCGGTTTCTCAGGTTTTTCGTTTTGGTGCTTCTTCTCGTCACAATATCTTGAGAAGGGTTGGTCAGCTTTTTAGTGACATCCTCACATACACCTATGTCACCATTTAGGAGGGGTTTTGGACTCTTTTCAACACACCCTCAATTCCATCTTACATCGACGCAGGCGATATAAATTTGCCATCACCTGCGGAAAAATGGAGCACCCCGCTTTCACCTCTATATATGTTAATGTACATAGTCCAAAATGGTATATCGTGGGTATACCGTGTACAATACTGCTAAAGTTAGCTAAAAATCCTTAAAAAAAAATGGGAAATATTGTAAAAAACGACTCAACATCATCGTTCTTTCGTCCCTTCCTCTTTAGAGAATGTTTTATTTTTTGCCTTTCTGGATTCTAAGCTCCTTCAATTGATTTGTACCACATTCGTTCATAGCTTCCTTCGCTTCTCGTCCGAAGCTACGGAGAGTTCCGTACTCCGCTTCATGCCTGAATTGGCGTCAGGTAGTTTAATGAATTCTCCAAGAGCGGCAAGGAGTTGTGACAGTATTTCTTTTTCTCCCATTCGGACTTGCAGTGCCATCTTAAAGCGCCTTCCGGACACAGTGGATGCCTGGACGTTGGAAATTGTAGCTAAAAGCTGCTTGTCCTGCTCGAGCGTTGTGATGTATCCGCCCAGTGCCTGTTGTACCGCGTGTCCAAGTAAAGTAGCTTGCGTCACTCCTAGTGTAGGGTTCGGAGCCTTATTCTTCGTTTTGCGCTCGCTGAATTGTTCGGGCGGCATTGTTAGGGTATTGAGAGCGATCAATAGCTCCTCGGGGAGCGCTTCCATTAAGGGTGTATTGGGGTTGAGTCGTGGGATGCCGTAGCCGTCATCAAACACTCCCAAATTTTCTAAGAATTCTAGCTGTAGGAAAATTAGTCATATTTTAAGCAGGTAAGCTCGGTGAAGTGAGGACATACGCGGGGCTGCTCTGGGTCGGGGGTTGCAGGTTGGATCCCAGCTGCTTTACAAATGGCTTGCATGGAAATTTCAGCTTCATCGTACTGGGCATAGTTGTCAGTAACGTAACCATAACGTCTTAGCAGGTCTGCACGAGGTAGTTCGCCGTAGTCGTTGAAAATTTCCTCCCCGTTTCGTATGGGTTTTATTGATTTCATTGCAAGATAACCATCTTCCTGGAACAGTCGTGCCTTTACGCATAGTCAGCATGTGAATGTATATGATGCTGCGATAAGTGGAAGTACTCACGTTATTTCGATCTGCATCCGCATTCAAGAGATCCGCCAAAGGCACCATTCCTTTGGTCAGCTCCTCCCCCTCGTCTGTTATGTAACCATCTTGGACCTCCCCCTCTTCGTCCTCTCCCTTTTCAATATCAAAAGCATAAGCCATAATCAATGAGCCCATTCGATGAGCAAGAGAGAGTAGTGTCGCCCTGCCATCTGGCGAGTCATACGATCCCAGACCGCTAATGGGTGGGAAAAGGTGAGGATTCGTTGAAACAATAGGAAAAATATCCCGAAGGATAGCCGCTTCTGCATCAGATTTACCGATTTTGTTTAATACGGCGCTTCCGCTTAGTTCCCGGAGTTCCTCATCAGTCCAAAACATCAGGGTATCAAATTCTGTGGGCAGGACCTGGAAGTATCGTGACCATGGAGATGCCCCACCTTGGAGATACTCGTATATCATCACAAGAATGAGACAAAGCCATGGGCCCAAATCCTTCTCACTTATATGTAGAAGATCTTTAAGCTTCGAATTTTGAAAACTAAGCACTAGGTTTTGTGGTATGGCAAAGAGCTCTTCGTCTTCGTTGATATTGCTAAGGGCCACTGGTACACCAGAAGCATTAGCACAAAAAAAAGCAACAATGAAAGGATTTCAAAGGAATAAAGTGGGATAAGCAAACCAATGCCTCTTCCGGCACCTTCAGACCTCAGATCTGCAATTTTAATCTTCGGGCTCACTCTGACTCCAGCGCTCTGCTTTAGCCAGCACATAAATTCGTCTGACAACTGCGAAAACCTATCGCACTCCCCAAAATGGCTGTAGTTCGACATAGTGCTTGGATTCCAGGTGCGAAAAAATGGCAAACGAGGGAAGATGAATGTAAGATTGATGCTGGAGAGCGTACAAACGAGGGGAATGAAAAATATAGTACAAACCCTGAGGATATAATACTTTTCCAAATCTTCTGAGTGCAGACGGTGTGAACGAGATTAGTCCGAGCTTCGGATAAACTGCTGGGGGTTGTTCCGCCAATGGGAAATCACGTGGGATCCATCTTACCCCACCGTCCAGTTCGTGAGATGGCCATGACTATCATATCCCAATTCCCGCATTTAATTGTTTCCGACATACTTAGTAATCGACAGCCATGATTGCTATAGGCCTGGAGGGCTCGGCTAACAAGCTGGGAGTCGGGCTGATGCTACATCCTGACGACGGTGGTCCGCCGCAAGTCCTCTCCAATATCCGCCATACCTTCGTTTCTCCCCCGGGCGAGGGGTTTTTACCTAAGGACACGGCTAGGCATCATCGCGCATGGGTTGTGAATCTTGTGAAACGCGCTTTGAAAGAAGCTCGAGTTACAGTGAGTGATGTGGATTGTATCTGTTACACGAAAGGCCCCGGCATGGGCGCCCCTCTACAGAGTGTCGCTGTCGCTGCGAGGATGTTAAGCTTATTATGGGGGAAAGAATTGGTTGGAGTTAACCACTGTGTTGGACGTATGTTTCCCGCTTTCTCTCATGCTTCATTTTGTAATTCCATAAGTCCCAAATTTGAGAACCTTCAGATCACTGGGCCGTTTGAGGCCTAGGTTTCGGGGATCACTTAGAAAATCATAATCAGCGCGGATTTTCTAACTGGACAGTAGATATCGAAATGGGACGGTATATAACGGGAGCTCCTAACCCCATTGTGCTCTACGTCTCGGGGGGAAACACCCAAGTTATCGCATACAGCTCCCAGCGGTATCGAATATTTGGCGAAACACTTGACATTGCCGTTGGAAACTGTCTTGACAGATTTGCTCGTACGCTACATATCTCTAACGATCCAGCACCTGGGTACAATATTGAACAGCTAGCAAAAAAGGGGCGGAGACTGGTAGATCTTCCTTATGCGGTCAAGGGGATGGATTGCTCTTTCTCGGGAATTTTAGCATCTGTGGATGCATTAGCTACATCTCTTGGGCTGGGCGGGGAAGAGCAGGCAAGTAAAGACGCTGTCGAGCAATCGGTAGATGTCATCAGTGACATGACGAATGACGACCTTCCTACGCGGGCAGACCTCTGTTTTTCACTTCAGGAAACAGTGTTTGCCATGCTTGTTGAAATCACAGAACGTGCGATGGCACATGTCAACTCGAAAGAAGTGTTGATTGTCGGCGGCGTGGGCTGTAATGAGCGTTTACAAGAAATGATGGGGATCATGGCTCGTGATCGTGGCGGAAGCGTATACGCAACGGACGAACGGTTCTGCATTGACAATGGTATAATGATCGCTCAGGCTGGTTTATTGGCTTATAAAAGTGGATTTCGAACGAAGTTGGAGGATTCGACATGCACGCAGAGGTTTAGGACTGATGATGTTTTTGTTAAATGGAGAGATAATTGACATATCAACTCAGGCGTACCGGTTAGACATTGAGCATTTACAGTTAGGCGTTGCGGTTGGTCATCATACTCTGGAACCTAATCCTATTTCGCGTGCTAAAAATTTTTTGGGCGACGGGTCAACATACAACGCAATGTGATTTCATCACTACATCGATTAAGGGAACAGTTTCCTGCTACTGCGATAAGCATAGAGCATCCATAGAAGGAATTTGGGTGTTAAATTTTCAAGCAAATCCCTAAAGCAACTTCCAGACAAAAGGATACCAGACTATTTTCGACATGCCGCGATCTCGAAGCATACTTTAGCTGGGCAAGATTCAAGAGTATCTGTTCACTTTGGCCCTATATGTGATCAAATGGGCTGTTCTCCAATGGCCTCACGTCGTTTCTAAGCTCAGCGGCTGCTCGTCAACACAAACATTTACCAATAAACCGGTACCGGATTCGGCTCATGTCTTCTAGCCCGCAATGGGAAAGAAGCGCAGCCTTAAATGTGGTGGTTAAGTTTGTGTATTACGAACAGACATCAACTAGATACGAGGATCCTAGGAATCCTGGCTGCGCATCAAGGACCTAACATCGTTCGCTTTTTGACAGGGAAAACACGTTCGCTCTGATTGAGTTATCACTTTACTTGCTTCTGGAACCCCTGAATTCCTCAGCTTACGCAAAGTTACGCAAGCATGGGCAAAGCCCCACTGAAACAAGAGTCCGTGTATGCGTTCCTTGTCGATATAATCTATCAACTGCGACCGTCTTGCTGGCTTGCTGCCTTGCTTTACTCTTCCTGGGATTGTGGTTCTGGGAATGAAACCGGGATATGAATCAGCTATATTTTCATATATTTTCTAGTGTTATCTCCAGGAGGGAGCTCTGATATTTTACCCGCCGGCGGCAGCCCGGTTCTGCATACCCGCACCAGTTGTCAATTGCCAATTGAAGCAGAGTATGAATAAAATGAAGGGGTGTGGAAGCAGAACAAAGGGAGAAAAATTTGATCGAGTTTCAATATTTATATTTAGTTACAACCAGAGAAAAAACAGCAAATCTCACGACTTTCCTCACCTGCAGACGGATCACGCGCCGTTCAGAGCCAAATTCGCAAGCTCAGCCGCTGCCCTATTTTGGTGTAGTGGAACATGCCACATCTGACAAGTAATACCTCCACCACTGATGTATTCTAAGTCATCCATCTCATCACTCATGTGTTTTAGAAGTTGATAGTGTTGGCAGTTATCCCCGTTAGGCCTGAGCTCCTTCTTATGCATCCTCTTGTGCATCGGCACACCGAAGGCATTCACAAGATATTCGGAATCCGTTGCTAGCTTGACATGCTGCACGCTGATGTTCTCCTCAGAGATGTGTCCTATTATCTGCAGTGCCTTGGAAAGCGACTCAATCTCAGCGCGGGTCTTGGTCTGTGATATCGTCGGCTCGAGGAGCTCGGAGGTATTGTAGCGGGAGTTGGGTCCGAAGAAAACGCTATAAGCGGCCCGAGCAACAGATCGCCCTTCGTTATGGCATGCGCCATGAATATATAGAGCAAGTGTGGAATTAGCAGGCCGTGGAACCTCTGGTGCGGACGGAACGCAGCCTTGCAGCTGAAAGTATTCCCTTTGTTGGTTGTATGTAACCAGTTGAGTTGGGAAGTAGCGGAACACTGGTCCATAGAATGGACTATGCTCAGGATGGAAAACTCGGTGGATTTCTTCTTCGGCGTCGTTAAATACCCTCGCACTATCCATGTTTGTATGATACATTTTTCACACTTCGAATTGACTTTCTAGCTGCTACTAGGATATAGTAGCTTTACGCCTTCTCGAGAGAGTTGAGCGCGGGAGCTGGTGATGACATCATAGCTACTTGGCCGATGTCTGTCGTCAAGATAAGCTGCGATTGTAAGGTGTCAGGCGCTAGTCCCAAAACAGGATGCATCTGAACTTTAAATTCTTTTTATCTCCAGTTCAGGCCAGCGGGAAATTTTTTTTGATATGATTTCTACATAATTTAGCTAAAAATACAACGTCATATATTCAAATCTACAGTTAGTTACCTGAGGAGTCGCAACTTGCTAGCACTAGAGGCTACCGCGATCATCTATCCGGGCACAATTCGAACCGAGCTGACGGAAATCCCTTTGGTTCACATTCATTAAATTACTCAAATTTCTGTAAAATACGATATATCCTACATCCTTATAGCGAATATCCAAACATCAAGATGCCAGCTTCCACGCATTCCCAAGATGAATCTATGCCCGATGCTGCTCCGCAATCGCATGAGCAAGAGCCGCAGCACCAAGAGCAAATTGAGGACGAAGAAGATACGATCGAACTAGATGGTCAGAGAATTACCATTGTGAGTAATTAGCTGTTGTCGCCCCCTTTTTCAAACATTTTGTTAGGGTTTAGCTATGCCCACTGCCGCTCTAGGCGAGCAATGAACGCCAGAGCTTTCTCCAACTATTCTTATTTTAAAATAAGTAGCTACATGATTATGTTTTATCTGCCATGCTTTTGATAATTTATACTCTATCTCAGGAAACTTTTTTTTTTTTTTTTTTTTTTTTTTTTTTTGACCTCTTGCTAACCCTGCTTCCAGTTACCTGGTGCTGCGGAGACGGCTGCCTCTTTCCAGTTCGATAAGGAAGACCATACCCTTGGAAACGCACTGAGATACGTGATTATGAAAAAGTGAGTATTCCTTCAGCTTGTAGCAGCTAGCATGGGTAAATCGTTCCAGCGAAATTTGTCACCAAGGGATGCATGGGGGAGCCCTCGATATCCCTTTCTTCCAAGGGACGGCGTGTGTCTAGATGTGGACCGCACATCTCGTATCTCTTATCCCTTGTTCAATTTTTCACGTCTCATTAGCTACAAGCAATGAACCAGCCCTTTGATCCGCGTACAGGATATTACAGGGTAGTTGCTGTCTCAGCCTGCTAACCTCACCCGTTCTACAGTCCCGAAGTCGAATTCTGCGGATACACAATGCCACATCCTTCAGAAGCTAAAATGAACCTGCGCATCCAGACATATGGTACGTATACCTCGATCTCTGCCTCCCTTCTTAATCCCCAGTTTACATGTGCATGTGGCATATTTACCACAAATAGGGGCTACGTATCCCAAATAAAAAAAAAAAAAAAAAAAACTAACAGCCAGCCAAACAGACACGACAAACGTCTTTGAAGTCCTGGAAAAGGGTTTTGATGACCTCATGGATCTGTGCGATACGGTAACAGAGACCTTCATGGAGGCAAAGAATGCCTTCGGAGAAATTCAGAGCCAATGATTTAAGACGAGAGATCATATTTATTTTTTCGTTTATTGCTCACCTGTATTTCTTCTGCAAACAGGAAGTGGAAGTAGGAAAACCAAAGGAAAAGGGAAATATTCGATGGTATTTTGATTCTTATGGTATTTAACACAGCTTAACTGGTGCATGGAGTTTTTATTTATTTGTCAAATTTTATTTTACATTTTACATATTGGTCTTTGTCTTGGGTCGCTTCGTCGGTATTTCCATTTCTTATTTATAATCGAAATGAATGGGTTTGACAGAAGTAGATGGGGTATTAACAAGATCCGGAGTATCTTTTTTCTTTCCTTTCGTTTCGGCTCCCTTGGTAAATGGCTATCTGTGCCATTTGTTGGCCACCAGCCGGCAAGCCAACTAGTCCCGATTATGGTTAAGAGTCAATCGCGTAACTATGAAGGCTTTAAATCAAGTAGACGAACAAGTAAGTAACATATATACACATATCTATTTGAGGTCTCCAGCAACGGGAAAGAAAAGATAAAAGAAGTAAAGGAAAATTATATTAATTGCGACCCTAAAGGATTACCACGTTAGAAAACATCGCCTTATCCACAGGAGTACTGCACCGATCCCTTCTCCCAGAGTAAAACTCACCTCCAGGAACCCAGACATGAAGTTCTTCGGCAGCTTTGCGGTGGGGTCTTCTTCGACGCGGAAGTATTTCATGACGTGTGAGAGTTGCTTCCAGTAGTTGAGTGTTTCCTATATTTATTTTTTAACCAGGTTCGGCGATTAGCTATCGCTATACAATGCTAGAGATATAAGAAGATACGAGGAAAATATGCCTCGCTCTAGGCGCGACACCAGTGTCCGGGTAGCAGCAGGAACTTTCGTTCCGAGGGTCCTTCATTAAAGCAGCAAAAACCACCATTCCTATTATCGTACCTGGTACTCGATATTGCTCTTGGATACCAATACATCCACGACTGGTAATTGGTTCACGTATCGGTGACGTTCGAATTCCTGGCGGATCTTTGTGCGGATAGCGGAGACGGGGAGATTAAGGGAGTACATATTTTGGATCTCAGGCGACTAAAGTGAGTGGGATATCAGCATAGGTTAGCAATTTCACGATACAACCCATTACTCCGATCTTTTCCATGTCGGCATTGGTTCGAAGGGGGTGTGCAGTTGAATTCAGGCCCTCTAGCAGGCGCCAGGCACCGCCAGGAAGCTTGCACTTACCGCCCGCAGCCATTCCCGGTATGATTTCAACACTCTCTTTCGTGCATCTTGCCAATTGACAGCTATTTTCATTTCGTTAGCTGGATTCTGGATTAGAGACAAGGGTGGGTGGATGGGTGCGGGACGATGTGGACTGCGGCAAGGCAGTCCGGGGGTGGTATAAAACATACAGGACCGCGTCCGCTGCGCCAGATAAGTGGGATTGAGCACCATGATGGGCTGTAGTTGTCTATGAAGGAACCAGAGGGCGAATCGCAGGTCCAATGGATGTGGTGAGTGCGTCACTATTGCCTGGAAAGCTCCGTATCTGCCGCCAACTGACGTTCGCCCGCTTTGGAACGTCCGAAGCTAGCGAGGGCCTCACCGCCTTTCCCAAAGATATTGCCATGAATTTTTTCGCAGGGTGGGTCGGACTTCAATAGAAACCGTTGACTACTAGATATTTTCCTACCAAAGATGCGGAATGACTTGTTCTTGAGGATATAATAAGTATAATACACACGATAATTTATCTGAAACCTAGGAATTCGCCAGTTCTTCATCGGAAATCGTCCTCACTTACAAACCATCCACCCACTTTCCACCCATCCATAACCCGATACACATAGTACCACTTCCAATCCTCCCCGCATATATCCGTCACTCATTTTCACAATGGCGCCCAACAGAGGCTCCTCTTCCAAAGCCTCAAACAAATCCTCCTCTGCCTCCAAATCCAAATCCAAACCCCTCTCCTCCAGCTCCCGCGTCTCCAAACCCAAATCCAAGTCCTCCGTCTCCCGGCCCCCACCCAAGGAAGTAAAAGCCAAACCGCGCACCGCCCCAGAGAATCTGAAGAAAAGGAAGAGACGCGTATACACCGAGAAGGAGCTGGATCTGCCGCAGCTGAATATGATTACGCCTGTGGGCGTGACCAAGCCGAAGGGGATGAAGAAGGGGAAGGTGTTTGTGGATGATCAGGTATGTTGTTTTTTTTCTTTCTCATTTTTTGGATGGGTCAATTAGTGTAGATTGAAGAAAAGATATGAAAGGAATTGGGCTGATAAAAAAAAAAAAATCTTTTTTCTTTTGTTATATTATAGGAGAGTATGATGACTATTCTAGCCATGGTGAATGCAGAAAAGGAGGGCCAGATCGAGTCGAAGATGATGAAGGCGAGACAGCTGGAGGAGATCCGTGAGGCGAGGAGGAAGGAGGCGGAAGCGAGGCAGATGGAGAAGAAGGAGAAGCTGGTATGTTTTATCCTTTCACTCCTCCTTATTTCTACTCCCCCCGTTATCTCATCTGTTTTATATCCGTGCTATATGTGGCTCTAACTTGTCTTCTCGACAAACAGGAAAGCGTGAAAGATTCGCTCCGACGGAAGAAGCGGCAGAGTACTGATGGGGCTAAGCATAATGGGAAGAAAACATCATCGTCCTCGTCATCGGGAGAAACGAAGTCGTCAAAACCTAGTCGGAAGCGGGTATCATTCGCGTGAAAGGATAGCGTTGTAAACTGTATGGAAGGCGCACCATGGAGTAAATGGAAAAGTATTGTCTTTTACTGGAAGGGATTATATTCGTCATGATACCATTTTCCTTGTTCTTTTTTCTTTCTCACTTTTTTCTTTTATCTGATCTGAATTGCTTGAATAGGGCACTGGCGTTGTTTCTAAAAATATGTTTTTCCCGTTATGATATGTACAGCAGTGTTGGAACGAATTTTATCATACTTTTCAATGCCTTCTCTATTGATCAAAATATCTCTCTAAATCTATATATAATAGGGGAAAACATATCGTCGTTATATAATACAGACCGAACATATACCCAACTGCAACAGCAACTTAATCCAGCCCAATGCTTAAATTAATTACCCAAATCGACCGCCGTACTCTTCCCCATACTCACAAACGACACAACCGGCATATCCAACTTCCGACGCATCGCAACGAAATTCAACCCAGGGTCGCCATCAGCGTCTTTGTGGTGGATCCCTTCAATTTTCTCCTGAGCATCGTCACCTTCGATCTTGTGCGGTGCGTCCAGATCGATTTCCGTGGCCATTTTGGACAGGAAGGTTGTTATCTGCCACGTAATTATTGTTAGGTTCTCTATGTATGTATGTATGTATGTATGTATGTAGCTGTAGTTTACTTTCTCTGGTTTGGACATACCGGCTTCGTAAACCACCGAGTACCCCCGCATTCGAACCAGGATAGATGTCCGCCCCAGGACGTCGTGCACATGACGCCATACGGCGTCCGTTTGATCTCATTGTATGGCAACGCTTCGTTTACGGCGATCTGTTGGGGTTTCATGTTAGCAAATGAAGAATACTCCGGTTGTGAATATAGGGGTGGCCAGGTGTGCTTTTAACATGTGTATGTTATACCTACCGGATCATCCTCCGCCTGGATGACGAAGAAGGGAACCTTTATGGCGAATATGGAGTCGATGGAGGAGGCGTCGCGGTAGTAGGCAGTTTCTGTAGGGTAGCCCCAGACTGGTGCTTGGAGTTCTCTGTTTGAGATGTCTTTAGCAAATTGCGTTTGGTCAAACAGAGCGTTGATTTTTTTTTTCTACCCCTCCTCTGCCTATCTTATATCTATGGAAGATAATAATAGACAAGAAATATTTATCTAAGGAGTGTTACGGGGGAGCCATGAAAGCAAGTAAAATCAACACACACCTATCGAATTCATGCAGATATGTAATGTTTCGAATTCGCTCAACGTTGACACGCGGATGTTTGGAGATCTCGTCGACATGCCTATTTTTTAATTTATTTTTTAGTAATTTTTATATCCTTGTTCACCTGTACGAAAAATCTCCGCGAGAGGCATATAACTATGCAAGATATAAAGCTTACTGCTCAAAAAGTCTTTTCATATTTCTGCCCATAGTCTTGGAGTACACTTCCATCCCCAGCCATGACCGCTGCAACGCTAACGAAGTGACCTCTAGGTTCCACGGGCTAGAACAGATAACTGCGGCTGAGAGCACGCAGGATTCGCCCTCCTCACCTAGATACTGTTAAAAAAAAAAAAAAAAAAAAAAAAAAAAAATGATGTCAGCGTAATTCAAAAACGAAGATGCCCCCCTCCATCCAAAATTTGAACTTGGTATAAAAATACCACACACAAAGAAGAAGAAAAACACAACGAACGAACACACAAACTTACATTCGTCAAGATATTCGCCCCCAAGGAAAACCCAATCCCAAACAACCTCCGCTGCGGAAACGCCTCCCTCGCCCACCCCACCAGCTGGCGCACATCCCAGGTCGCTCGCGCATTATACAGAATCGGACTCGTAACACGCGACTTGGCGCACCCGCGGAAATTCAGCACGCAGGCGGCCCAGCCAGCCTTGAGCAGTGGCGCGATCACATGGCGCAGGTATATCTCATGCGAACCGCCGGATAAGCCGTGCAGGACCACTAGCATAGGCTTTGTATCTGTAGCGGAGGGGAAGGCGGCGAATTCCTCCGGTGTGAAGAAGGAGGTGCGTGGCGGGAGGAGGTGGGGAGGGGGAGCGGCATGCTTTGGTGTCTTGTTTATGGTCTCCTGTGCGCCGAGGCTTGTATCTTCGGCCAGCGAGGTTTCGTAGGGCGGGACGACGAAGTCGACATCGAAGCTGCCGCTGTAGGTTGCGTTGTTGGCCTGGAAGGTCCAGCGTTTGTAGTAGACGGGGACGTCATCGATTTTGACGACTGTGTAGGCTGTTTGGAGGTGACCGTTGAAGAGGAGCGGGTTTAATTGGCATTTTTGAGGGGTGGAAGCTTTGCAGAGGTCTGGGAGGGAGATGTATGGCTGTTCTTGGTTTTGCTCATCTTCTTTTCTATCTTTTTGAGCTGTTGTTGATGTGGACGAAGAAGAGGGAGCGGAGGAGGGGGAAGGTTTTAGGGCTAGGCGGAGGGCTTTGGGCGCATGGTGGAAAGAAACCTTTCCGCTGGGGAGGAGGGAGGAAAGATAGCCCATTTGACCAAGGAGGGTTCTATGGCGAACAAAAGGATATCTGTAGGCAATCTGTATCCAGTTTCTTCTGTTGGATACACACTCGAATGGAGACTGCGAAGGTGGAGGTAATGAGATGCGATTGGGATAGTATTATTTATAAAGTAATAACAGCATCCGTTTCTAAAGGTATATATATGTATGGGGTTGTGTATTTACATGAAATTGCAAAAAAAAATCGAAAATCATATGCAGAGAAAAGAGAAAAAGTAAAATTCTATAAATAAAATCAAGTAAAATCGGGGTCCCGCTGGGAGCTTGTTTTTATGGTTTATTATTTATCAATTGCGATGGATAGCATATTTATTTATTTAGCATATAATAGCATCATCGCTGCTCGGGTCCGCCGCCCGCTCGGAGGCCTGTCTGGGCGAAATCCCGAACACCCTCGAGTAACACAAGACGGCCGTGGTTATTGATTATCGTGTTTCTAAGTGGTTTGACTCGGAATGCTGCAGAATGCTGCACAATGCTGCAGGATAAAATAAAGAAATGTCTGTTGAAGGAAGAAGAAGAAGAATATTGAAGTTAAATACAAGCAAGAAAGAAAAACTTGAGCCTCGGCATTTTTGGTTTCTGAGTTAAAAAAATCTTTTATTTCTTGTTCGTATTCGGGATAGCGAGGAACAAAGCGGCTGATGGATGGGGATGGGATGGGGGCAAAACTACATAAGAACAGACTTTTATCCAAGGTCTGAAAACTCGGAGAAACGAACGATTGGCGCCTTTTGTTGGTTGAGATGTAAACTACACACGCACACCGTTTTAACAAGCTCTATTGGACGGTAGGGTAGGATAGGATAGGGCATACTACTTGATCGACTGAACAATCAACGGGAGACCTTTGACGGCGGAAACATAGAAGTGAAATATTTAGGGCAAAGAGAGGGGTGGTAGGTATAGTATAGGGGTAAAATGTGACATGAAATCTTATTCTAGAGCACGGAGTAAAAAGGGGATAGATAAAGAATAATTTTTTGAGTAGAGTTCGGAGTGAATACATACCATTACCATACCACGAGGAGAGAAAGGAGAAAATGATATAGTAAGTGATAATCTTGTTCATCTTGTTCATCTCTCATCTAGAGGGTAAATAAAAGTCCGTTGTTATTCATGTCCGTCGTCACGAATTGGGAGTGTTCGGATAAAAATTCCTGCGAGCACATATAAATCGAACAGGGAAGGGAAAGTGATGCTTTATGCTATGTAACTATATATGCAAGCTTCCATCCAAAGGTTTGGGTGCGGGGGACATCAATCCCTTGTGAAGCATCGCTAGATCTGATGGACGAAGTAAATAAAGGGCGCAAAAACATCGGTGTATATCGGTATGGTATGGAACGCAAAGACAAAAAATAGACAAGACCAGGCCGGACAGGGAAGGAGTAAAACTAAACCACAGTTGAACGAAGGATATATTTGGTTTTTTTTTTTTTTTTTTTTTTTTTTTTTTTTTTTTTTTGAAGTAAACCCAGCCCAGCCTTTAAAGTAAAAAGAAGATGACAATCAATCCGCTAAAAAATATATTTATCCTATGTTCAATCGCGAGCAGATATCATACAAGGTACGCGTGAATGCCATATTCGTCTGTGCTTCGGTGTATTGGTAATAAAGAAATTATCGAAATATGGGTCCGCCGCAGCAGCAGCAACAACATCACCATTCACGTCTTCGGCAGCCTCTTGTCCTTGGCCCACAGTAGCCCCTGGAGCAGCAGAGTGCTGCTTCAAGCGTCGGATCTCCTCCACGCTGGCGCTGATCTCATAATCCCCACGACACAGCGCTGTGATACCCAGCGTTACCTCGGTGGTTTGATATGGCTCGAGAATGGGGAGGGCGCGCTGTAGCATCCCAGACCACGCGAGGCGCTTGGAGAGATCAAGGGCGACGGCATGCGGCGTATGGCGTAGGCTAGGCTGGAGGCGGAGGAGCGGGTGAATGGGTTTGGAAGACCGGTTTATTATTGTGGCGGAGAGGGTGAGGAAGGTGTTTGTTCTTACGATGAATTTGGAGTGGCCCATTTGGGTGACGCTCTCGTTATCCGTTTCGCTAGTGTTATCGTCACTAGCAATACCTGATGCGTACGGGCGTAGAGAGAAAGTGACGTCGACACTCTCAACCCGGAGCGCGTCGACCATCCGTGCATTCAGACGGATGGCGCGCAGGTCAACTGCGCCTTCACGACCCGTCGTTTCGTCTTTCCACGACCCGCGCAGGCGCTTGAGAAGTTCTTCCCGGAACCAAAAGACTTCCCTCGCGGACGATTCTGCCTCGTAACTGAGCTTATTCGCACTGACGACAAATTGGCGCTTATTGCTCACATTTAAAGATGGGATGGGTTTCTCCGGATTCTCTAGGTAAACGCGGGGAACGACAAGAACAAACCGCGAAGCATGACCCGGCTGGAGTTCGTCGTATACCTCATGGATGCCAATCATATCTTGTCGCGGTCGGTTATCAGTATTTGTCACGTCATCCGAACTCCTTTCGTCTACAAATAGAGAAACGGTTAGAGGGTTTGGCCATGCATTACGCAAATCTAGAAGTAAGACGCAATGGCCGAACCCGCAGGAATCGAGATCGAGGCGGGATAAAGTATGTGAAAATTGCGTTTCCCTGAGTTGCGTGATGGATCGAGGTGTCGACGAGAGCTCCATTGATTTAATAGATTCCTTGTCCCCAGTTGCCGCGCGCGAATCTTCGCCATGCTGCAGCTTATTATTGGCCCATGCGAAATCACCCGTAAGTGGTAGAACATCGCATCTTGTGACATCAACACTGGTATTAACCGTGACAGTCAACGGTAAGGATATCTGTCTGCAGTAGAATGTTTCGGGGAGATCCGACAACGAGGTACAAACGTGCGCATAGTCAATCTTGACCAGGGCATTATCAAGGCCTGGCTTTCCATATACATCAATCGTGAAAGTTGCGGTTTCTCCTGCAGCGATCGAGAGTTGACTCTGGCTGAGATTATCACGCCGCCATGACAAGGCTGGGTTTGTAGAGAGCCGTAACTCTAATTCGTATATATCAGTCGGCAGATTTTCTTTGTTGGTTAGAGCTGATTCGAGCTGGCGGGTTGTAGAGTCCTCAAAGCTGAATGATATGAAATCCAGCGGGCAGGTCGATATGTTCTGGAGCGTAATATCAAATGATCTAGTCTCCCCTTCCAGCAGCATGATGGCCGATTGTGACAGTGATGTTGACTGGATGATTACTGTTGGCTGCTTTTTGATAACTTTCGCGTGTACAATATCCCGCTCCGGACCTTTTTGAATAGCTCCTGACCGGCTGCCCGAAGCATTTGAGCTCCATGATAAAGGACGTTCTGAAAACGGTTCCTTTGCAGCAAGCCCTGTTCGTTTTATCTTCTGTTCCTTCTGCGGTTTCCAGAAGTTTTTGAATATAGGAAACCTTCTTTCACGGCAAAATTTGACCTTGACTGTACATCCCGTTATTTCCAGCGTGCCTTCAGTGGTTGCAAGGCCGGAAATAAAGTAATCCTGAGTTGTGAATGGCGCAAGCCAGAGTCCATAGGTAGCTGCTGCTTCGAAAGAAACGCCAGTGCCATCTATGCGCAACCTCTCAATTTCCACATCGAACTCGAAAGGGTTTTGTAGCGTGACTTTGAAAGTTGCCTGTTCTTCAGCGATCAGGATATTCTCCGAGCGTCTCGTTGTAGTCTTCGAGAAAGCACTGTATATAAACGGGTTCTTTTTCTCCAGGCGTTCCTCGACGTTGGCGAAGCCAAAGTCCGTTCTCGATCGTCTGATAGGTTCTTTGAAATCAGAAAGATTGACAAGTTCTACACCGCGCACCAGGAAATCATCCCAATATTCGGCTTCGAGGTGAGAATCGCCAAGCTTCTTGGCTGCTGCAACGGTTCGTTTCACGTTGTTAAACAGCCGCACCTGATCCTGAATGGGCAAGAGAGGGTGACCGCGATAGCTGTCCGGAGGAAGCATAAGAGTGCCTTTGATTGTTTGAAGGAGGTCAACTGTAAATTGCAGAACACCTTGGAAGTCAGGCAGCGCTTCGCAGAAATTAATGCACGCCTTAAGAATTTCGACTTTTAAAGAATGATCCCCGAACCCATGTATTGCCGAATGGCGAAATGCTCTGTCAACTATTGAATCGACAGAGTCGTACTCCGGTACAATATCGCGGGTGGTAGATGAGTTTTGCCTGGAAAGGCCTTGTTGTTTGTCGTCGCACATCATTGTGCCCGGCACACCGTAGGTTGTACCCACCACAGCCAGCAAAATCCTAACGCTCTCATCCATATTTTCGGGGCCGATATCCAAAGCATTTATTTCAAAAGCTGAATGGTTGAGACTTGATAAACCCGCAGCCGGGTGAATTCCGACTTCCGCGGCTCCAATCTTTCGCGCCTGGACCAACCCTGGAATTAAAATAGTAAATAGTTGTTGCAATACAAACGCCTTTTTCCGATCTAAACCTAATGATGATAGTACGGATGCCATGCCAACCAAAATCGGAGAGGAATCAGTAACTGGAACATCGGTGCCTAGCGAATGGGGTAAAGCACGGAACAAAAAGCTTGCTATATCTGACTTGCGCAGTGACACGGCACCTCGGGGGCGTTCTGGTGAACGGACAAACTTCAACAAATCATTCATGACAATGTTTCCTAGAGCATTATCGTCAAGAGAGCCATCGCGAATATAAATCGTAGCGAGGATACGCGCGAGCCGTATTACGGTTTCTGAAAATACTAGTTGTGGGACTGGCTCGTCTGTAATATTCGCTGCTCGAGTATAAAGATGCAGGATATTATTTGAGAGATCAGGAAGGAGATTTGCTAGGTTCTGAAGTGAAACGATGCGGCTTTCGGGATTTGATTGCCCGATGTTGTAGAGTTCTGTGAGGCTCATAGATGGTGTTTGAGAAACGGACTTTGAAAATTTATCTGCTGATGGATAACAAATTTGTGGAATCTGAAAAAAAGTGGTTACTGTTAGTTTTTGCGACTTTGTTCCGACAGGAAGATTTCCACGGCAATCTAAAATCATACCCTAAAGTCCATCCCAGCCCATCCAAGCATTAGGAGGCACTGCAATATCGACTCGAGCGCTTTTGCATGCCAGATATAATCGCTGTTTGCTCTCGCTATTGCTGCGCCTTCAGCCAGTTCCTTAAGCGAATCAGGCCATCGACCAGCCTGAAGAAACAAGGTACCCATGACTATATTCAAACGGCCTTTGACTCGGTTCTTGCTTCTCTCACTTGCACCAACAAACCCGAGTCCATGTACCGACATTCTCTCACGGCTGTGTTCCTTCGAACCTGGCTTCGGGGAGGACTTTATCGAAGACGTTACACGATTGGAAAGCTGAATGGATCGGGTGATTTCATCAAAAGTGGTTGGAGAGTCATGCTCAGCTGGTTGAAAATTGGTATCAGAGGCATTGATGAATGTTCCGTTAGCCCCTGGCATCTGCGCGGGCATAGTCATTCTGTGCTGTAACTTGTCAGGGGCTGCTGGACGAACATCAGGTGTTCGTCGCGGGCCCCAAGATGAGGCCTTCGGGGATTCAACAGTTGGCCATTCCTGCATTCTTTCGGCAAGTCCAGATAGTTCTCCAAGTAGTCGCGAAGTTATGTCACACATCACCGTCTTCACCGCCGTTGATCTTGCAGCTTCAGGGCGCGGAACCCATACCACGGTATCAGGCCCCGTAATAAGATTTTCCACGCCGGCATAATCGAATATCAGTAGCTGCTGAACAAGGGATCTGGGATAGCTGTCCTTGAGCGCATTTAACTCCTGCTGGAGCCCCTTGAGACCCTCTACTCTGGGGTATTTGCGAACCTTGGTGCCATTCGATTGAGCTTGTGAGGATGGCTCTGTCCCCGTAGGCTCGTTAGGTAACTCCGCTCCGTCCGCAATAGCTATTATAGCAAGAGGCTCTCTGAATATTTCGAACGGATACAGGTCAAGATGGGAAATCGGAGGGACTGATATTGATAGGTCGTAAACTACCATGCCTGTCGGAAAAGCCATTGGGGAGAATGAATCTGCATATACGGCAGCGATTAGCAATTTGCAAGAATAAGCGCAACGATTCCAAGAATAAAATAACACGTTAAACCACTGCGCATACTTCTATTGGGGCGTCCATCAGGACTAACATCGCCCAAACGCACGACATTTTGAGCTTGAAGGCGCTTGACCAGATTTAAAAACCTGGATCGCTTTATCTTTCCCACCGGTAGCAGTAGAGCTCGTAAGCGCGCCGGTGCGATAGGAGAAAGGGGGTCAACTGCCATGCTGACATCTGGAATAAGGAGCGGAGGAGGCAGTCCGTGATGCGCACAAGACCGCTTTCCGAGATGCACGCAACGAGCGAGACCTAGAAGTCATAGATAGTGCGGAGCAATACTGTAGTTTGCAGAAGATGAGGATAAAACGTGGAGGGCTTTAGGGTCGGTGAATGAATAGTCACAAGGAGCAACGAGATCTCCGAAACAGACGAAGTCCCCTATATCCCCATACCATACCCATATAAATAATAACTATACGCCACGGCTTTCATTTTTCCCCGTTGCGGCTTACAGAGTGCGGGATTGGTGATACTGGCCTGCCGTATTTCAGTCACGTGAGGTAGTTAACTATAGGGGGCTGTACAAACCAACTCCGCAGCTCCGCAACACTCGTATCGGTTTCTTTAACACAGCAACAACAACTTCGCGGGTTGGAGGCTGCTTTGAAATAATAGACTGGTTGGGAGCGGTGCAAGGCGGAGTTCCTTGCTTTGCCACTTTCGTTCGGGATTTTCCTCTCTTACTTGCACCATAAGTCAAACATCCGTCGCCGTCCACAGCAAGGTCATAATAATATGGCCGCCTAGAAACAGCTTGATATCAGAGCCTATATACCCTTACTATCTTCTCACTCAACGCGGAGTGCACCGTTATATTGAACTATTTGGAGCTTGCTAATGCAAGAACTATGCTTGAAGATTTCCTCCAACTCTTTATGATTTAATCCCGCGCTCACTTTCGTCGTCATGTCGACAATCGATTTTAACGCCTTGAAGGCACGGACTTTGGGCTCTGGGAACGACGAAGAGGCTGTAACTGTCAACACCCGCGCTCTCATAGATAAAGTGTTGGCTCGATACTCTGGAGAATGGTATGCATAACCTCTAGCTTATATGCTTACCCCTATCTTTTTTCTCTTTTGCGATCTGCTGACAGACTGGTTTCCTACAGGACCGTCCTCCGTGAGCTACTTCAAAACGCAGCTGATGCCTGCGCCTCAAACGTTACTATCAAGTTCGAAACTCTTCCTTCAACGAGCGTCCCGGCCCCGACTGAGCCCGATCCGTCGGCTTCTCTAAAACATGTGATATCTCACCACACGCTCAAACGTTTGATACTCACCAACAATGGAACTCCCTTCTCTCCAAACGACTGGGCTCGGCTTAAGCGGATTGCCGAGGGGAATCCGGATGAAACCAAGATAGGAGCGTTTGGAGTCGGGTTTTACAGTGTCTTTTCGGATTGCGAAGAGCCCTTTGTATCCTCTGGTTCGGAAGCTATTGCATTTTACTGGAAGGAGAATGCCCTGTTCACCCGTCGGCTAAAATTAGGGGAAGCTGATTCAAGCCCGAATACGAACTTCGTTCTGGATTATAGAAATACCACATCGCCGGTCCCCGCTCTTATGCCTTTGTGCCAGTTTCTCGCCAGTGCTCTAACCTTTGTTGGGTTGGAATCTGTCGAGCTTTGGCTTGACGGCTGGAAACTGGCGCATCTAGCTAAGAAAGTTGCACCAAGTGTTAATATAGAGATACCCAGAGATGTTCAGACCAAAACTAATGAGGAGCTTATGACAGTATCCAGCGTGCTACAGGAAGTTGCTCAAATGAATGCGACATGGATGGAAGCAGTGTCGTGGAAAACCCCAAGCAATGCGTCCCGTTTCGACAGCTCCAGACATCATGATCCTACAGTGTCGTTGAAATCCTTCTTTTCCCGCCTGACTGGGTCGTCCTCGACTAACAACTCTACCAAAACAGCCAACCCCGATAAAGCAAGCAAAAATGAAGCCAAGGAAAACTTGCTTGCCACGAAAACATCATCGGTATTATTTCACATTAGCACTGGGACTATCAAAACGTCCGTTGTTCCGTCATTTGCTCGCGAACTTGAACGAGCGACAAAGAAACCCCCACCGAAGACGACGACCCTTGCTGTTCTAACGGCATCATATGATTTACGAAAACCCGGACAGAACAACAACCCGAGGGATACAGATATTTTTGCGTCTGTTCTACCCTCAAAGTCTGGGAGAATTTTTATTGGCTTTCCTACACACCAGACTACTGGCTTAAATGCACATATTTCTGCACCATCGGTGATCCCGACTGTTGAGAGAGAGAGTATTGATCTCAATGCCCGATGGGTTCGCACTTGGAACGTAGAACTCTTAAGAGCGGCAGGAATCGTGTGTAGGATTGCCTTCTCTGCCGAAATGTCGTCCCTCAATAGCCGGATCCAGGCTGGAGTAAGCCCTCTTGGCCGATCGAAGATTCGGAAGGACGATATAGCTCTGCTATTACCGGAGGCAGTACATACTTTTAACCAGTTTGTTTTCCGTGAATCGACTCCAACATCGCAGGTTGGCCAGGTAATTGAAGATTCGTTCTGGACCTGCAGCAAAAATGCTATGATTGAGGTATTATCCACCTGTGGAATCCTCCCGTGTCACCAGGTGCGAGTTGCACCCAAGGACCTTAGTTTCATGGACTCTATACCGGTAATACCAGACGAGCTTATGGCAGGCGCAAAGGATTTTGTGAAGCGCTTGACAGATTTCGGTCTTGTCACTGACATCACCGTATCGGATATTATCAAAGAGTTGGAGTCGAGTCCTCTTACCCCAAAGCAACTGGAAGAATTTTTGTTGTGGGTGACCAAGAAAGCTTCCAGCCGCGAAATCGATCTTTCGACAGTTCGGTCTTTACTGCGAGTGGCAGTAGCAAATGACGAACCGCTCGACGCCACTACATCCCGTGTCATTGTCCTTAGCGATGTGAATAGTTTCCTAAATCCGAATAAAATTCCCGTGGAATTACCAATGCCACCGTCGGTCATGCCATTCAAGTACACGAAAAATCTGCCAAAATACCACCTGGAGGCTTTAGGGTGGAATGAATTGCAGGTTTCTACGTGGATTACGTGGCTGGTAGAAAATGCGAAGAATAGGGACTTGCTTCGCTCGGACCAAGATATTACTCAAATAGCCTCATTTGCTGCCCAGGTGCTCCCGGTGTTATCTAGACAATGGGATAGCTTAGGTGTAGCTACACAAGGTACCCTCGTTGGTCTTCTACGAAATATTACGATCATCCCCACAAAATCTGGGATGAAAAGGCCACCTGAAACATATTTCCCGTCTGTAAGGTTATTTGATGATTTACCTGTGGTCACAGGCCTAAACAACGTCAAGGAGAAATTCCTCGGGGCCTTGGGCGTTCGGAAGACAGTTGAACTTAACGTTATTTTCGAACGGCTGTTGAACAATGACGATGTACCCACTGACAGAACCCCAGCCCGCAAGAAGTGGAGTCACGTTGATTTGATCAAGTACCTAACTTCTGTTCGAGACGATATTCCACCAGAAGACATTCAGAAGTTGAAAGAAGCGAGAATATGCACCGCTGTAACCAATGGAAATGCCAACATGGATGGTATACGATATAAAGTTAGCGAGCTTTATGCGCCGGATGAATCAGTAAGGGCTCTTGAGCTACCAATACTCTATTGGCCGGGAAGGTATTCACCAAGCAGTTCCGAGGGACGGTTTCTAACCCTCCTAGGTCTCAAGAGCTTTCCATCAGCTAAGGAGGTGTTACAACTTATGGCCTGGGCAGCCTCGGCTGACAACGCCAAGCTCCGAGATAAGGCGATGACCTATTATATAACGAACCATATTTCCAATGGATATGTCAATTTTGAGGCATCCACGGTTAACATGCCATTCCTTCCAGTTGAAGGGCAAACCAAGCTCAGTACACCGAAACATTGTTTCACCGATGATGGAGCTACCTTATTCGGGTTTGATCTCCTAAAAAGAGAGCTTCACCCTCATGCCTCGAAATTTGGAGTCAGCCAGCATCCGTCACTTAGTGGCTGTATTGACATTCTTGTTGGCAAGCCCCCGTCCTCGAAAAAGGAAGCTAGGATTTTGTTCGAATATTTTGCAAAACGTCTAGGAGAGATCAATTCACCTCGAGCGGAGCGCCTTGGTCAAGCACGCATTGTCCCCGTAACCCGGAAGACGTCAAATTCCAGTTTTTTTCCAAATGAGAAGTCTTCACCAGTTACTTATATTGCACCACGAGATTGCTATCTCGGCGAAAGTGATGACTACGGAGACATCTTTGATTTTGTTGACTTTGGACAGGAAGCCAACTTGTTTCTTCTTGCGTGTGGCTCGAAGCGGGAACCGACCAAGGCTGAAGTTGCGAGCATGTTGGTCAAGGAACCAGCCAGAGTATCCGCAAAGCTTCAAAGCCCTGACAAATATTTGAATCTACTGCGAAGTGTCGCTGAGAGCATTCACTTGTTGAAGAAGAACAGAGATTTGTTCAGGGACATGAAGACAGCACCATTTCTACTCGCGAGCAAAGAATTACCTTCCAAACCGACTGCTTCTCGCAAACCTAACGAACAATTGATAGATGTCGATGATGAAACTTATGAAGACGAGACGCAAGGCATTAAGGAATGGCAACTTGTAAAAGCTCGTGATGCTATTATCGTCGATGACTATGCTAGTTTTAGCTTGTTTAAGCAAAATATCCTTGCGGCCCCGCAAGAGGAGCTGCTGGAAGATATGTATGTAGCCCTTGGCACACCATGCTTGAGTGAGCTTGTGGAGGAGCAACCCCGATGTGGCGCACTGGCACCCGATCAGCGCATTGCAGTAAAATTGCAGAAGCAAATTTACGAGCGGTCTCGTTTATTCCTCCATGACTTGCCTCGTGAGATGATCAAACATGATACCAAGTGGCTGGAGAAAAACCTGTCCGTTCAAGTTGTGCAGTCTATCTCCTTGAGGCGGTCCCTTAAGGGGCGCCATGCTTCACATGTTGAACAACGGAGCGCTGCTGTGATGCAGACCCGAGCCGGCTGGGTATTATCGATAGCGGCTGGTCGAGCAGATTTATACCAAGTGAGTCAGGCACTTGTCCATCTCATTCTCAATAGGCCGAAATTACACTCAACACTCACACTGGAGATGTTGCTCAAAACCGATCTCCTCGAGCTACGTGCTCGAGGGTATAATGTCGAGCGTATACTACGCCAGAAGGCTGCTGAAGCCAGGATGGCGGAGACCAAGCGTCAACAGCAGCTAGAAGCAGAGTTAAAACAAATACAAGAGAGCGAAGTTGCTTGGAGGAAACACCAGCAATCTGAACAGCAACAAGATCAACACAAACAGCAGTCGATGCCTGGAGATTTTCCTAGTTCTTCCCCACCTCATGACCGAAAGTCTAGCCATGACGCAGCATCTTCAGAAGCAACATCATCCCGCCCAAAGAGTGGAAGAGGGCTTTTCTCTGATCTCACTCGTCGCTTTGGATTGGAAGATCTCTCGCGATCAAACAATCCGGTACAATCCGCCCTACAAGGTTTCCGCGATAGGGCACAGCGTCCTACCTCTTCATCCGACGCGCCTCCACCGCCATACAGTACTAACGAAACGGGTTCGACACGACATCCCAATCCTCAAAACGTGACATCACCCCACACACTCCAATCAAACCTGATGTCTGCCATCCAAGCATGTCGACCGCATGGATCGTCCACACTCTACAGCCGTGGCGAGCAAAATAAAGTCATGGAGACCAAATCATATTGCGACGAGCGACCCAGCCATGACCTCTTATTTGCTGCCGACTCCGCCTCCGGAATTCGGATATTCGTGACAAAAACTGTCGACAATTGCTCTACGTTTCTAACCGCAAATTCTGATGGCCTTAATGCTTTCGCGTCAATATTGGTAGATTGCGCTAGCGTGTTTTCGCTCCGGTTAGACAGCGTCAGCATATTTTATGACCCTGCTGGTAGGACCATTGCGTTTAACAGCCGGGGTAGCATTTTCTGCAATTACCTCTATTTCCAGCAGCTGCATCAGTCGCGAATGCTGGACGGTGGGCCGGAGAGTCGCGAGGAGGCGCTGGTGTACTGGTGGGTCATCTTCTGCCATGAGCTGGCTCATAATCTGGTTGCGGACCATAGCTCGGATCATAGTTTTTATACGTATGTTTGGCCCCGTTTCTTTTCTTTCTTCTTTTACTTAGTTTGGTTTTCCCTTTAAAAAAGGGAGG